TATTCCTTTATTTTACATTAGCATATACTATGCTGTGTACAGCTTGCATGGGAAAAGATACTCGTTCTTTCAAATCCTGTATTAGATTTTTTATACATGGAGACATTATTGACATGGATTTAAATGAAGGACCTGATTTTTGACACTGTGACCTTTTAATGCTTACTTTTTCGCGTTGTGACATGCAGTAGGCAAACCGCCTTCGCCATTAGTTAGTTATCCCGCTATCTCAACATGATATTCAAAGACCTAATGTTGGGATTGGGCTACTTGCTTGTGACATTTTAGAAAAAATAACTACTCTATTTACTACTCTAATCTATTTTAGGTATTTAGATGGAACATGCTGTAACTTATATGTATACTTAGACCCCATTCCCATAGATTTTAGATCGATCTATCCCTGTGGGGAGTCTAACTAGATTACTGTCCCGCCTACTAAAAGCTGTAAGGGGGTAATGAACTATGATGCGCGCACGGCTGACTGCAATTTAGCGTGAACCCCCAGGGAGTTAGGTCGATCTAAATCTTAATCTCTGGATCGATCTAAATCTCTGGGAATGCACCTTCGCCTTTAGTGGCACTCTGACCATTTTACCGTTTTTCTTGACTATTGTAATTAATGTATTTTCTTTTACTTCATTATTTATTTTTTGTGGAAATAAGTTTTTTATATTGTCATTTTCACAGGTCAGTTGTTCAGCAGGAACAAAACAGGTGGCTGGAGAGGAACACAGAATGTCTCTGGCTCTTGTCATTACTCCACTTTCTGAGTCAATATTTTTTGTGCCAGCCACTTGACTCTCACATATGCAACATATGCAATATAGTATTCTTATAAGAATGCCTTGTCAATTTTTTGTTACAAATGTGTATTTGCACTTTGTTTCTACAACGGATTCGATTTAAAATTAAAAAATTCTCTTGATTGATTGATTTGGTGTCATTGCTTATAGATTAATGCAATGACACAATAGTGATTTTGAGTATACTATAAGGCTTGGAGGGATTTGATAACAGATGGATAACATTTTCTTATCCAAAATTCCGTTCACAGTTGGCATTGTTTTTCTTTATCTCTTAAAATTAAAAAAGTTGGTAATCAATTGGATGTTACTTAGTTACCTCAATGTGAGGGCGAATAAGAATCCGAGATGTTAAATGCACATGACACATGCCTGTTATTAATTTTTAGTTTATTTAGTCGTGATACAGGTGGAGAAATACAAGGCGGCGGTACCGACACAAAGGCAACACAGCTTTATCATGGCACAGCAAATTTCCAGCATATTTTGTTGTTATTTAGGTACGTATATACTGTATTATTAGCTCATGATAATGTTAATCTCATTACATGTTGAAATGTTTTCGTATGTTTTAAATTGAGAGTTAAAATATTCGAGTAATCAGCACTTGTAAACACATTATCTTCTGTTGTTTTAAGCTTTTTAGACACCATTGGAAACTTGCTATTTTAAGTTTGTTTTTTTCACATTTTCAGTTTTAACCTGTTATAACGTGCTTGGTAGTCCTACATCGAGCAGCTTTCAATATAGATCCAGAACAAAAATAGGTAGGATAAAAATGTAGTGAACATCAACGTTAAACGACTAAAAAAGGAAGATAAATACTAGAAACTATTTTAATTGCATGAAGAAAATCTAGGTCATGACATTTTTCAACTTAAAAACTTTCACCTACAGGATAATGTTTTTCCTTTCTCAATAAAGAAATCAAAGTTTTGAAATTTACATTGAAAACCCCATTGACAATTATTAAAAAATTATCTGTTTTTTACTTTATGGACATGAAGTGATACTGGATCGTGACTCCTCCCAACTAACTTGCAAGATTCATCTGGAGAAGCACGTCTAACCACTTACAAAGTTACATCCTGATCCGATCTGTATAAGCACCATTGTTGGGATTTAAGGTGTTCTAGATATTGTGTATTAGGTCATAGATCTCACATGTTATAACACAGAAGACAAATTCACCATGCCCCAACTTATATCACGGGGGTATCTAGTAGGAGGCCTATAGCCTGTACAAAGAGATTTTACAGCAATTTTGACACACAGTAGCGATCCTGTGGATAGAAAAGAGCCCATAGGTGCCTGTGTGTGTGCGTAAGTGAGTCGGACACAAACACGTGATAACAGCAGGCACCACGTCAATTTTGCATGTAATGGTCCACATACACGCTAGATTGTTTGAATTACCGCAAGTCCTTGTTTTATGAGCAATTTTGATTCACTTCTAGCGCTAAACATTTAGAAAAAGACTTATCCCCTTGCTAGGCGTATTATGAATAGTGCCCTAGCCCTATTGAAAATACTCAGTATAGTCCAAGTTAAAACTTTTCTCCACTGACATAACTATTGACTGCCTGTTCTTTATGCACACTTTGTTTGTTTAAGATACTTTATGCATGGCTTAAAACGTTCATTTTATAAAAAGGAACGTTTTTAATATTTCAAGAAATTATGGATATGGACTTAGATACAGAACTTGTTCTTTGACAATGTGACCCTTTAACGCTTCCCTATCTCTTGTTGTGGTTTCTTGCAGCACGGACGACTACACCAACAGTAACTAATCCTGTTATTACTCCATTGTCCTCTGTCACTGTTTCTACTAGTACAGCACCCCCTATCAAAGGCACTGTTAATTCCACTGCTGGGGGTGATGGATCACAGACCTTTGTCACAACCACTGCAACCGGTACTGCCGCTTCCGTTATCACTTCAGGCACTTCATTCACACCGGCTGCCAAGGTAAGTCGTTAAGAGTCGTGAACATCTGGACGCCAGATATATTTGCATCTAATAACCTGAAGATTTTGGTTTAATTATTTTCGTAACATTTATTGCCTTTAGTAATCAAAAGAAAAGGTCGAAATTTTGATCCATTTTAACTCATGATCTCTTGAAAAATAGCATACTATTTTTTTTCTTTGCGGGGGATATTTATTCCCAGACTACCGATACACGGTTATTTTCTCTTTTCCAGTTCCGCTTTGACCGATATATATATGCTAGACAGGCCACAATGTGTATTTAAAACCTAACCATTTTCATCAATTTATTTATCAATTTATTCATCATTATGATTTTCATCAGTTATTTGTCAAATTGTTAATTCCATAATGTTCCTTCTTACAGGTCACTTGTATAAACGGAACAACAACTGATTGGAGTGGGACACAGAATGTCTCTGGCTCTTGTCAGTCCTCCACTTGTTGGGTGAGTATAAGTGATCAGCACTGTAGCCTACGGCAAGAAAAAATCAGTCGACAGTACGCGTCATTGACTCATTTACCTTATATACAAGTACTGTAAGTAAATATAACGTGCACTGACTAGAGCTTGTAAAATCAAGACATGCGGAGAAAGAACAGACCAAATTTCAAAACAATTATAGGCCCTATCACAGAAGATATGTTGAATATCGGACTGTCGGTTCCATTTCAAGGGCCACTGAAAACAGTGAATATTCGAGGAAGTGTTTCACGGCTGAATGATGCATTCTGTTTTGGAGTCATTCAGTTTTTCAGACTAAAATACCGTAATACCCCACGCATCCCTTTTTATAGGTGTTGGCAACCTACGTAGATGGCGATGTGACCGAAATCAAGTTGAGTTGCGCCTCGAAAGTGGAAACCTCGACGTGTAACAAGGGTGAATGTAAATATGCAAGCGGTTCCTGTGAATGTTGCTGCAGCACTGACAGATGTAATAACGACAACTTCGAAGATAAGTGTGCTGGAGCTCGTGCCAGCAGTAGAGGGGTGCGCCTGTCACCACCATGGCTGGGCTTGGTGATACTTGTACTCATGATGATGAAGACATTGTAGGAATGCTCTGACTAGTAGATATTTACAATTTGCAAGAACTAAACAAGTAATAATTGTAAAATGGAACTTAAAAACTGTTTTTATCGTCTTCTTTATCAACAAACGCTGTGATTATGGATTTTACTGAAAAATTATTTTTTACATATCAGCGTAATACTAAAAAGTACATAATCGAAGTTTTCTAAAAGCGTTGCATGCGGATTCAGTGAACTTGAGCTGTTAGTACGAGTGTATTTTTGCGTGTGAATCTTTCCAACATGGACGTCACTGTGCCTGATGTGCCTAAATGAAAGTCACCTGTTCAAGAGGAAAACGTTTTGATGGATATTCCATAAATACTTCACCGAAAGCATTTCGTTTTTCTGAACAAAGTTTACATTGCAAAAATTTGAAATCGTGTAAGTGGGGTGTTGTGTCACTGTATTTTCTCTTGTGATTGTTTAAAGATGTTTTAGTCATGTTTTCTATGATTGAACTAGGTCACTGGATCAAGGTCACGAATGAAGGTCACAATAATAATAATTATTAATATTGAAAATGAATATATCTTCATAAAGTCAGTTTCAGTTTTTGCGAATGCAAGTTTATTAAAAAATATTACAACTAAATTATATATATATATATATATATATATATTGTTTTTTGTTTTTTTGGCGTTAAGCAAAAGAGTGAAACAACTTAAAAATAGTTTGCCGAGAGACTGTAAATGTTAAGACCCATGTGTATTGATAAACTATTAGCAACACCCACTAGAAGAAGACGTGTCCAAGTGCCGAGTACATGTCCAAGAGAAAGGAACAAATGAAAAGCTAAATTAAATACTCATTTAAGATGCATGAACGCGTTTTAAGTACGAAGTTTTATGTGGAACATTTAAAAATCTATCATCAATAACCCTACTTCAAAAATTGAACTTGTGGCTTTTGCAAAACTAGATATCTCTTTATGGTCCAAAACAAAGCAGAGAAGAATCACGCAGCACCCGCGGCCATATCAGTCGCAGCGGCGGCGGCAGCGAAAGTGTTTTCCATACACATTTCTTTGTTTCTTGGTAAACAATTTCAGCTGTTCCCGTAGTCTGTACGTGATTGGTTCACACCGCGTTCGTCTCCACGCTGATAAGCTTGTTTTATCAGGATGTTTTGGTGTTGCCTATAAACAAATGATGACTAAATGCATTTTTGTCACAAGAATTTAGAAACTTTACTTTCCACGCCACTTGGTGATCAAAACCGAAATCTTAGGCATCAGGTGAGTGCGATCGACTTATTTATTTTAATTATACCAACCGCAGTTATTTATCGATTAAATTGGTGTAATTACATGTCTTTGTCTTTGCCCACGAAAAGCACACTAATTTTGACATATTTCAATAGAAAATTTTATGGTACCACTTAATGTCAAAAAATTCAGAATTGGGTTTGTGAATCTAAGATACATACGCTCAGTAATGATGTTTATAGTAGCAAAAACCTACACAATTTGTTGTAAAATATTTCTTGACTATGTATCTAGACTTGATTTATCTCTTGTAGATATTGGTTTATGTTTCTATTCTAAAACATTTAAACGGAGTTTAACTTTTTCCTGTTTAAAACCATTAAAATGGAAGTGGTTGTTTCTTATATTAAGACTTATACACGGTACAAGTATATGATACTAAATATAACAGTGCAATCCGACCTTATATCTGATAAATCCATCTGGTAAATATCAGAGTTGACTTGAGAGTCATTTCTTTACGCAGTATCACTTTGTTGATGCCTTAGTTGCGAAGCAAGATGCGATTGTTGAATGACTGACCTGAGATTTACGGGATTATCAAGCTAAACACTGGTTTACGGTGGCTGGAGTGAAATCATACTTAATACATGTGGTAACCCAAGCATTTGGTTTGTGTTTGTTGATACAAAACTAGACTACCAGTAAGTAGGTAGGAGATAGCAGCATGTGTATACAGCATGCCAAATATCCACGGAGACCACAGAATGGAACCCACCTTACTTTTTTCATTTACATATATATATTTTCATATTTGTTATTTTGTTGTGTTTTAGCTGTTTGAACTCAAAATTTGTTCTTAGTCGAGATCCTCAGAAAGACCAAATCCTTGGAGGTGATATACTGATAAGATACTGATCATGGCAAGACTTCGTTCAGTGAGCTTGTTTTGTTTAGGTGAGTGGACACTTGATACAGGGGGAATTTTCGTTAAATTAGATTGAAATCTAGTGACGGTATGATCATGAAACGTTATAAAGGGATAATTCAAATGCTATTCTTTCGAAGTGAATTTTGTTTTTAATATTTGAAACAAACAAAGCATTGACAAACGGCTTTACTAAATTATTTTCTAGTGCATGTGGAAGACAATAAATAAATAAATAAATAAATAACGGGTTTATATATATATATATATATATATATATATATATATATATATATATATATATATATATATATATATATATATATGATGATGAAAAAGATTAAAATATAAAATTGTAAAGATGATTTTTCTGTTTTTAGTATTAGCATGTGTTAGCGTCTTCAGCCAGAGTGCTTCCAGTTCAACCGCTGCGATATCAACAGTCGGTAAGTCTAACAAAATTATTTTAGCCAATGCAGTATAGGGGCTGGTGAATTTTACAATACCTTATATTTGGCATACATAAAATTGGCAAAAAAAGCTTTTTTTAGCGTTATTTTAGATCATTAGTGATCATAAAAAAATATAAATAAATAAATAAATAAATAAATAAATAAATAAATAACAATATTTTGTTAAAAACAGGGACTAACTTCGTATGTTGGAACGGATTCTTTAACTTTTGATAAGTATGGGAAATCGTCGTTTACCCATGGGAAATTCATTTTTTTGGCCCCAGTGAACGGTTGTTATCCCTTTATAATGTTATTTGAATAATATTACCATAAAAACGAGCACTTTAAAAGCAAATCTACCTTTTTTGTTGTTAAATTCACCACCCACGCGCTTCTGCACATAGAAGTATAGGATAGCCAAGCGTTTATTGCCTATTTTGCTACTTTGAAAATTGGTGTGAGATAGTGATATGTAACACGTAATACTCTCACCAAGTAAATTTTTACTTTGAAAACTGGCATGGTTGACCAGCTTTAATCCAGCAATTAGTTTGACATTTTTGTAAGATATCTTTGAAAGATATGAACTATTACGAAGCATTATTTTGCCTTTTTTCCGATTAAACCAGTAGTAAGCCATTTAGATAAAAATATAAATAAAATTTGCTGCATCGGTTCGAATCGTCCCCGGTTCTACATGTATTAATAAGGGGGTCGTTTGATTACAACCTAATTACGGGTTTCTCAATTTTGCTGTAACAGCCACAACTTCGGCTAATGGATCAGTCACAGCAGTAGGGGCAACGGCCTTGGGAGTAAACACCACTTCGACGGTCTCCACACCGACTCCCTCGCCAACTTCAGCGACGTCTTCCTTGAACATGGGCCTCTTGCAACCTGGCCTGTGGATGGCCATATTGGTTGCCATGGTAACCATCAACAAGGTGTAAGCTATTTCAAGCATGGAAATAGATTTGATCATCTCCGATAACCGACTGCATAAAAAGAATCCATGTAAGATAACGACCGTAGGAGAAATACACTGTAATGTGTATGGCACTTCTCTTCAATTATTTTATGAGTGTATTTTTATACTTAGTAAAGAATGGGTAAATTAACTGAATGTCATATACTGTTAAGAAAATAGCTTGTTAATTTTAAACTATGTAAATTATTGAACATAAAACAGAACATTGTTCGTTAACCTTAATTTTCTATATTGATGATTTAAGTTAATGTTGATGTATACAGTTGTCTTTTCAAGACAGAAATATGTGACCAGACGTGACAGAAGAGAAGATGAATAGTGAGCTCTGTGTCAAAACCATGTGTAGTCTTGTGACTTTATTTGCTTTATATGCATTGCATTATCCAGGAGAAAAAACTCACAGAAACCAACATTCAGTAAGAGATGGACCAAAATTGTTTGTGGAGGTACAAGAAGACATAATCTCTCTCTCTCTCTCTCTCTCTCTCTCTCTCTCTCTCTCTCTCTCTCTCACACACACACACAGTTCAACAGTGACGTGACATTGTGTTAGTTGCGCTCTCAGTGGTTACATCATTGCAGCGAGTTGTACCCGCTTTAACATCGCAGCTGCAACCCACCTGACCAACAGTTTTATCTCCCGGTCAAAGAGTACAACAATTATCCATTCAGTTAGTATTTTACAAGTGGAGAGATGGGATGGGTTGTGTCACAGTTAAGCAAAAGAGTTTCAAGGCTATCATATTCTGGCATGGTGTGTCGGTTTTTTTTATAGAAGTCAATTGAACCACAGGCTAAAAGTCACGAATGAAGGTCGCAATGTTTCTGCTGTTTGCCTTTAAGCATTATGTCTCTGTTTTTATAGAGTGACATATACTAGTATACAGTACGGCCCGATAAAAAATGAAGTTTGTTCCTCAGCTAATTTAGGCAAAGTGTCTTGTGTGTTCTTTTGAAGCATATCAAAATGGCGCCAATAAATGAGCAATAAACATCAACTGATATATAGCTTGTTATTCTTTATGACATTTAAGCATCCGTCTCTACATAAAAAAAACATTTTGAAGTATCGACATCAATTTGTACCAGAACCGGGGACATCCTGTTTGAACCCGGACTTGGGGCAAAATCATCGCTCCAATACCAATAATATGTACATCACCAATTTGTCACTGGACAAACATCAGAGATTTTACTTTACTTTTTGTACCCCACGCCCTAACCCCCATACCCCAGTGACTGATCATGCCAAATGTCCAAATAATGATGTCGTGTGTGACATTTGTTTATCAATGCAAGGCTTTTGATCAGCCTGGGATCCAGGCCCTAAGTTATCCCCACCCCCCCACCCTGCTCCCTCCATGGAGCGAAGAGGGCATACGGATCTGGACTCTGGATCTATCGAGATAATCTTTTGATAAATATTCAGATAAAATAATGAAAAAATAAATTCGTATCTTCGGTTTATTTTGGAAACCAAAAGCAGTCCCTCATAAGTACATCCTTGTTGCTGTGAACTAATCCATATAAACCCACTGAACAGCCAGCTGTCTGTCCGACAGATCTTATCTTTATTACGCAGCGTGGTGACTCTTCAACTGGTATAAGAACACTTGATTAGTTCGGAGAACGGAAAACCCGAGGAGGGCACTCTCTGTCTATAGTAGAAGGTGCCAGAACCTATTTGGTTATCCGCTAAGTAAATGCATCATTTTCTACTAGAATTATAAGACCGATGTTTTAAAATTGATATTCATAGTACTATTAAACGTTCGACAGCACGAAATCATTGCATGGTTTGAAATTGAGCTTTAAATTAAATGTGGACTGAACTGTGCTGCCTGACGTTGTAAGGAAGCACATGTCCCTTTTCTAAATGTCCAATTTCATCTCATCTAATATCCCATACAAATTGGACACAATAATAAAAATCAACAATGAAGAAAAGTCTTTATACTATGTTCAATACGGTCATTAAGATACCGACATGTCAAATTGGACATCTTGGTCACGCTGCAGGTGCCCCCTCATGTCATATCTTATGATTCTCGCCAACACGATAAAGTTATGATTTCACCATGGCAACAAGGTTTATCAGGAAACACTGGTATCAGACGCTGTGGTGGTTGTCGTTAATACAGCTTTGACAACAAAAGAGAAGACACGAGAAGAGTATATTCTGGATTAATTCGGTAAGATGTTTTTTAGTTACCACTTATTATCATATGATAAACGTTACGTAGATTCACCCTGAAAACAGCTTGGGTTGACATAAAAAAGATTAACTTTCGTTGTTCACATATCTTTCGAAGATATATGTTCGAAGAAATATGTTTTTTATTATATGAGAATTTTTATAGAACCTAATTTGAAATATTTGAAGAAAAGAATCTTTTCATCAAAAATTTCAAATTAGGTTCTCTACATAGATAAAATTTAAACTTAATTAGCTATGGAGTGTGTATCAAAAATAATTAAAAGTAGTTCCTGTTATTTGTTTTAACCCAAAATTTGGCTTATAATCTACTGGAACATTTAATTTGATTTTCAGTGATAATCAAGGTTTTCTGTAGTGCCTCGTGCTTGAGTATCTTTAATTTCTCTTAGGTCTCATTGATTTAACTTAAAAGTTTGGAAGAATCAGGAGAAACTAAAATATAGTCTATCAAAATTGACTGAAAATGAAACTCGACAGAAAAAACTGTGTCTCTGTTCTTTTACTTTTGTTTGGATAATTACGCTGAAACAGCTTGGGTTAATATCAAAAAGATTAACTTTCGTTGTTCACATATTATCTCTCGAAGAGATACGTTCGAAGAAATGTGTTTTTTTTTTTATTATATTAGAAAATGAAACTCGACAGAAAAAACTTTCTTCTTTTACTTTTGGCTAATATTTGAGGCTTGCCATAGAACACGTTTTATCTTCACTCACACGAAAAGGATAAAAAGGAAAATAAACAAAAATAAATAGATAAAAACATTTTCTTTTTCTTTCATTTCAGTAATCACAAACGGATTGTTACTCATATTAAGTACGACAGTTGTCAGTATTTTAAGTCGCTTTACTTTGGTTGAATTACAGGCTACATGTTCTGTATTTTGATTCAATTAATTAAGAACAATTGTTTTCTTGCGCTTCTTCCTATCATAATATATGAGATGCGTTTGTTAACCTTGATGTCAGTGTTTTCATGTCCTAAGTGGATATTGATTCGGGTTAATGTATCCCAAAAAGGACTTCCTTATGAAATAACACCGCTGCCAGCATTCTGTGGCATGCGCTTTAACACTGGGAATAGGGTCATCTCTAGCGAAGGAAAAAGGCTGATGAGCCACAATTTTTACAGTGGGTGGATCCGACTAGTTTGTCTATTTTTTGTTGTCGTGGCAAACGTCTTTATTGCACGCTTGAGTCAAGTATATCAGCAATAAATGGTACATACGGTAGCGGTTTGTGTACAATAACATTACGTCAAAGGCAAAACAAATATGAAAATAAAAAAGGGAGGTGATAAAATGGAATTAAAGGATTCTTATCATCTTTAATGAATGTATAGTCATATGAAGAATGTGACTTTTCTATGTTAGAATTTCCTGAATTTTGGTCATTGTTCGTTCATATTTTTTAACAAAAGGGATGTCGTGGCCTTTCTTCATTGTTCTACTGATGTTATAAATTATTGTTTCAAGTCAGTTTACAAGAAACAAAATGTCTTCATTTTTGTCTACAGCTTCAGTATCGGCCTCTTTGTAAGAGTGGGGTACTTAATCGGATGGTGTATCTAAATCATGTAATATTATAATTTTAAAATAGTTATATTCATTGAGCACCAAATGTGAACATGGTTTGACATTTGCTGGCCCACTAATCTACGAAGAGTAGTATTATATACATGTATACAATAAGGATAATACTGAATAGCATACTTTGACATATTAATACCACTTACATATAATTGTTACCTTACTTAATACATGAAGTAAGTACACATGTGATATTTTAATACGCTTGTATACGGCTCATTTTCTACTTTGTATAAATGAACTTTGCAGCAGCCAGCGCGCGTAATCATAGGAATCAAGAAATTGAACAGAAGTATATAATAAATGAGAATCCAGAAATTAGACATCAGAGCTATGACTGCTTGACACAATACTTCAATGTGCAGGTAGCAATCTGTGTGGTAGAACACGCTCACACAGTCGGCGTTGTTAGATGGTACTAAACGCTATCTCTGACACTTCTTAATGTAAACAAAAACGATAGATCAGACGTTGTTTGTGCAACTTCGCAGATGTCGCAATCTAGAGGCTTGCTCTGGTATACAATGGACAAATTATATTTCTGGTATTTTTTTATGTTTATTTTATTCCAATGTCGATAGCATACATTTAGTGGCTTTTTATTGACCCTCCCCCCCTCATTGTCTCGTTTAACGTTCACTTACACTCCTCAATCTATTCTAGAACATTTGGTGTATCTTTTTACAGTTCTAATGTTGTTCTGTAATGAATGTAACAGCTTGAGAACTGTTTTTTTTTTTTTTCTTTAAGTCCTTCAGAATGTCCTAGAACAGATAAAGAACATTTTTCATTAAAAGAGAAAAACATCATGTTCTAGGACAGATTGAGAACCGTAAGTTAGCGTCAAACGAGACATATTTTCACAGGGGCCGTTTCCTCGGCGGCCGGCCTTCTCAAGCTGTCAACATTAATGTTCCATTAAGATATGATTTAATACGTTTGTCTCCGGAAGGTAAACACACAGATTTTTTTTATTAAAGAAGAGTCTATCAGAAAACATTTACCTTGATACCTTTAATGTTTTTATCTATGAAAACTTAACCGTGGCTATTTATTAAATTGCGTCAAACAAGCGTTGTCCCTGAGTGAAGGCAAGCTAACACACACGACACACATCGTTATACCAAATGGAAGGCTTACCCGTGTGAGACTGTGGAAACACCACGCACCGCCCTCTAGCTGTAGTGAGTGTGTCTGGCAGATCTATTCGGATTCAATCAAAACTCCATAAAATGTGAACATAAAGCATGATTAACTACCTGATATTAAAGGTTTTGTTTGCATAAGATAAGAGGGAAATACAGTAAAGAAATAAAGGATACCCTCTTGACATAACGAGAACCAGCCAATGGCATGTCACGGGAAAAAATATCGATTAAGCAATGCTGAGGTAGAAAACAAGATTTGTGTATGCCATGTCACTTCGGATTCACGAGCTCAGTATAAAGGTGTGTGTGTGTGTGTGTGTGTGTGTGTGTGTGTGTGTGTGAGAGAGAGAGAGAGAGAGAGAGAGAAAGAGAGAGTTGGGATAGGAATTTCACTCATGGATCTACAACAATATGGGAAGAGCATCTAAAAAACATAAAATTACCTACTTTGCTGAAGTAGTCGTCGTCTTCATTTGTGTCATCAAAAAGTAGCAATACTAGTTGTCTCTAGGTAAATGTGAGACAGATTTAACATGTGTCTACATACACTCCAAAGGCTAATGTCATACTTTTCGATATGCTAGTACACTATGCGATGTTTTAAAAGCTTTTATCATATTGCTTTTTACAATTTTGAAAAATTTTCAACTTTAATTTTTCTTATCATTGTCACAAATTAATCATTATTGAATGAACCTACTCGTGCATGTAACTTTATATACCTTTGTAATTCATTTTATTTTTGTACAAGTATCAACGATTCGTTTGAAGAAAATACACGAATTTCTAGTATGTGGGATTTGCAATCTAAGAGCTGCATGCAGATGCATAAAGAACATATCTATAGTTCTCATATCTAAAACTCAGATAACCGATAGTTTAATCTTGTACGTATTTATCATATCTTCTTCAGGTAAATAAGGTCAAGTATGGTCACCATGACTACGGGAACAACTGTGACATTGACCGTCCTTGTGGCACTGTTCGGAGGTAAGATGGTCTGGAATGGATTTTAGATAACACCCGTGTTTTACAAAGTATATAAAACACAAGCAATGGTTTTCATGCAATTAATGTAATTTGCAACTGTACTGAAAATAATTGATTTCACAATGAACAAGTTTTTTGTAGTAAAAAGACAAAACAAATATGAGTTTGGCATTTCTTTTTTTCTTGGGGGGGGGTCGATTGAAAAAAACTGAATGGTATATAACTGTCTTGTAACTTATCTCTGTACAAACATGAGTTTTATACAGTGTGATAAATGTTTGGCTTATTTTTACGGATATCAAAAATATCAGATTATGACTGCTTCTAAGTATTTTCTGAATATCTCCGAATAAAATTCTTAAGCCTAGATTACATTTGTCTTTGCGGTGCTCGTATACTGCCAGTAATCCTTTTTCGTGCGGCGTCTGTATAGAGGCGGGCGGTGGCCGCGCGGAATCGAACAAAATCAAACGGATTCAAGTCATCCGTAACCTCTACGATTTTGCAAAGCTTAAACTTTTTACAAATTTTAAAAATCGTAAGCCCGTATGCCGTAGCATTATCGTAGACGGAATAGCACAGTTCCCTCACGGGTATTGTTCGGTGGGCTTGCGGTGACCGTGTAAATGATTGAACATGTTGTTGGTCTCTTCCCTTACACCTTTGGTGGTTTTAGGAGGTAAAGATAAAAATAGCAAAGAAGTTTAAAACTTAGAAAAGTTCACTTGCATGAATTTTGCATGAAGTTGTGCTTTTCTTTACTCTGATCCTTCCGTCTGGTATCAGAGCCCCACTAAAATACTATACAAAATCACACCGTTATCAGCAATTTTTGTAACAGACTACTAGTGCACCCTGTGGTCAGAGAGTACTCTGATTCCATGGGTGTTTTAAAATAATACAGGGTGTACCAAAAACGCAACGACATTCAAGGAAGCCGCACTGAAGGCGTGCGGCAACTGCACTGAGATTGAGAAGGCTCCGTGCGATCACTGTTCAACCGACCGCCGATTTTTCCCTGTCTGATCTCAAGGTCACGCCATGGAATACCACGGCACCCGCAATTAATGAAGCCCGTAGCTTCTTATGAAATAAATAAATAAATAAATAAATAAATAAATAAATAAATAAATCTCACAGAAAATACGCTTTAAATCGCACGGCTCCCGTGGCAAATGTAGTCTAGGCTCATGTTGTTTTATATCTCAATGATTTTAATATTTAAAAATATAGGCCTACAAAATAAAACAATTTATCTGTACCAACCACCGGATTACAGATTTAATTAACCAATGTTGTTAATTTACTTACACAGTAATTCCCTGCCAGACTACAACATTAGCGCCAGAAATTACAACTGATACGCCAACGGTACCAGATACTACCGATGTGATAAGCACCGATGCAAGTGCAGTAGTAGAAACTACTGTGGAAGATCTTCCGATGTCTTCCGATGGTTTGACAACGATCTCGGCTACTGTATTGCCACCAACGTCGTCGACGTCACCGCCGTCATCAACGCAAACATCAGCGCCGCCATCAACGCAAACATCAGCGCCGACATCAACGCAAACATCAGCGCCGACATCAACGCAAACATCAGCGCCGTCATCAACGCAAACTACAGCTTCACCATCAGTGCCGTCATCAGCTCCACCATCAGCTCCATCATCAGCGCCGTCATCAGCTCCGTCATCAGTGCCGCCAACAGGGCCGTCATTAGCTCCAACATCAGCTCCATCATCAGCGCCGTCACCAGCTCCGTCATCAGTGCCGCCAACAGGGCCGTCATTAGCTCCATCATCAGCTCCACCATTAACATCATCACAGGGCGCTCCATCCACAACTCCTAGCTCCGCCCCGTCCAACAGTACCGGCAGTGCAGCACCGACTCCACCACCCACGGCCCAAATGACCACCTCCGGCACGGGGGGTGGTGTCACGCAGCCAGAAACAACAAAGGGCGGGACCACACCCAAATCTGGAAAGGTTGTTATCTTCTTTTTCTTTGCGTTTCAGTCATATAATAGAAATAATTTTGTTCTCTCTCTCTCTCTCTCTTCTTCTTCTTCTTCACGTGTTCACCGCCATCACATAATCTTCTGTATGACAAATGCTAAAGAAAATATCACGAAATACTGGACAAACTCTTGCTGACATTTGTTATTAATTTCAACTTTCAGTTTACCTGCACTCAGGGCACCACGACAAAATCAGAAGAATTGCATAATATCACCGACACGTGCTCGTCGGATATCTGTTGGGTACGTAATTGTAATACCTTTATTAGGTTACTTGGTATTTTTGTCTTGAATCGTCCATTCCTCATTTGACTTGCATGTTAGACCAAACTTCCTACGTGTTTCGAACTGAGCATTGTACTGCTGCTAAAATAGACCATTCAACATGCATACATTGGCCATTGCTGCACTATAAAAGAAAAGGTATACACCGTCACATCAGTAATTCAGTGAAATGTTTATTGCCCACATCGGCTATCAGAAGCTTAATTAATTGTCTTAATTATGTTTCAGTTGTTTGTGAACTACACCACTGGGTCAAAATCGCCTAAACAGATAACCGTGGGCTGTAAGTCCTACATTAACAGCAAAATGACCTGTGAGAAAAACGAATGTCAGTATACCGCAGAAAGCTGCCAATGCTGCTGCAAGGAAAGCAAATGCAACGAAGACAGCGAACTCGTTGACGAATGCAATTCTAAAAAGGCAGCTATGAGCGCATCTTGCTCACTGTCCTTACACCTCATCGGATTCCTTAGCATAGTGTTGCTGGGGAAAATCCTGATATAGTGTTGTACGGTGACTGATGAACGGTATATGTGTACAAAAAACAATATGTAAAAACATTTTAAAAACAAAAAAAGATTTTATTTGGTCGAACTCGAATTCAACATTTTTGATGTAAAAATGTAACAACGTATGATATGTGGTATTGAGGCTAATAATTACGAGTGATTTTTTTACATCACTGTTGGTCTAATCAAGAATGTACATCAGGGGCGGGTCCAGGATTATTTGAAGGGGGAGGGGTCTGCGAATGCGAAACCCCCCCCCCTCCCCAACCACCACTTGACGTTTGGTATTATAGAGGCGAGCGGTGCCATTGGGTACTGTTTAGAACAATGATCCTGCTAGTCAAAATTCGAAGGGGGGGGGGGTCAGCGCCCCCTGACCCCCCCTCTAAATCGGCCACTGATACATTCTTGATCTAATCCATGCATTTGAAAGTTTTAACTTGTCATTGAGAGACAGGTCTTTCAGGAANCGAGCGGTGCCATTGGGTACTGTTTAGAACAATGATCCTGCTAGTCAAAATTCGAAGGGGGGGGGGGGTCAGCGCCCCCTGACCCCCCCTCTAAATCGGCCACTGATACATTCTTGATCTAATCCATGCATTTGAAAGTTTTAACTTGTCATTGAGAGACAGGTCTTTCAGGAAAAAAGTATGAAAAACGCCACAGAAATGCTTGTGTGTAAACTATGAATTATTCTCTCCATTTTCTAAGATTTGCGTATTTCAATTTGTCTCTTCTCTTTTTGATATTTTAGATTCCTTTGCTTTTTAGTGTGAATTCTATTTGTATTATTTATTTGACATACTTGCAATTGACATTGCACCACGCAGAATTATATCAGCGGAATGTAGCATTTGAATGCGACTATAAATCATGCTGGGATGGGAGGGGGTATTTGGAAATAGATTCTTTGTCCTGTTGTGACAGGAATGGTAGTATTAGGAATTGAAGCACGGGGTCCCATTTGATGAGTACAGGTTAGGGGTAGTCGTAGAATTGGGGTTAGTATATGGGACGAAGGTCACATGTACAAAGTAAAGGGGAACGGACTACGGTTCCTAATGGACTACCATTCCTGCCACAGCAGCATATGGAAATTCAATCTTGCAAATTTCATGTATATATATATATAATTATATGAGCATACCTTTTTGCATTAAAGGCATCCATCGTATGATGTATTTGATTTACTGAGATATTTAGATGATCCAGGCCCGTAGCCAGGGGGGGTTCGGGGGGTTCGAAAGAACCGCCCCTTTTGTCTGAAAAAGGTCCGTTTTGGGTAAAATTTGATCTAGGTATACATAAATTTCATGGTAAAAGGTCCACTTTTTCAGAAAAAGAACCCCCCCTTTTGCATTTGCTGGCTACGGGCCTGAGATCGAAGTAAGTGATTTTTGTTGGAAATATTTCCACGATGTCGCTGTGTATTGCTTGCAAAATGCTGTTTAATAGTGCTAATACTGTGTTTTTGTATATATATGTATATCATGTAATCGAGCACCTTCTTGTGTGACTATGAATTCGTTGACGGATGAGTTGCATAACATAAATAATACTTACTAGTTCTATAATGTCTTCTTATTCTTTTATTTTCTCCTATATACATAAGGAAGATTTAAGTATTATTAGTTTAACATTTATAATGTTATTCGACATTAATGCACGTTAAGAAACGCGTTATAAACACGACAGTAGGGCTCGAGAGTAAGTCGCATATACGTCCCACATAACCGGTATGTTTAAACACGCGCACTAGTGCCTCGGCCTTTACTTCTTATTTTGAGAGGCCGGCTGACATTTGCTGATTAACCAAATTCTTTTCACAATATAGCACAAACGATGCTGATACAGTCTGAAAGAACCGTATCCGCAAGTTATAATGTTATCTCAAACTTACTATATCAAATCGACATTAATTAGAAGTCCAAATAACATATCACCTGGCTCGGCCTCTACTTAACTATATGGATGAAAGACCTAATGTGTTGAGCTGGGCAACGGAAGGTAAGCTTGTGCGTTTCCAGCTTTCCCTTAATTTTATTAAATTTTCAGTATAAAAATGCGAAATCAAATACTGTCCTCCTAAATATGAAGTATGTAGACAAAAACAACTCCATATGTGACCTGTTTAGTTTGGTAAATGGGCGGTTTTTGTGCGTCTATTGTGAACCATCAGACAAACGGTTGAATTTATACTCCTCTACACATACAATACATTACGTAGGTATCGCTACATAAATTGAAGCTAAGAAATACAACAGTGTACATGTGTTAGTGCCTAAATTACGGAGGATAAGAGGAGGGTATCTTAGTTTGCGAAAGGGGGAGAAGGCTCGATTAAAGAATTCCATGTTATAACATACGGGCACCTGAAATTCTAAATGTGTCTCCGTTTTCTGCGAATTAAAAAAATGCCAGGAATGAAATGTGGAACAAATTGCGCCTTATTTATGTCCGAGCATTCATGTGAATACAACTATAGAACCAAAATCTGATAGCATAAATGTGGATAGGGATTCCAAGGTATTTTCATTCCAGCTAACACGGAGGCAGTAGATGGCTGAAGTCTGATGTCGCCTCCATATACAGCACTCTGGACGCTGCTGGTGACATTAAACATTGTCCTGGTGCAGTGTTTGAGGCTTCAGCACCTATTGCCTCAGTTTAAAGGCCATCAAGGTATGGCAAAACTTAGTCAGTCTGCGTATTGTGTAAACTTAATTATAAGGTCATCAGCGTCAGCGAACATATGTTTGCTTTTTAGACCTTCTAGGCAAAAAGAAAGCAATAAAAAATTTCAAATCAAAATACCTCTTCTTCGACAAAACTCCATATCGTCAAATTCAAATGGAATTTGTAAATTTTAGACGTTCAATAACTGGTTTTTAGAATCCGCTTTTGTGTACTGAGCATACCTATAAACCTTTGTCATTTAAGGGAAAACCAGAATCTTTCATTAAATGCTCTGCGTTCATTATTGATAAATCTTCGTTTTACAGTTCTTGTTTTCAATGCCTCGGCCTTAGGCGAGCATACGTCGGCTCTGGTACAGGTGATTTGTAGTTTTTTATTTTTATCTAGAGAAACTCAATTAAATATATTTAGATAATTCATCACTATTTATTGTACTGCTACAAAATATATACTGCTACAAAATATATAAGCTATATGTTTTATATCATGTACTTATTAGAATCAGTGTAGTTCTCTATTTCCCTGCAAAGGACAAAGACAATAATTTATGTTTCTGCACATACTGTGGTATTGCTTTATCCAGTTAAGATGTCATGTCTGTGAGGCGAGGAAGGGAAGTGATCATTTTGAACGGTGTAAAGCACGGCAGACTGGAGAGGGCGCGCCGTGCACAAGACAAGACTGTTGGGTAGGTTGGAAGTTCACGGACTTAAGAGACGTAAACGGGAAGAAAGAGTTTACTCCTTAATTTTTCTGAAACACGTCACAAACGCGGGATACAACAAGACTAAGGGGAATACCACGTAGCTAATTCATTTTTTTTTTTAATCGTAACCACCCACCCCTCTCTCCTCCAACACATATACACTTGCTCATTGCTGAATACTGTTTTATCAGGAATCTTTTTTCAACTTTTTCTATCTTCCAGACGTTATTCTACACTAACAGCTCTGACGTCACATACGTGGCCCGCCAGTGTGGGCGTGGCACGCTGCACGTGAACGGTGGCGGTTGCACGGAGGCCAGGGTCGGCACGTGTCGGAAGACTTACGCCGGACAACAGTGCCTGAAGACATGCTGCAATACAAACGACTGCAACCACGACGCAGTAGCTCATGATATCGGCGCGAAGAATGAAGTTACAAATATTAAAATTATATTTGTGACAATTTTTGCTCACTTTTGTCTTTTAGCCATATTTACTCTTAATGCCGATGACACGGCTTGGATATCTACTCAATATAAACAATTCTATCTTGAAGATTGAAATTTACGTTATTGGACAGTAGGGCGTATTTACTAATATATGTATAGAATGCACCAGTAAACACAATAATAAAAAGAACATTTAGCCGCCTTGCACTTTTATGCTTTCGTTAATATTCTGAGACATTAAAAAGGCAAGAAGAAAATAGCAATACTAATTACAAATTTGGACTGAAAGCAGGCCGCACTGGGGTCTACAAATGTTGTGTTGGAACGAAAAACCCAGGCACTTTAGAATGCGCAGACGATTTCTTTCCCACACTTCCTGACAACGGTACACAAGGCGCGAGATCAATCCATTTTGCAAATAAAACGTCCACGGTAACGTTCAATTATTCAGAAGTTTTAGATTCAGTCCAGACATATTTGGCTGAAATTTGTACAATTACCTCCCAATGCATTTCATTAACTTTAAATATAGACCTTGCTTTTAACTACTGCAAAATGATGTAGACACTCTTTGCTGGATGTGTACTATTTCACTGTCAAAATGATAAAATAATGATTGATCTACGACTCTTTGGGCTTGTTTTCCTCCCAGGTAGCACATACCACCTGAATACAGCTTTTTTTATCAGATCATTCAAATCAAGAGTCATTAGTTTCAAACGTGTTAATTATTCAGGAAATTGCTTGATTGGATTAGCCATATTAGCGCTATTTTATTAATAACCCCAGCGACGGCTCTGTACATTAAACGAGACTCACAAAGTTAAACAGCAAAAAGCATCCATTCCCAGGAACATTGGACGTGCAGTAAAAAAAGAAGATATTTTAAAGTGCTAAAAAAGTTATGGCAAACACATCCTTGAAACTGAGTTTTGGAATAGATAGAATTTTGGGAACTGGACCGAGTCGCAGAATTTACAATGAAACATCGTCAGCTGAAGAAAGCAATATAAGTGAAGAGAGAGAGGCGCATGAATGGAGAAGGACATATGATGATAATAAAGAGAGAAAAGTGAACCCTGACGTAACAGTATACCAGCAGACATCTAATGGAAGGGGAGAAGAGCTTTGTGAGATAACGAGTGTACAAGATAACGTGGAAGGTATGTGGATATTCGACAACAATGTCTCATCACAGCCATTTTTTTCAATTAATTTTTGCTCAAAATTGAATGTTTATTTTTTTTCACTTTTAAATACTGTAAACTCCCTCATATAGCATAATATAGCATATAGCATAAAGGCATAGGAGTAATCACCCTTCACTGTAGATTTTTGTGGTTGAATACGACTTAATGTTGAAACACAAAATTAATCCCTGTGGCATACAATTATTATGGAAGATTGTAGATTTCGTCCACGACCAAAATTAAAAGACAAATACATAAAAAATATTCTAAAACATATCAGAATACAAAATCCGTTTAACAGAGTATTCTTCTTCAGTTATTCGTCCGCTGTGAAATCAGGAAAATACTTAAACGGCGCGTTTTTGTTTAACTGTAGGCACCAGAATGCACGTGCCAGAAAGACCGTGTACCCGGCGCCTTCGGGTTCGCACCAACTTCACGCCGTATCAGCTGCGCGAGCTGGAGCGCACCTTTCAGGCAACACACTATCCTGATATCTTCATGCGAGAGACGCTGGCTGTCAGGATGCATTTGGCGGAATCAAGAATACAGGTGCTAATGAAATAACGAGGCTCATCTTTAAAGTGAAAATTTAATATGGCAAAGTTATATGTATTCATAAATTGATTAAAATGTGTCCACGGAAATCATTCATATTAGAAAAAAATATAAATCATATCATTTAACAAACATTTTACTTTTAATAAATTGATTTGCATTATAATTCCAACAATCTGATCTATCGCCGAGGGCTTTTTTACGTCCCTATGTGAGATATATTTCAGTGTTATTCCTACCAATGGATTAAAAGAAAGATCAATAAAGACTTTGCATTGAAAGGAGTGAGCAAACGAAGTGATAGCTAACGATAACAATTCTTTAAAGACACAAATGCTCTCTTTTAGAAGTGATTTATTTCTTTTTACCTAATTTTTATATACTCAGGTGTGGTTTCAAAACAGACGCGCCAAATGGAGAAAATTTCAAAAGCTGAAGAAGATTGATTCCGAAGGCAAGGTGTCATTTAGATCAGAAGAAGAAAGACAGGCGCGGTCGCCGTTTCTGTCTGTCTTACCTCCAGTGCTGCCCCCTTTAGCCGCTACCATAAACTATCACTTGAAGGACTGTACCTCTAGTTTGGGGGAGCTGAGACAGAGGGCAAAGGAGCATGTTTTGGAGTTAAACAGCATGACATGGATAGCGCCCAGATCAGGGCAGCAATAAACTGTGAACACGTCCAAAATAATCGTCATAGCAAAGAACCACTATTATTTAATCTAAACATTTGATTTGATTTGATTTGATGAGAGAGAGAGAGAGAGAGAGAGAGAGAGAGAGAGAGAGAGAGGAGTTGATAGAAAAGAACTGTGATGATCATTTAATGCAGACCTTCAACAGAACTTGAAGATATCAAGTTTCGTATTAATAAAAATTCATGATCGTATGTTGATGTTAAAAAATACGTTTTAACTAAAAAATAAATTACCTCAGCTACCTGGGGTTGACTTACTCTATCATTTTAACGTCTGTTTTGGATACTTTTTTTACCATCTTTAGTGTTTATTAAGGAAAGCATATGCAAGTATTTAGGCATGCTAATCCTTCATATTGTTAAATCAAATGGTGATATACGTGGCGGAAATCACGATTATTCGCATATTTGACGCAGAAAAAAAATCATAAACAAGAACAGATGTTCGTCCTAACAAAAACGTCAACAACGAGTGCGCTTTCGGCCTCTTGCAAAGCAGAATGAAAAAAAAATTATCAAAATAAGAAAACCAATCCTCCACCCAACCCGAAGGAAGGGGACATTTTGTTTGCTGCACGACATTTGCTTTCTCGTGAATAGAATGACCTTCCTTTCTCAATATTGTGAACGCCGGGTGAGATATTTATGGGCAACCCGTCTTCACAAAGAAACACTGCCTATTGCCACATTAACCTTGCTTTAGCCCTGCACGTAATACTGTTTACCAAGGGGAGAATACCCACTGTTTATAAATAATACTCATAATCATAATCTTACAAAAGAAAAGTGGGGCTAACATATCTTGTAGAATTGAACTATGGTCCATTGAAATGGCGGTGATTGTTTAATTGACTCAGATGTTGTTCGGCAGAAAGTTATTGAAGTGTAAACACCGTGGGAGTGCAGTGCATTCTGGTTAGGTATCACTTAGCTACTGCGGCCTCCTGCGTCACCCTTAATGAAGAGAACTCGAGATAGACACGGGCTTTTTACATACTAACAGTCACCCAATACTTTATACGTGTAACTATGCCCTTCGCGGTGAATTGGAAGGTTTAGGGTGACATTCTGTTCCACATAACGCGGTTTAATGTTCAGCAGTGCGTCTCAACAGGTTACCAAGTAGTCAAAACTGTACATTATTTATGTAGGAGAGGGACGGACGGGACTCTATAGAATGAACCCGTCAGTGTTCTGGGTAAGAAAAAGACGACGGTGAGGATAAATTGTGTATCATGGAGCCTACGAATGAAGGAGAACAGTTCACGGGGGCCCTGGCCATCAGCACGGACAAGGACATGAACAGCCCGCGTTCCTTACGAATCCAGCACTATCTCAGCGTCCGTCATGCCCTGCCCAAGACCAAGATCCACCGGGCGATACTGTCCGATAACGCTGGCCAGGACAGGCGTCTGGACATGACCGTCTCCCACCTGTCCAGCACGCAGAAACGAAACAGATTCTTTCACGAACAAAACATTCGCACGTTTCTGAACAGGCAGAAGAGAAAACAAAATAAATGGAGGAGGGAGGACAACGTGCGTGTGGCGTCAATGAATTTACCCACGTACACGTACAGTGAAGCCAAGGAACGCCCGCGCGGGATGGAGACAGTATACCATAACCCCCGGTACTCCTCCACCAGTGACCACGGCAAAATCCACGTCCCCCTCAGCCCCAGGGTTCAGCTCCCTAGGGAACGCACGGAGATAGTGCTGTACCGCGATAAAACTGTTGTCACAAAATTCCCCACGGTGGTCGACCTCGATCCAAAGACGATGGAGCGATACGAGAAATATCGCGGAAAGGATTACCTAGTGCGTGGGGTGCCAGCGCAGGACGAACGCTTTGGGAAACTGGCTACCTCCCTTGAAACGCTGCCGGTACAGGAGGATCTTACACTCAAAGCTATTCAGTTCCAGACTCAAACCACGCGGGGCGGTGTCTCCAGACATGGTAAAATACCCGCAAACTGGGCCCCACAGAGGAGTGTCACCGAGCCACAGATAAAAGTCATGATGCCGAGCATGGCGAGACATCAGAGGTCTAACAGCAGCAGACTCAGCTATAACTCGGGGTCCACTCATTCTAAAATAGAGTTTACATCGGAGACAAGAGAACTATCGAGGAAACAGTGACCGGTGTGAAAACAGTTGTACTAGTAACTTAGTCCTGTTAGCGTAAGATGTCTGGCGTATCTTCAGTATCGTAACCAGGTTTTGTTATATTGGTATCTATTCTATAACATTAAGATTTATGACATATTTAAATTTGTCGAAAACAAATGATCTTTGACGCAAATGTGGTCTATTTTGAATGCTGACGCCAAACTAATCTTGTAAATGATATTTCTCTAATGTTAAGACATACAATCATGAATGAAATACGGGTAAAAATCTAGTCAAAAGTAAAATTGTTTATATTATTGTTAGAGTTTAGAAATATTTGCTCTCTGTATTCAAAATGGGATATCGTTGTTTGCTACTTATATATGTGTGTATCGATTGATCTTAATATAATGTAATTAATAGGGGCCTCACAAGGATGTATGATGTAATTGACATCTAATTTGTTTGATCAACTAGCTGTTATTAATTACATGAAAAGAAAACTTGATTAAGTGAAACAATAGTACTTCAAAAATAAAATTCGATCGCCTTGTATCCCTATCAATACTTTCCAAATACGATTCTGATTTAATGTTGATATTGAATATGAATGGACAATTGTTTGTTTTAACATTTATAGAAGCAAGTTGATTAAACTAAAACAAGAGTTAACTATCTAAAGTCGCGTTCACATTCTCTTCCCGACAGGCTGCCTAAAGCCTAGATTACATTCTTGCCGTGTATGAAATCGTGTATGATTTCCGTAAAATTTTCTATTCGACATCGTAGTTAGCTTCGGGCTACGTTGATTACGTTTACATTACGTGTGGGTGCCGTGTCACTCCTACAACACGAACCTGAAGTCACGTGACGAAAATTGGTTTTTCGGTTGAAAAGTGATCGTGCGGAGCCCTTTATCAGTCTCGTTACTGTTGCCGTTAGCCTTCCGTGCGGCTACCTTGAAGATCGATACGTTATTGATGCAGCCACCTACGATTTTAACCCACATGGTCAGAATAAGGAAAAGCAATTTTAAACTCGTGCAAGTGAATAACACTAAATTTTTAACATCTTTATTTTTGCTATGCCTCTTAAAAATCACCAAAAGTGCTGAACCACCCCCCCCCCATAAATCCGCCATTGAAATGTGAATATGAAAAGACAAATATAACAATTGTGTTTTCTTAATAAATTCGATATTTTATTTAATGGTAACATGATATTCCACTGATCCTTACAATATTTACATTAACAAGTGATTTCATAATCTCTGTACAATTTTTCACAATGTTCAGGAACTGACTTTCTTCAAAAATAGATCGTTATGATAAGCCTAAGTAACACTTCTCGTTAATCTTCCATCAATCCACACAGCTTTCCTTTTACTATATTAAAGATAAAGACAAAATTATGCGCATGTATTAACTAACACAGTACAGAATTAAAGAATCAATATTAAAATGCAGATCAGTCGCTTTTTTTTCAATGTCGCACAATCTACTTATCACTTACGAGTAGCACCATGTGGATTCAATTTAAAGCAGGCGCATTTTCAATAAAATCTTGCTTCAACTTAAAAAATGTTCTTTTCTTTATGTGCACCATCTAAAATTAATTTGTTATCCTTCATTATTCTTATTTAATAAATACATACAAAGTAGTTGCACATTTTTGAAACTACATTTATAAAACATAGCGATGTTGTAACTTCCATACAGATATCACTGTTGTCCCAGTTTGAATCGTGCTTTATATCTTTTGTCAACAGAGCACTTAATACTAGCAGTTGAACTTGGTAAATAAAGAAATTCATCACCAATTATCTCGAGAAATAAAAATAAAAAACATTCAATTTAGAGTATTTTCTACCCTTGTGGACAAAATATAAAAATCAGAAAAGTATTATTGTTTGAAGCATCCGTACGATTATTATCTTATTCTTGCCATCTGTTTTTGTCTATTATCTTCTATAACATTAATGAAACATTCACTGGTCCTACAAGGTCCTTCACATATTTTAATCCTCTTTGGATTTATGATCTATGTGCCACTCTTACAGGCAGTTTACATTAATAATGGCAGACACCCCCTCCACTCATCTTTGATCCTTCATTTTTATTTTACGTAAAATGTTACACTGCAGCTTGTAATGTAATATTCAAACACCACTGAGCCAAGCCATTTAACCCGTCTTTTGCTGTGAAGGGGAGAGGGGAGCTCTTGTTTAGATTGAACAGCTTGAAACACAAGTCTGTCAGTGCATAATTAAATATCCATATATTTTCATGACATTTTGGCCTGCTAGTATGACTGCACTACTTTCCTTCTGATTTGGTGTTAAAAGAGACAACACTGATCTCTGGGGTTTATAGCTGTCTGGAATATATAGGAATCTGGTTTTTACATGTAATAAAAAGAAAAAAATATAAATCAATCATCTGGTGAGGAAAGCAATCTTCAAATTCCTTTCCATTCCTTTTACAGTGAACATCCTTTAGAAAGACAAGAACCTCCTGCCCATGTTCTCATTTCCTAGAAAACTTATCATGAAATTATAACAGGCGAGCGTTCCTTTGCCTGCAGTTCATTCTTGGTGATCCCTGGTATAACACTGCATTGCTGATATTTGGTGCTAATCTCAGAGCTTTTATTAGTCCTTAAGGGTTAATGGTCCTGAGGGAAGACTGGGGGTGGGGCACTGGGCATATTAGAGGAGGTGCCAGCAGTCAGGTAGCCAGCAACACCAGGTCCTAAAATATAACAAAGTATCAATAATATGTATTACTGAGTTGAATATGTTATAATATGTTATAATATATTTTAAATTTTTAATTTATTTTATCATGACAAGCAGTTTGATAAAATAAATACATAATTATAAATTAATGCATTTAAAATGACTGCCTGGTAATAATCTAGTGACAGACACTGCAAATTCAGAAACAGATTTTAAATAATCATGCATTTAAAATATCAGTGAGTGTCAACACTTTATCAAATATACAGGGCATGTTCAGTGTGGCTGTATCCTCCACCTACCTGTTAGATATCCTGCCACCTTGTTGTCTGAGATGAACAGATCATGTTTCTGATCCTTGTATTCCTTCCACACAGAAGACTCACTTAGTATGGTGGTAACCTGAAAGAATAAATAATACAGTTTGCATGTGAAGTGTAACAGTTTGTAAGATTCCCTTTGTTTATAATTTTCATCCAGCTTAATAACTTATGGATCGATAACCAAGGTTAAGAAAGAAAAATTGAAAAAAAAGTTAAACAGCAACAATAATGGAAAAATGTTCACTAGTTTAATACTAAGTCAATGACAACTACCAGCTTGGTAGTTGGATAATTAACAAACACAACTTCCAACAGACTGATGTGAGTAGATGTTACAATAATATACTGTAACAATAATATATTTCATAAACATGTTCATCTGTTCCAACTTACTGCTTCTCCATGGGCCAAACTATTCTGCATGGCTTTCAGTGCTTTCACAATCTGAGCTTTAATGGCTGCTGGGTTCTCTGCATTTTCAAGTCCAGTCTCTAAAAATCTGAGTAAAAATTGCACCATCTCTGTTTTGAGAGCCTGCTGGACAAGCTCGTCCTCCCCTAGTGAGAACATCTTGTTGAGGGCCTCACATGCTGTGCCCACTGCATCCTTCCTGATCTTCATAGCAATCTTCATTGGTCCTATACACTCCACCTGGGCCATGGCACGTATACAGATCTGGCAATAAAGAAACAGAACTTTATAAACAATTCTGACTTATGAATTTCTATGTTGGCAATGAAAGTTCAGTTCAAACCATTAAACAAATTGGAAAGCGGTGTCCAACAGACAAAAGTTAATGAGAAAATATAAGACAACTCTTTTGAAAGTATACATAATGTAAATAAATGTTCTTTTTGTTTTTGGAAACAACATCTTGTCCTTACATCACTCTCTGCCAGCTGTCGTACTATTTGTACAGCAGAGAAGGGAATGGCTGTGTTCTTGGAACTCATGTACTGGAATATCTTGGGGATGTGTCCTAGCTGTGGCACCTGGTCCACCATGGCCGTCTGAGCCTGGCAGAACAACACCAGGGCAGACGTCACCATCTCCAACATGTCTCCCTGGAAATAAAATGGGGAAATCTTGTACGAAATTGTAACAAAAATTGTATCAAATTGAGAAAATTTGTAAGAGACATTCATGACTAAGTTCTATTTACAATAAAATGTTGTATTTTTTTTTTAGTACATAATTGAAGAAAAGAATCTGCAATGTTTAGAACAATGGTGCCTGGCTACAAGACACGGAAGGTCAGATCATAATGTGAAATCTTTATGGAGGGAGTATCACTTCAGTGTCCATACTATAACTTACATTAGGAGACTGTGATCCACACAACTGCCCCCACTTCTCCAACAACTCTGTGAGGAATTCTTTAGGTTTTCTGAGAACCCAGGCCGGGTTGGCGACAAACAGCCTCAGGTACACTCCTGCCACCACCACCTCTCCCTCTACATCAGACCCTGTCACATCAAACTCCTGGGGTAGCTTCCATTTGGCTGTTGGGTTGTCTTTTTGCTCACTGTAAAATCTGGAGGAGAATGGAAATGGAAACCATGTACAGTATGGCATTCACTATTAAAATGAATATCAGAAATTAGAATTAATAAATGTCTATTTCCATAAATATTCCATTAAAATAAGCAAAAGTGTCAACACTTGTATTGCTATTGAAATTCCATAATACTAATGGCAAGGAAACTAAAATTTGTATGCTGCTATATTTAACCCTTAATTACAGTGAATTACACTGTGCCATTGTGTATCTATTATTTATTATAACTTGGTTTTCTTGTGTATTGTGAATTTAAAACAATAAATAAATAAATAAATAAATAAATAAATAAATAAATAAATAAATAAATAAATAAACAAACAGGTCAGTAAGTTCCCTCACTCTTTCTTCATCTCCTTCACTGTCCTGCACACTCTGTCTCTGGCATCATCATTCCAGATCAGCTCTGGGTTCTCATGTGTTCCTGGTAAATTCAAACAATGAAGATTCAAAAACTCTCATAAGAACTTCAACAATGGAATATAAACATTGTTTAAAAAAATATTTTCACCACAGATCAAAGCATAAAAAAATCCAGTATTTAATTATAATAATAATTTTATCTAAAGATTAAAATCCATCAAAATGTTATGTAGACTTACACTTAGAATACATGGTATAATGATATATATGAGAAAAAGACACGACTGTCCAATATTTATGTTCTACAAATTTTTAATTGTTCAATCATTCTTTGTTTTAAATAGACAAGTTTTCAGTACTGAGCATATGCTGATTAATTCTCACCTTCAAACATGTGAACGCTGGCCTCAGCAGAGTCTCTCATGGCATCCATGAAGATACTGGGGAGGAACTTGGCGAGGATGATGCGTACCTTGGGTCCCACCAGCTTGTCTGCCAGCATCTTCCCAAACAACTCGGCCGTCTGCTCCCGCACTGCGGGGTTGGTGCTGTTACAGAACAGGTCCAGCAGATAAATCAGAGCTCCTGAAAATATAACAGGTAGTGGGCGTGACAATGAGGTATACTATGTAGTTTGAACTAACTCCACCAAGTAACTCACTGAATACAATTGGAATAAAAGATTAACACACCTCCTCCTGGCGTTCAGTAGAATACAGAAAAAGCTGGTGATTATACAGGTAGGATGGAAATAAAACCTCCTAGTCTAACTGATTGCACTCAGCAAGAGTCCCCATGGAGTTAGTTTGAACCATCCAATACTATATTTTCATTGTGAATGCACCCTCAGTCAAAGAATGGAGATTAAATCTCATTAGTGTCCTGTTTAAGGCCACTTATAGTNAGGCTAACATATCTTGTAGAATTGAACTATGGTCCATTGAAATGGCGGTGATTGTTTAATTGACTCAGATGTTGTTCGGCAGAAAGTTATTGAAGTGTAAACACCGTGGGAGTGCAGTGCATTCTGGTTAGGTATCACTTAGCTACTGCGGCCTCCTGCGTCACCCTTAATGAAGAGAACTCGAGATAGACACGGGCTTATTACATACTAATAGTCATCCAATACTTTATACGTGTAACTATGCCCTTCGCGGTGAATTGGAAGGTTTAGGGTGACATTCTGTTCCACATAACGCGGTTTAATGTTCAGCAGTGCGTCTCAACAGGTTACCAAGTAGTCAAAACTGTACATTATTTATGTAGGAGAGGGACGGACGGGACTCTGTAGAATGAATCCGTCAGTGTTCTGGGTAAGGAAAAGACGACGGTGAGGATAAATGACTTATCATGGAGCCTACAAATGAAGGAGAACAGTTCACGGGGGCCCTGGCCATCAGCACGGACAAGGACATGAACAGCCCGCGTTCCTTACGAATCCAGCACTATCTCAGCGTCCGTCATGCCCTGCCCAAGACCAAGATCCACCGGGCGATACTGTCCGATAACGCTGGCCAGGACAGGCGTCTGGACATGACCGTCTCCCACCTGTCCAGCACGCAGAAACGAAACAGATTCTTTCACGAACAAAACATTCGCACGTTTCTGAACAGGCAGAAGAGAAAACAAAATAAATGGAGGAGGGAGGACAACGTGCGTGTGGCGTCAATGAATTTACCCACGTACACGTACAGTGAAGCCAAGGAACGCCCTCGCGGGATGGAGACAGTGTACCACAACCCCCGGTACTCCTCCACCAGTGACCACGGCAAAATCCACGTCCCCCTCAGTCCCAGGGTCCAGCTCCCTAGGGAACGCACGGAGATAGTGCTGTACCGCGATAAAACTGTTGTCACAAAATTCCCCACGGTGGTCGACCTCGATCCAAAGACGATGGAGCGATACGAGAAATATCGCGGAAAGGATTACCTAGTGCGTGGGGTGCCAGCGCAGGACGAACGCTTTGGGAAACTGGCTACCTCCCTTGAAACGCTGCCGGTACAGGAGGATCTCACTCTCAAAGCTATTCAGTTCCAGACTCAAACCACGCGGGGCGGTGTCTCCAGACACGGTAAAATACCCGCAAACTGGGCCCCACAGAGGAGTATCACCGAGCCGCAGATAAAAGTCATGATGCCGAGCATGGCGAGACATCAGAGGTCTAACAGCAGCAGACTCAGCTATAACTCGGGGTCCACTCATTCTAAAATAGAGTTTACATCGGAGACAAGAGAACTATCGAGGAAACAGTGACCGGTGTGAAAAAAGTTGTACTAGTAACTTAGTCCTGTAAGCGTAAGATGTCTGGCGTATCTTCAGTATCGTAACCAGGTTTTTGTTATATTGGTATCTATTCTAAAACATTAAGATTTATGACATATTTAAAGGGATAATAACTCTTCGTGTGAGATCTATATTTCACAATAAAAACATTGTGAATAACTCATAGAAATATAATATATTCTGTTTTACCACAAAAACTGCAGTTATGGCTATTTTTTCTGATATCTGAGCTTGTCTTTAGACCACGTGACCTCCATTGATGGCTATGCTCTGTTAAAATCTCTTAAGAGTTTTAAACAAAAAACCAAACTTTTTAGAAAAAAACCAGGGACTAACTTTGAATGTAAAAATGGATTCATTAACCATTGGTAAGTAAGGGAAAATTGTTGTTTACTCCAGGAAAATTCATTTTTTGGCCAAAACGAAGAGTTATTATCCCTTTAAATTTGTTGAAAACAAATGATCTTTGACGCAAATGTGGTCTATTTTGAATGCCGACGCCAAACTAATCTTGTAAATGATATTTCTCTAATGTTAAGACATACAATCATGAATGAAATACGGGTAAAAATCTAGTCAAAAGTAAAATTGTTTATATTATTGTTAGAGTTCAGTAATATTTGCTCTCTGTATTCAAAATGGGATATCGTTGTTTGCTACTTATATATGTGTGCATCGATTTATCTTAATATAATGTAATTAATAGGGGCCTCACCAGGATGTATGATGTAATTGACATCTAATTTGTTTGATCAACTAACTGTTATTAATTACATGAAAAGAAAACTTGATTAAGTGAAACAATAGTACTTCAAAAATAAAATTCGATCGCCTTGTATCCCTATCAATACTTTCCAATTATGATTCTGATTTAATGTTGATATTGAATATGAATGGACACTTGTTTGTTTTAACATTTATAGAAGCAAGTTGATTTAACTAAAACAAGAGTTAACTATCTAAAGTCGCGTTCACATTCTCTTCCCGACAGGCTGCCTAAAGCCTAGATTACATTCGTCACGATGCCTTGTATGAAATCGTTTATGATTTCCGTAAAATTTTCTATTCGACATCGTAGGTAGCTTCGGGCTACGTTGATTACGTTTACATTACGTGCTGTTGCCGTGCCATTCCTACGACAAGAACCTGAAGTTACGTGACGAAAATTGGTTTTTAGGTTGAAAAGTGATCGTGCGGAGCCCTGTCAGTCTCGTTACTGTTGCCGTAAGCCTTCCGTGCGGCTACCTTGAAGATCGATACGTTGATGACGCAGCCACCTACGATTTTAACCCATATGGTCAGAATAAGGAAAAGCAATTTTAAACTCATGCAAGTGAATTACACTAAATTTTTAACATCTTTATTTTTGCTATGCCTCTTAAAGCCACCAAAAGTGCTGAAACCCCCCCATAAATCCGCCATTGAAATGTGAATATGAAAAGACAAATATAACAATTGTGTTTTCTTAATAAATTCGATATTTTATTTAATGGTAACATGATATTCCACTGATCCTTACAATATTTACATTAACAAGTGATTTCATAATCTCTGTACAATTTTTCACAATGTTCAGGAACTGACTTTTTTCAAAAATAGATCGTTATGATAGGCCTAAGTAACACTTCTCGTTAATCTTCCATCAATCCACACAGCTTTCCTTTTACTATATTAAACATAAAGACAAAATTATGCGCATGTATTAACTAACACAGTACACGTAGAATTAAAGAATCAATATTAAAATGCAGATCAGTCGCTTTTTTTTCAATGTCGCACAATCTACTTATCACTTACGAGTAGCACCATGTGGATTCAATTTAAAGCAGGCGCATTTTCAATAAAATCTTGCTTCAACTTAAAAAATGTTCTTTTCTTTATGTGCACCATCTAAAATTAATTTGTTATCTTTCATTATTCTTATTTAATAAATACATACAAAGTAGTTGCACATTTTTGAAACTACATTTATAAAACATAGCGATGTTGTAACTTCCCTACAGATATCACTGTTGTCCCAGTTTGAATCGTGCTTTATATCTTTTGTCAACAGAGCACTTAATACTAGCAGTTCAACTTGGTAAATAAAGAAATTCATCACCAATTATCTCGAGAAATAAAAATAAAAAACATTCAATTTAAAGTATTTTCTACACTTGTGGACAAAATATAAAAATCAGAAAAGTATTATTGTTTGAAGCATCCTTACGATTATTATCTTATTCTTGCCATCTGTTTTTGTCTATTATCTTCTATAACATTAATATAACATTCACTGGTCCTACAAGGTCCTTCACATATTTTAATCCTCTTTGGATTTATGATCTATGTGCCACTCTTACAGGCAGTTTACATTAACAATTGCAGACACCCCCTCCACTCATCTTTGATCCTTCATTTTTATTCTATGTAAAATTTTACGCTGCAGCTTGTAATGTAATATTCAAACACCACTGAGCCAAGCCATTTAACCTGTCTTTTGCTGTGAAGGGGGGGGGGGGGGGGGAGCTCCAGTTTAGATTGAACAGCTTGAAACACAAGTCTGTGAGTGCATAATTAAATGTCCATACATTTTTCCATGACATTTTGGCCTGTATGACTGCACTACTTTTCTTCTAATTTGGTGTTAAAAGAGACAACACTGATCTCTGGGGTTTATGTGGTCTGGAATATATAGGAATCTGGTTTTAACATTTAATAAAAAGAAAAAAATAGAAATCAATCATCTGATGAGGAAAGCAATCTTCAAATTCCTTTCCATTCATTTTATAAAAACATCCTTTAGAAAGACAGGAACCTCCTGCCCATGTTCTCATTTCCTAGAAAACTTATCATGAAAGTTATAACAGGCGAGCGTTCTGTTGCCTAGAGTTAATTCTTGGCAATCCCTGGTATAACACTGCATTGCTGATATTTGGTGCTAATCTCAGAGCTTTTATTAGTTCTGTTAATGGTCCTGAGGGAAGACTGGGGGAGGGGCACTGGGCATGTTAGAGGAGGTGCCAGCAGTCAGGTAGCCAGCAACACCAGGGCCTAAAATATAACAAAGTATCAATAATAAGTATTACTAAGTTGAATATGTTATAATATGCTATAAAATGTTTTAAATTTTATAATTTAGATTATGATAGACAACTGACAAAATACATAGATAATTATGATTTTATGAATTTACAATGACTGCCTGGTAATAATCTACTGACAGACACTGCAAATTCAGAAATAGATTCGAAATAATCATGCATTTTAAATATCGATATGTGTAAACACTTTATCAAATATACAGGACATGTTCAGTGTGGCTGTATCCTCCACCTACCTGTTAGATATCCTGCCACCTTGTTGTCTGAGATGAACAGATCGTGTTTCTGATCCTTGTATTCCTTCCACACAGAAGACTCACTTAGTATGGTGGTAACCTGAAAGAATAAACAATACAGTTTGCATGTGAAGTGTAACAGTATGTAAGATTCCCTTTGTTTATAATTTTTATCCAGCTTAATTACTTATGGATTGATAACCAAGGTTAAGAAAGAAAAATGGAAAAATGTTAACTAGCTCAATACTAAGTCAATGACAACTACCAGCTTGGTAGTTGGATAATTAACAAACACAAGCCGATAACTTTCATACCGTTAGCTTACGGCCAACCTGGACAGAGGCTTTCAACAGACTGATGTAGATGTAGATGTAGATGTTACAATAATATACTGTAACAATAATATATTTTATAAACATGTTCATCTGTTCCAACTTACTGCTTCTCCATGGGCCAAACTATTCTGCATGGCTTTCAGTGCTTTCACAATCTGAGCTTTAATGGCTGCTGGGTTCTCTGCATTTTCAAGTCCAGTCTCTAAAAATCTGAGTAAAAATTGCACCATCTCTGTTTTGAGAGCCTGCTGGACAAGCTCGTCCTCCCCTAGTGAGAACATCTTGTTAAGGGCCTCACATGCTGTGCCCACTGCATCCTTCCTGATCTTCATAGCAATCTTCATTGGTCCTATACACTCCACCTGGGCCATGGCACGTATGCAGATCTGGTATTAAAGAAACCAAACTTTACACACAATTCTGACATATGAATTTCTATGTTGGCAATGAAATATATGTCCAGTTAATATTTACTAAGAACTAAATGTGATAAACATCACAGTTATGTAAGCATTTGTATGAAGCTTCTAATAATAAACCTATCAATTCTTCACAAGTAATTACAGAAATAGAAATAAATATGTCACCACCTTTATGTGATAAGCAAACCTTGTATGATAACATTAGTCTATACTTTGGCACACAGGAAAGCTGTCAAATGTAGAGAACTGCATCAAGTCATCTAGTACTTAGTTGTGTGAAATGTGGTGATAAAGTTTCATTTCAAACCGTCTAAAAGTTTGGAAAGCACAGCGTCTACCTGATCAAAATCACTGAGAAAATATATGACAACTTCTCTGAAAGTATAAATAATGTAAATAAAAGTTTTTTTTTTTTTGGAAACGATGTGTTGTCCTTACATCACTCTCTGCCAGCTGTCGTACTATTTGTACAGCAGAGAAGGGAATGGCTGTGTTCTTGGAACTCATGTACTGGAATATCTTGGGGATGTGTCCTAGCTGTGGCACCTGGTCCACCATGGCCGTCTGAGCCTGGCAGAACAACACCAGAGCAGACGTCACCATCTCTAACATGTCTCCCTGGAAATAAAATGGGGAAATCTTGTAAGAAATTGTAACAAAAATTGTATCAAATTGAGAAAATTTGTAGACATTCATGGCTAAGTTCTACCAACGATAAAAATTTTTTTTTCAGCACATTAAAAGAATTCACTTTGTTTAGAATAATTGGAGTCTGACCATCATCTGAAACTTATATGGAGGGAGCATCACTTCAATGTCCATACAATAACTTACATTAGGAGACTGTAATCCACACAACTGTCCCCACTTCTCCAACAACTCTGTGAGGAATTCTTTAGGTTTTCTGAGCACCCAGGCTGGGTTGGCGACAAACAGCCTCAGGTACACTCCTGCCACCACCACCTCTCCCTCTACATCAGACCCTGTCACATCAAACTCCTGGGGCAGCTTCCATTTGGCTGTGGGGTTGTCTTTTTGTTCACTGTAAAATCTGGAGAAAAATGGAAATCGAAACGATGTACAGTATGGCATTCAATATAAATATGAATATCAGAAATTAGAATTAATAAATGTCTGTTTCCATAAATATTCCATTAAAATAAGCAAAAGTTTCAACACTTGTATTGCTATTGAAATTCCATAATACTAATGGCAAGGAAACTAAAATTTGTATGCTGCTATTTGTAACCCTTAATTACAGTGAATTACACTGTGCCATTGTGTATCTATTATTTATTATAACTTGGTTTTCTTGTGTATTGTGAATTTAAAACAATAAATAAATAAATAAATAAATAAATAAATAAATAAACAGGTCAGTAAGTTCCCTCACTCTTTCTTCATCTCCTTTACTGTCCTGCACACTCTGTCTCTGGCGTCATCATTCCAGATCAGCTCTGGGTTCTCATGTGTTCCTGGTAAATTCAAACAATGAAGATTCAAAAACTCTCATAAGAACTTCAACAATGGAATATAAACATTGTTTAAAAAAAATTTTCACCACAGATCAAAGCATAAAAAAATCCAGTATTTAATTATAATAATATTTTTATTTTAAGATTAAAATCCATCAAAATGTTATGTAGACTTACACTTAGAATACATGGTATAATGATATATATGAGAAAAAGACACGACTGTCCAATATTTATGTTCCACAAATTTTTAATTGTTCAATCATTCTTTGTTTTAAAAAGACAAGTTTTCAGTACTGAGCTTATGCTGCTTAATTCTCACCTTCAAACATGTGCACGCTGGCCTCAGCAGAGTCTCTCATAGCGTCCATGAAGATGCTGGGGAGGAACTTGGCGAGGATGATGCGTACTTTGGGTCCGACCAGCTTGTCTGCCAGCATCTTCCCAAACAACTCAGCCGTCTGCTCCCGCACTGCGGGGTTGGTGCTGTTACAGAACAGGTCCAGTAAATAAATCAGAGCTCCTGAAAATATAGCAGATAGTGGGTGTGACAATGAGGTATACTATGTAGTTTGAACTAACTCCACCAGGCTCTCGCTGAATGCAATCAGATGACAAGATTTACATGCCTCCTCCTGGTGTTAAGTACAATACAGGCAAGCTGGTGATTGTGTAAGTAAGTTGGAAATAACACCTCCTAGTCTGTTTAACTGACTGCACTCAGCAAGAGTCCCCATGGAGTTAGTTTGAACCATCCAGTACTATATTTTCATTGTGAATGCACCCTCAGTCAAAGAATGGAGACTAGATCTCATAAGTGTCCTGTTTGAGACTTCATTCTTTATTGATTGTCACATCTACTGGGTGAATCAAAATACACACTTTGATTTCAAACTGAGAGTGTGTGGGTGTGTGTATGTGTGTTTGGATATGTTCATGTATGTGCAGGTCCATTATACGCATGCAACAAAAAGACAATGGCAGATTGAAGTATTATCTACATAATCAGCATGGTTAGACAATATTTACAATATTCTGGGAAATAATTAATTACATAACTTACCCTTTTGCATAGCCTCCTTTACAATCTGTGTATTTGACATCAATGCATACAGTGTCTCTAAAATCAATGTATGGCCTAAAGGAAGGAATAGAAAATATATGGTAAATGCCGACATTAATAAGATGGATATTAATTATTCACAGATTCAAATTATAATTTACCTTATTGTACCATTATATGAAAATATAACTCAGTGTGTCAAGTGGGAAAGAAGCTTGGTATTGTAAGCCATTTTATTTGTCGTTGTCATTTTAAAGTGCCATTGAAATCAAATACTGATAGCATCAACATTCTGGAACTGCCTGTATATCTGTAGCACTATGAATGAAGATTGTTAACTTCTATACTTACACTTTGGCAATGTCTGTATCACTATTAGTAAATATGCTAGGACCTCTGAGGCAGATATGTCATTGACACATTCTTTGTTGGTGGTCACACTGTTCAGCACCTATATAAAATAATATTACATATTATACAGATTAAACCAACGATGCATCAATCTAGCATCATTATTCTTGAGAACAGATAGTAAAAATTATACAAATCTGAGAGGTTGTGTTGAGGAAATACCACCAAGAATTTAAAATGTGCCAGGGAACTGCTATATAAGTAATGTGCTGGTTGTTAAACTGCTTTAACTGCTACTTCAAAGATATTCCCACTAAGCCAGCAATACCATTTTTTTGATTGGAGATCATCTGACATTGTTGTCAGATAATCACTTTAAAAAATGGAAATACGTAGAATAGATAAAGATATGTGTCCTATAGCTAGTTATACCTACCTCTAAAGCAAACTGTTGTACTGTACCACAGCCATGAAGTCTGAGGAGAGCAAACAGCTAGTTATACCTACCTCTAAAGCAAACTGTTGTACTGTACCACAGCCATGAAGTCTGAGGAGAGCAAACAGCTAGTTATACCTACCTCTAAAGCAAACTGTTGTACTGTACCACAGCCATGAAGTCTGAGGAGAGCAAACAGCTAGTTATACCTACCTCTAAAGCAAACTGTTGTACTGTACCACAGCCATGAAGTCTGAGGAGAGCAAACAGCTAGTTATACCTACCTCTAAAGCAAACTGTTGTACTGTACCACAGCCATGAAGTCTGAGGAGAGCAAACAGCTAGTTATACCTACCTCTAAAGCAAACTGTTGTACTGTACCACAGCCATGAAGTCTGAGGAGAGCAAACAGCTAGTTATACCTACCTCTAAAGCAAACTGTTGTACTGTACCACAGCCATGAAGTCTGAGGAGAGCAAACAGCTAGTTATACCTACCTCTAAAGCAAACTGTTGTACTGTACCACAGCCATGAAGTCTGAGGAGAGCAAACAGCTAGTTATACCTACCTCTAAAGCAAACTGTTGTACTGTACCACAGCCATGAAGTCTGAGGAGAGCAAACAGCTAGTTATACCTACCTCTAAAGCAAACTGTTGTACTGTACCACAGCCATGAAGTCTGAGGAGAGCAAACAGCTAGTTATACCTACCTCTAAAGCAAACTGTTGTACTGTACCACAGCCATGAAGTCTGAGGAGAGCAAACAGCTAGTTATACCTACCTCTAAAGCAAACTGTTGTACTGTACCACAGCCATGAAGCCTGAGGAGAGCAAACAGCAGCTTGAAGTGACCTATGCACTGAATTTCTACACCTGGAATCAGATTGAGAGATTGAAAAACTTCCAGACACCTTCACCAGTCAAACTGCTTGAAAGTTAATGGATTATATCTTTAGAAAATATAACATTTATCAAAGGAGATCACCACTTTAAGTGTGATAACCATTATTATTCATATTACTGACATTTACTTATTTATCTGTGTCTCTCCATCCATCAAATTATTATTATTATTATTATTATTATTATTATTATTATTATTATTATTATTAACCACTACAACATTTACCTGGGTTATTTTTGATGACATTCCTCAGTGCTTCCAGGGCCTGCTCCACCTGTTTCAATCTCTCACCTTGTTTGTTGGCACAGATTTCAGCCTGCTGCAGGGACATCAGGGAATGTAAATACTGGGGAGAAATAGACTAATTATTATCATTTGTGAAATTTTAATGCATCAAAGATGAAATGTTTCAGTCTTTGTGTGTGTTGGTGTGTACCTCATTTAGAGGGACACATGGTATGTATCATAAATAATACAGAGAGATAAAGATACAAAAGTTTTTCTTTTTTTCTATTTTTGGCACAATGGCTAAATTTGTTAAAATAAGAGGTGATTTTTCATTTCAATTTTTAATCTACAAATAATTGAAAATTTTGAGAATTACCTGAGCCTGTGATCCTAGGAAGTCCAGCAGGTCAATGGTGAAAGTCTTAGGTTTTTCCAGAGGAAATGTTGGCTGTTCGTTGTATACCCTGACAAAGATCTCTCCTACTATCAACTCCTTGCTGTGGATGGTGTAGACAAATGTGGAGCCAAAATCTGGGTCACAATCACCCTGGAAATGGTGAAAAGTTTGCCTATTTTTATTTCAGTATTGAAATAATTACCTTCGGAGAAAAATAATTTGATGTCTTTGGGTGCAATTAATTTATGACTTAACTTTCTTCTGCTTCTGTAAACACTGGACATGCACCCAAGGGCTTGTTAAATGAGCCTCTTGAGGAAATTAGGCTTGTCTGACAAAGATTTTATTGTCAACATTGCCAGAAGCCACTTTTCTATATTCTACTCAATGCCAGGAGGAGTCATGTTTATCTTTTAACCTGATTGCATTCAGCAAAAATCCCTGCAGAATTAGTTAGAACTACCTAGTACATGTTCCATTGTAAAAGGACACAAACTATTTGTGAAGCCAGACCCATATCTCTGAACTCACATGTCTTATCACTAACTGCTGTTGATCACTGACAAACTCGTTGAGTTCTGCTCTGGTGGCGTTGTCCCAGATAAGATACGGGTTCTCTGTATTACTGTTCAGGATCTTCAATACCTGGAAACCAAACAAAATATACATTTACTTCTAAAGTTTAAAACAAGTTGTGAAGAATGTACCATTTTTTAAAGGCTGAACCAATAAAAGTACACTATATTCCACTAGTTCAAGTAAGTACTCAAGATCTTAAGTGTTGAAAGTCAAACAATCTTTAATCTTTAATCATCACAAACCGAATGACCTCAAAAAAAATATTGTAAAGTCAACAGAGAGTTAAACATTTCATGAAACAGTTGGAAACAAATGGATCAAAGTCACATTCAAAGAGTGCACATGTTAATGACATTCATCACAAGAATAGTGTTAAAATGGTGCTGAAATCAAAGATGGAAAATAAATCTACCACCACAGACAATGGAGATTTACAAATTAAACCCACCAATTGAGTCACTTGTATGTTTCACTTTCTAAGGATCTTAGTCTACATTTTTACAAAAACATTTATAAATTATAATCTATACTATTATCAACAGGAGGGGAAAATATAATAAGTAAAAGTGATTCCAATATCATGCATCCACACAAACATGCTACTTATATGATGCACAGACATGATTAAACAATTGTTTTGCTTTCATAAAACTTATAAATGCCAGTTTCAAACCTCCAGCAAAACAGTCTCCCCCTCCCCCACACCCAAAAACAGTGAAAGGGGTATAAACATAGATGCCACAAAAGAAAATACAGTCACTAAAGAACAAAGACCAAAAAAATCTTAATCATGACTTGTTAATGAAAAACTAATTCTGAAAAGTTTTCCTTTAGCTCTAGTATTAGGTCTAAAAGGAAGTCTCAAATTTTCCTGGGAAAGAAGAGAAACCTGTACCCACCATACAAATGGGCCACCATACAGAATAATGCCATTAGTAGGCCTACTTGTCCATATTATATAACATGCAGAAAGGACAATGTGTTCACAAACTTAAAGTTTTACAATGAAATAAAGTTGGTCTTAACTTATTGACTGAAATTCCTCAAAGGATAAACTTCAATAAAGCTTGAGCAACCCTGGGTTATTTCTCACTTTTCATTAAAAAAAGGCTAAGCCCAACATCCCCATTTAAGAAAACTATCAATAATTTATCCTTTAGGCAAATTAGGCCTAAATCTTAGGTATTTAAGTTAACACCAACTTTTGACTGAAGTTATTCTGACAAAACTGTCCAAAGTAGTAAGATACATTAAGTGACCATGCTACACTGATACAGCACTACATACCTCAATATCCCAAGTCTAAAATCCAAGAATGATGAACAATCAAGTCAATAACCATCATTTGTGTTGATCTCAGGTATAAATCATTGTAAAATATTGGTATAGTTCCGTCTTTTAATAAGTGGATTTAAATCTCATGTAAAAGTGAACTATTCAAAAATAACAATTTATTGTTATGCACTTCAGTGTCATAAGTGACTATGTATGGCATGTTTTGCCATGTGTGTGTCAAAGGGAGACAGTAAGCTGTGATAATGCATTGGGTGTGACAGTGTGTTAGGTGTGACAGTGCTTCTTGTGATATTGTGCTAGGTGTGACACTGTACTGTGTGTTGGGTTTTTAACACAGTGTGAAGGGTAAGAGAGGGTTTGGTAATTATGCTGTTTTGAAATATATTGTAATTGGTACTACAATGTAATCCAACAATGATAGAGTAAAATCCACGAACTGAATATGATAAGGAAAGCTTTCTCTTTACCTCAGATAGGATTTCTGGAGACTACAGAGAAAAACAGTCAAATATGTAGAACACAGAGATGATTATATAAGAAAATTGTAAACTGACATTCATTCACTGTAAAGGTTTGGCACACATGCTCTTCATATAAAATCAAAAGTACCCTTTTTCTTGAGCTCCAATCCTGTGTTTATCAGATAGACAGGACATTTATGCCATATCGAGCACACTCACCTCGGCAGGGTTATCATTGGCTAATTTCCTAGACATGTATGGTGTCAGTAGCGCAGCCAGGGATTTCTTGACCACGGGGTTCTCTGGTGTACTCTCGTCGCCCAGGGTGTAGCCTCCAAGACGAGACAGAGCACAAATGCTGATCTTAGCCAAGCTGTTTGCCACTTCCTATAGAGAGTGAACTGATTATTGTGAACATGATCATGAGCAGTAAATGTGATGCTGGAGGCCCAATGGGCAAAAAGCTGTTTTCTGTGTAAGAAATGTATTCATCATGTCAGTTCTAGCCATAAAATCTTTCTCTTATTTTCTCTTGTTACCTTTAAACAGCATTGTGCACTTTTATTACAAAACATGCATGAATAAATCAATTGAAACTATTTCAAAAGGTTCTGATTATTTAGTGGGATTCCACAGCACTCACAAAAAATTAAAAATAAAAAAGTTTTGTTTCTGAACAGCTATCAATAGGTAAATAATCATCGTAAATTATTACAACTTGATGTTACCTTAATTGTTTAAATGAGACAAAACGGCATAAATACACATAACTATTTTCAAAGAGCAAAAAATTATCAAAATTGTAAAATTTCTATTTCAATCTTCATGATTTATCAATACATGTGACATCACTTTTCAACATTTTAAAAACCAATTGGCATTTTTATTTTTATGTTTATAAATATAACCAGCTCTAAGATGGTATATTTACCTGTTGATTGGATTCTCCACTCCTTTCAACTCCGCCCTCCTCCAGAGTGTAGTCATAATTGAACAGGAACAGTAACAAGTGCCACATACATCCAGACTTGAACAGGTGGTTTTGGAGGTAAAAGTCCACACAGAAAGCACTGACACAGTTCACAACCACTGTGTTCAGATATGGCAGATTCTGTAAAGAATTTACGGCTTTGTAACAGCAATTATAATATTTCAATTTTTGTTAATAGCAGGATGAAAAAAATTATCTGCACTACAGAGATGTCTATATTTCTACATTAATTCTTAATGAACTGACAGTGTATAGATCACCTTGAAGTAGAGGATTCTGCAGAGATCTTTTACAATAGTTGGATTTTCCTGGATCTTCTCTCTGCAGCCTTCAAACTGGGAGGCAACTGCATAACATCTGGCTATGTGAATGCACACCTGAAACACGGAATATTTCTCTTAAAATACTAGGTGGTTGACAGCATCATGTTTTGTGACAATAATCAGAGTTGGAATTAACTTTCAATTTGTTTTATCTTAATAATTGCATCTATTTGCTGAAACCCTTTACCCCATCATCTACTGTTATGGTGAAAGTTGTAAAAACTGAAAAATCCTGAACACTTAGCTTGCAATTTCTCTGCCTTTGAATCATATAAAATAACAACCAAAATGAAGACTGAAAATCCTGAAATCAGACATAATCCTGAAAACTTTCAGCCATGTTTTAAACCTGTGTTCAAACACTATGATAATATAAGCATGCTACCTTTACTGCCAGCTCCTCAGGTTTGGTGGAAGAACTCAGCACACCAACACAACGCGAGAATGCTTCTTGTAATGTCTTGAAAAAATTATAACATCATGAAAAATTAGCTTTCATTTCAATCCATAATTTGAATGTTTTTAATTTCACAGTAACACTTTACTCTCATCCTAATGAGCCTATAAATGTTCAACTTATTAAATAAAGCACGAAATAAAGCATGAGAATGGCAGTTTAGAAATCTTTGCATTTTTCTTCTCATAGGACATGTTAGTACTAAGTTTAACTGCTTTATTTTCACATCAAGGAGCACTTGCTTCAATTTTCTATTCCCCTACTATCTTCACTATCTCCTTACCTCAGAAATTACAGTCGAGATTATCTAACAGGGGGATTTCTCAAGTTACTAGTAGATTCCTGAACATGACCATTACTTTTGGGTTTTAAAAACAAACCTAACACCATTTCTTTACCTGATGGAATACAAATCTTCAAAGCTTTCAATTTTTAACACTAAATCTCCTTTGTTCAGGCAGCTAGTTGCCGTATATCTACCTCAATTCCACTCTCCCTCCTGAGTTCCTCTGCATTGAGGGCGGAGCAATTGACAGTATGGAAGGCCAGTTCACTGGAGGCCTCTAGGAGGGGCACTGACTTGGAGAACAGGGTGTCGTCCTGGGTCTCCATCTTGATTGTCTTTATCAGCATGGGATATCCCGCATACTTGTACGGCTCCAAGACTGGGACAGAGAAATAACTACATAAGTACTTTTCCATATAATATGGTAAGTTTAAAGTAAAAAAAAAAAAACAAACTTACAAACCTTTCACATTAAGAGAAATATGTCTGTATAACAACTTTCGTAAACCCCTTAAGATAAAACCATCAAAAAAATGAAAAACATTACTCTTTCACATGACTAGACTTTTTGACTAAAGATGAAACCCTACTAGAATGAAAATTCAAAAATATTTTTAAAAATATTTTTCATCAACCATACACTTACCATCCTTGTGTCTGCTGAATAAAATACTCTGTGCTCTGAGAATGAGGACAATGTTATCTGGGTCAGGGCCCTCTGTGATCTTAGTCTTACTGCACAGGAACTCGTAGGCTTTGTTCACCTTCTCAAACATGTCCTGAAAAAAGTATGCATCATATGAGCAATATGTGGACTAGATTTGGCAGAATTAGAGGTTAAAGTACAACATTTTTCAATTTTGCAGGTTCCTCTTCCAATCACATAATAGTAACACATAATAAATGATAATTCTGTCACCTGTATTCCAATTACTGTCCAGTACTTTGAAAAAGACATTTTTTTTCTCTTCCACTATGAATTCAATAGTCCGTCACACCTAACAAACTGGTCCCACCTAACACAATACCACTGGTCACAGCTAACACAATACTACTAATCACAGCTAACACAATACCTACCCTGCCCTCAGGATTCTTATCAGGATGGTATTTCTGGGCCAACCTGAAGTAAGCTTTTCTTATCTTGCCTTCATCAGTACTGGAATGAACACATACAACAAAATTAAATCTACATCAGTGATACTGCTTATTCATTTATTTATTTTTACTGTTAAATTCTTCTTTTCTTGCACCTTGAAAAAGTTTCATTTTTACAAAATCCTGGAACTTTGTCAAACTACTGACCCTAATCAATAAAATCAAACATTATCTATTTAAAATTCTGACCAAACATGTTGTCACCACATCTTTTTTTCCCTCTTCACACCAACTTGGCACTTCTCTTACCCCTCAGGATCTTTGGGTAGTTTCAGAGTTTCTAAGGCCTCTTCTATTGACATGCTGGGAGGTTTCTTCTCCACTTCTCTCTTCCAGGCATCAAGAATGTCCTTGAGTAATTTCACCTGCAAATCAAATCATTTGCTTTCTGATTCTTTTGTCATTAAAAAAAAAAGATCAATTACAATCTAAACAGGCAGCTTGTGAAGAAAGATTGTTGCACAACAACTTATCTGGAGCCTGAATTCAATCTACAATATGACAGTGACGCAGCTGCATCGAGCATTGCATAATAATTCACTTTAGTTTCAACAAAAAACTTTCAAGATTTGGAGATAAAAATAATGCTGAAAGAAAAAAAAAAAGGAAAGAAAAAAAGAGGACTCTGAAATAATGACTGGGCATCACCTTCTCATTTGATGATAAGCCAGAATGAAAAATGTTACAGAAGTTTTGATAGGCCAATTGAGAAACACTTACAGGCTCTTTGATAGGCCAGTCTGGGAACCTGACAGTATCACACAGATGTTTGAGATAGTAGATGTTACAGAACAGTTCATTCTCCAGCTGTGGATAGTCTATGATGGGGATAGGACAATACTGGTACAGAGCCCGCGTGTTACTCTGCAGGCGCGGGCTGAAGTCTGCGAGGTGGGCCGCTATCTTCTCAATCATGAGACGTCTGGAAGAGAATGTGCTCTTGATGCATTTTAAGTTTACCAAAACAGTCATAATTCTGTTTTCTGGGTTCTAATTATAGTCATTTGTGAGTCACCTGCTTAAGATTTTTGGCCCAGGTGAAAATATTCCATGCTGTTTCCTAAAGCTTAAATAAACACCATTTTGAAATTCTACTTATTCAAATGTTAAATATCTCAGTGTTATCATAACCTGTTAGGCAGTTCCATTCTAAGATATTTTTTCAGTTGCGAAGAGATTAGAAAAAGACTATTCTTTTACATGGAGCAATATGTAATATCTGTTTAGCTTGAACTGGTTGACCTCTGGTTGTCACAGAATTCACTCCCTCACCTCATTTCATTACACCAGATGGCCTCAGGAGTATCAAACTCTCCTAGGAAGATCTCAGCAAACTTCTCAGACTCGTAGTTCTCCAGATAGCAGATCATAGCCTCTGGCATAATGTGGCCCAGCACACTGCGAGATACTATGTCTGATGTAATGTTCTGAAATAATTTCAAAAATTTCAATATTTGTTCGCTCAAAATATCTTTCTTCACTTTAATCTTAGTTATTATTCATGAAATAAAATGCATTTTTGAATAATGTCAAACTAAAATACATCTTATCTCCATCAAATGTATTCAACAGGTGTCTGTGAGATTAAGCAAATGTTTTTTATGGTGATGTGGTGATGGGATTGTAAAATACGAAATATTACAAGTGATGACGTTCTAGAGATCACAGAAAGATCATGACTACATCTATCATAAACATTTGATGAATTCCTTACCTCATCTGACCTGAAGGCCTGCTTTAGGTGAGTATACTTAAGAAATTTGACAACTGGAAGAACATTGGATCCTGTGTACATCATAATGAAATAGAAAGCTCCTGTTAAATACAGCCGGCTCAAGTTGGGGTTGTCTTGCATGATCAAATACAGCAACACTGCCACCTTTTCTACTATGATGGGGTCAAAGGTCAACAAGAGCTAAAAGAAAATACAAAACAATATCACCTTTTCTTCATAGGAATAACACATCAAATGGAAGGGATCAATTTCCTTTACTTAAAATGCAAACAGAATACAAAATAAAACATTTATGCAAAAACTAAAAAAAGTTGAAAAAAAAAAAATAATAAGATGAAACACTGTTTCAAATCAAATTACAAATTCCTAATTCTTTTTGAAAAAAATTATCTCATGAGGCTGTACCTGCACTAAGTGCGATAAACATGTAGCATCAGACAGCAGACGTTTGCACCTTGGGAGAGGTCTGATAATAGCACCATCTGGGTCTCTGGAATGTGAAATATTACAGGTAAGTGAATTATTAAATTCAAAAGACGTTATTCATTTGAAAAAACTTTTCTATATAAAAAGGATTTCTCTTCTTTATTACATGCCAGTAAATTCACTTTATTAAAAAAAAATGCAAGAAAGGCTATCATTAGAACGAAAATATTTTTTCCTCCTTAATTGAGTTACTTACCTACTTGGATAAAATTCAGATATTTTTATCAACATATTGAGAATGGCAATGGCTAAGTCACTCTCATTCATCACAGCCTGGCCAGTTGCCAGCAGACACCATTTGAGTTGTGGAACAGAAGATAGAGGGCGCCACCCATCCATACCCTGCGCCCAACAACGAGTCTTGGCATGGAGAACACCTTCTTTGTATAGATCTTTCATCTGAATTGATAGAGACACCATAAAGTCACAGTAACTTCCAACAGTGAATTAAAATACATCTCATGATAACTTTGTTTGTGTTATATAAGATTAATAATCTTAGTTGGCAAAAGGAAAGTACAATAGATAAAACGTAGATCAAAATCTAATTTGGCCAAAGATTACAATAATCCTGTCTTACCTCTTCAAAGCTGAAAGGTCCTAACCTCTCTTTGTCCTTGTTGCCATAGTACCACTCCTTCTCACTGTCCCTCTTCATGTCAGGGGCAGCCTCTAACACATTGCTCTGAAATCAGAAGAAAATAGGACTTAATGATTTCAACCATAAAATATACCAAAGCAATCACCTTTTTTTTAATCTAACTCATAGGGACAATAATATGACTCATGGTGATAAATAACATAATTATGTTGACCTTGCAAGAGTTGACCTACCTGTAAGGGTACTGCGGCCCTAGTGATATGGAGGTGGGCTAGGGTGAGCAGGTCAACCAATGATATTAAACTTTTGACCTTGTAAGAGTTGACCTACCTGTAAAGATACTGTGGCCCTAGTGGTATGGAGGTGGGCTAAGGTGAGCAGGTCAACCAGTGGTATTAAACTGTTGACCTTACAAGAGTTGACCTACCTGTAAAGGTACTGTTGCCCTAGTAGTATGGAGGTGGGCTAGGGTGAGCAGGTCAACTAGTACCTTGATTCCACCAGCATCCATCAGTTCCTTCACATTTCTCTGTAATAAGGACCACATACTTGTGTGAAAGGTATCATTAAATGGCATAGCAGAACTATATACTTCCCTTTTCTACAACAATCAAACCAAAAATGTATCCACAACCCAAACTTCTGACAGTATGTCCTAAAATTTTAGCCCTATGGTCATCAACCAGCCAAAGGGCAGTTCTTTCAGCAACACATGAGGATTATAATACATTGCAATGAAAAATGTATGGACACTTGATTCTAGAAAAATAAGAAAAACTCTTTGGGAATGTTTACTCACTTTGTTTAAAATCAGCTTTTGTAAAAATTGCACCAATCTGTCTCTTTCTAGTTTGTCTGCACACTGTAATCAAAACCCAGATAAGTTTTATATCAGAACAACACACAACAACAATAATAATACATACACACATTGATATTACACTGATATCAACATTAGAATATCTACATGAAAGAGAAATAATATAACCATATATGTAAACAGAAGCATTTTGGCCAAAAACTTCCACAACTGTTACATTCTTACCCTTTCTAACATCCCTACAATGTATTTTGTATCATTGAAAGTTCCAATTTCTTCATGGCACTTGCTGTAGACAATGGACATGGCCTGTAGACACATACACTTCATGTGGATCTTTGGTGTAAGGAGAAACCTGTGGTATAGGTCGTTAAAAAACTCGTAGCTGAAAGAAATGGAATGTGTTATGTATCATTATTACATTACATATAGTTAAAAACATATGAATCATTTCCCAAAAAATATGATTTCATAAGTACCTGCCTAAGATCGCTTCAAGCCTGATATCAATATGAAATTCTGTGCACACAAAAACAATTTCAAATTTAAATTATTAAAATGTTAATAATAAGAAACCTTGGAACTGTGAAGTGTCTTTAATACTCATGCTAAATTTCTACAAAGAAATCCAGAAATCAAAAATTTCACAGCAAGAAACCTACGATCTTTTAATTGCACTAGTGTCTTCGTTCTCGTCCTCCTCCAGTAGTAGCCTCAGATAGTAGTCGCCTATCTTGATCTCCTCCGCCAGACAGTGGTAGGGTACTTCAAACTCCTGGTGGTTCCACGCTATCATAAAACTGCTGCTCAAGTCCTTGTCCACGTTGAAAGCTCGGATTTCATTTTCCAGGGCTTCTTTTAACTCTTCCCGTGTCTGGAAAGCATTGAATGTTGCAATTATAAAAGTTTAGTTTTTTAGTTTTCTAGGGGTCCCCAACTCAACAGATGGATGAAATAATACACTTAAAAGTTTTTGTCAAGGCTGAAATCTCCAGCTCTTACAGCTTACTGAACTCTTCCCATGTCTTGGAATAATTCATCTTTACATTTTTAATAGTTATTCTTAAAGCTCCTCATTGTCAACAAAATATCTCTTTTTTTAATCAAGTTCCTTGTCTTTTTAAAAACCCTTACTTTAAAATTCCAGATAAGGTTGGACTTGGCGTGGTCTCGGTTGAACATGTAATGGAACAGCTCCCAGTTGGCCTCACTCTTGATCCTCTGTCTTCTTTTCCTTAAAACTATGGGTTTCTCACCAGTCTGGGAATATAATACAATATAGATACAATATAATACAATATAGATACAGTAATTTGTTTTCCTTAATATGCTGGTCAGTATTTCTCTTACTTGGGATGAATATAGAGAAAAAGTACATATGGGCTGTATTTTTCCAAATCTTTTTTTTTTTGTTTTTGTTTCTATATTCTTTTTTAAAGATTTAAGAACTACATGAGGCTTTTGATATCAATGTGTGTTCATTCCATCATGTCTAACATCAAGAAATATATACAGATAGTGAGATTGGGGAAAAGTAAAAGGTGACTTCATGTAAAAATGACTTTAGTATAACTCATTCCCTTACATCTTTTTTCTGCATGCCAATCTTGGCCCTCCAATGAAGTAAAATTGTCTCCACTTTCTTCTCCACCAGTTTCCACTGAGGGTTGGTGAACTTCCTGCCACGACTCTGGTGCTCCTGAAAGTTTTTTTTTTTTAAATTTTAATAATCATAACTGATTCAGGGATATTATTTTACTAGCACCATGTCTACAGTTTAGCTATACACCTGGCACATAGAGATTTCACAATCTTTCCATTACATTATCTGGGGTTACGGTAGCGCTAACACTCGCCAATTTAGCCAAATGCTAAAACTGACTTAAATTGGCTAAAGAAAAATGGCTTGATTTGGCTTGTTTTAGTCAAATTATAACCATTTGAATAACAAATTGACTAAAAAGTTGTAATTTGGCTAAGCGAAAAAAATTGCTAGCGCTGCCCCAGATTATATTACTGATCTGGCATGAATAAATGATTTTATTTAACACAAAAACATGCTGATTCGAAAAGAAAATGTCTGAACTGCTCTTGTAGAAAATGCACTTTTCATAACTAAGCTATATTACCACCTAATCCCACCATAAGGGAAAATCAGCACAAGAGGTTCCTACTATTACAAAGAATAGAAATCAAAGTTTACCTGAGCAAGTTTGACATTATCTCTGACATGAAGTTTATCTTCCTCATGCTCCGGTACCTCATCAGTGGAGTCAAGATACACCAATAGACCACTGGGCTAAAAAACAAAAATATCAATAGAAAAAGAAAACTTTATTGTTTCACTATTGAAGTCCAATACACTTTGTGAAACTTATCGACCAGCCAATATTGAGCAATAATAATTCAGTCGAATAAGTAACTGATTCATGTAGAGATTACGTGAAGTGATAAGGTAACACACTTACCATTATTCTCTTGAGAAGTCCCATTGCAGTTGGATGCCCGGTCACCCAAAGAGCCACCAGATGGCGACTGAGTTGCCTGACATAGACACAAGATGATCTCTTACAAAATAACACACTGCTGAAGTTGCTGTTCTATCATTATTCAAATCAATTTCCAATTTTTCCTATTTCAGCCTTATAAACAAATTTACACAGGTCAACACCCTGAAAAGCGTATTTCTAAATAAAAAGACTTAACTTTGTGATGTTAAAATAAAGACTATAACACATACAAACATCTATTGCCCATTTCAAAAACTACATAAAAATGCTACAAACACCATGACCGTATTACTTTAATATTTTTGTTCTCTTTAATCCATCCAAGCTTCAAATGCAGAAAAAGATTCAAAATGACACTTTTCTTGAATGGTACACAGCTGCCATTTTCACCCTGTAGTATACCTATTGGTGAGCATCCTGCTATCCATACTCTGTGTAAACATGGCAGTAAGCAGATGTCTGGGGAGTGCCCCCTCACCCAGAGCTAGGTCCTGCATCTTGGCTGCTACCTCTGGCTCTCCTTCCTCTATCACAGCCTTCATCACCAGACCTGCTCCTTTTACTATGGCCATGGACGGGTGCTGAAATACACAGAGACAATAGGATGTGACAGTGTGTTAGATGTGTTAGTGTGTAAGGTGTGACAGTGTCTCTTTTCTCTATCATATTCTTCACTACCAGCCCATCCTGCCTATTGTCCTCATAGGTATGACAGGTAAAATACTAACAACACATCAGTTACGCCATTTTTTCTTGACATCTTGCAGAAGTATGAATTTGCCTAAGTTCTCAGAGTAAAAATTTTGAACTAGCAGAAAAAATGTACACATCAGTTACAAAAGTTGAAACAATAAATCCAGACCTAATACTTCACGCTTGTATTCATATTACTAATAAATTTACCTGGAAAAGTTTAAAAATAGTTCTTCCCTCTGTCGCTACCATTTCCAGTAGTGTATCGAAGTATGTCCCATCTGTTGTTTCACTGTAGGGGGCACACAAACCAAAAGTCAAGAAATCCAACATGGCTGCAATGACCATGGCCCCTGTACCTCTCAACTACAACAAATACCACGGCAAAATATTCCCTTAGTCAAGTATTAATAATAATAATTATTATTATTATAATAATTTATTTTTCAGAGTCTAAAATCCATAAAAATGTTTATAGACTTTACAACTAAAATTACAAAGTTAAAAGGATTATTCTATATTGAAAAGTAGTGGTAATAAAAGTAAAGAGAAAAATGCCCATTACTGGCAAAATTGAGAAGGTTCATTATGACTGTATCAAACTCTGTGCTGGAAGGACCAGTACTTACCAAACAATGTTTAAGAAATGCATTTATTTAAAAAAAATTGTCAAAATGTTCACCTCCCCTGATTTGGATCAGAAATTACACTGAAATATCTCCAGCCATCTCAATACCTACCACGTGATTCTTAAATAGATTGAGCAGGTTCTGCATAAAGGACTTTGATGACATCAGAGAGGCTTTATTGAGCTGTTCCTGTCGCAGGTCGTAGTCATCATGCATGGGCTGCATCAGGGCATTGAGCATGTCTATGGCGGCATGGGCCACCCCATCATCGTTTCTCTTTAGTGCCTTGACTACTTTGATACCCACTCTTTCTCTCATCCTAAGACAGAAAAATAAAGCAATATCAATACTTTGGCCTTTTGTCAAAAAAGTAAGCAACTTGCTCAGAATGTTAATACTCGCACTAGAATGTCCATAATTTTCCTATGTACGTTTTTTAACTAAACTGTCATCCCCAAGTCATCTTACTTTCTCATCCCAGTAAAAGTCTAATATCTTTAAGTCAACTGATTTGTAATTAAAGTCCCTGAAGCTGTAATAAATTATTCTACTTATTTGGGCAACCTAGTAATCGCCTGAAAACTGTACATAAATATTATGTCGATAATCGTAGTTCAAGCCTTCGGGCAATAATAACTTATTCCACTTACTTTGGCAGTCTAGTAAAAGCCTGAAAGCCAGCCTTGGAGGCCACAAGTCTCCTCAGAGCATGGAACTGAGCTTCTAGATTCTCTGAGGAAATGATGGCTTGGTCACCCTCCTTATCCAGCAGTGCTGACAGGGTGCCGTTGATCAGTTTTTCTTTGTTCTCGGCAAACAGACCCTGTAAAATGGTCCAAATGACATCTTTATAGTAGTCCAATGGCCATAGTAGTTATCAAAGAACCATTAATGGTGAATCATGTAGATCAAATAATAATAATAATAATAATAATAATAATAATAATGAATGTGTTCACATGAGTCAAATTCACTTACACAATTAATACCAAATATTTTGGATGTACTAAGAAGGCACCTGTTCACTTCTTTACTTACATCTTGTGTGACAGCATGCAGGAGACCACTGTAAGAAATGTTAGAGTTGAACCTCTCCACAGCCATCTCAAAGTTAATATTGGGGGGAGGACTCTGGATAAACTTCATGTGCTGACTCTCCACTTCCTCATCAACAGGGACTGTGAAGGGACCTAGGACAAAGTAATGTTTAATGGCATATAATTAATTGATTAAAAAAATATAAAAATAAAAATAATCAATAAAAATAATCCTGGAAATTACAGCAAGATCATTAACCAGTGATGAGGTGTATCTGGTCCACAACCATTGAAAAGAAAACATTTATAAACCCATTTTTACACCAGCTCTTTTCATTATGAGATTGGCCCAAAACTTGCTTGCAAAAACAATTTCTGGATTGTAATTCTGTGACATATCTTGGTGATTAAGGTATTAAAATTCATATTTTGTCAAATGAATTGTGTATCTTTAAGCAGGAAGTTGATTGTTTATAAAGTGATTTAGCCCAAAACTTTTTTCTCAAGGCAGAAGCTTGTTTTTCTATGGCTTACAAGTAAAATTAACAAAAAATTTGTAAACTATACCCCATATGTACATCTGCTTACCCATTATTGCTTATTCTCAGTTTCTTATTATGCCCACATAACAATCAATAATTATAATGATGAAATTTTCACAATAAGATCAGTGTATTTCCCATAGCACACTAGCAGAGACCTTATTCACTGACACTCACCTAATCGTAATCCCCTGCTGGTAAATTTCATTTTCACATGGACATCCCTGTTGCCAGAGGCCCTTACACCATCCAGAACAGAGGCTATCAAGGCATCTCTGATGATTAAGAACGTAAAAAAATTGATAGATAAAATAAACAGACTATTTTTATTTTTCATTTACAACAAACGACTTTTCAAATGACTTAACAAAGGACTTTTCAAGACAATTCTCAACACATTTGCAAAGAATCTGTCTACAAACGTAACATAATTCACAGCTAATATATAATTAGTATCACATTAAATCAAACTTAGTAATAATTATCTACTCCTACAACACCTGCTGTCGTCATCTCAAGAAAAAGGAAATACCTGTCAGTGGATGTGAATGTTCGTATTGCACCCTTCACATATTCAACACTAAATTTTTGTGGGTTTTCTTGATCTCTGACTATGGCAAACACCTGGAATTATAATAATAATGATAATGATAAAAATAATAATAATAATAATAATAATAATAATAATAATAACAAAAATAAGAAGAAGAAGAAGGAGGAGGAGGAGGAGAACAACAACAACATCAACAACAGCAATGACATTTACTATAAAATAACCCAAAACAGAGTTTTCAAGGGTCTGGACATTATTTAAGAGTTAACTCTTAAATAAAGTCGTTATTCTTTTAGCCAAACTCAAGAACATGAGAACCTGAATAAATACAGTAAAATGAAATCTCAAACCATATCAAGAACATTTCGTATAAAACAGTCACACATTTTTTATTTTCAGCCAAATCGCAATTTGTTTAGAATTGAACTAAAAGCTACTATCCAATACTGAGCAAAATACAGCCATCTCATTTCCACTTACATCACACAGAGGTTTTGCTGTGACAACATTATAGGTGGCTGGGTCTCTCTCCACCAGACACGTTTCCGTGAGGCACAGTGTTCGCCTGATGGGGTCTGGGTTCCTTGGTGTTAGTTTATACACACTGAACTCTGCATATGACGTAAGGGCCTCGTCGGTACTGAAAATAGGTAACAATATTGAAACATTATGACCAGTATATAATAACACTGAAAGACATTAATAAATAGCTAGAGGTATAGGAATATCTTAGTGCTCATTCCTAATAAAACTATCATTCTATATAAACTGATCCAACTCTGCAGGGAGTTAAGACTGATATTATAGTCATTACAATATTTAATTACTGATGTTACAAAAGGAATAGAGAGCAAACTACACAACTAGACAGTAACATCCCTCACTACTAAAAGTGATAGGCAGAACTAGAAGTGTAATCTGGGTGTAAGACTTAAATAATGAATAAATATTATTATTATTATTATTAAAGGGCCATTTACCATATTGTCACTGTTACCTGTATTTGCCCATCTTGTGTGCTGTGGCCTGATCCATTGTTATAGGTTCCTTCCTCTGTTTGATGGCAATGCCAATATAGTTTGCTGCTGTCTCCATCACACTTTTGATCAGTTCATCTCTTTGTTCAAGGGCAAATATATGCTGAAATAATTAACAAAAAATAAAAAAAGTCTTGTCGCTCAAAACAAAACAAAACAGTTATGATAATCACCACAATTACTTATCTAGTGTACAAGTTGACTACTACTTTTTCCCTGTATGTATGTATGTCATATAATGCACTGCAACCCTCTTGCAATATATGCCTTGAACTTCTCTGCTGATGCTAAAGGCATTCTGGCATATATCTCTCTACTGACAGTGCATTATCTCACACATAAAAGATAATTATACACATGCAGCCAATCCCACTCACCAGTCTATTGTATCCCCCATGTATGACAGCCACCCCCCCTGGGTAGTCTGAGATGACAGCAAACCCCTCCATGTCCTTGTAGTCATAGGAGACCAGTTTGGTGCCTGTCTTGGGGTCCACTTGATCCAGTGAAGACTGATTTACTTGGAGTAATGTGGGTATTCTGTTGTCTGACCAGTGGTATTTGTAGGCATTAAACCTCTGGAAAAAACAAGTCTCATCTTGTATCATAATGATGAATCTTTATCAACTATTTATAGTATATCTAATGGAATGTTAGTAATTTGCAATTGTCACTCAACTTCAGGTGCAAATGTACAAAAATGATGTATGTATTTTTCTTTTGCACCAGCCATTACAGAAATAGTAACATGCGCACGCACACACACACACACACACACACACACACACACACACACACACACACACACACACACACACACACACACACACACACACACACACACACACACACACACACACACGCACGTGCATCTCACTTACTTTGGATTGAAAATCTTTTCCAGCAAACTGATTGGCAAATCTCTGAAATAAATGTTACATACACATGAGTATTTACAGCATAGTTGTATAAACTCATAAATCCAAAATCGAAGGCTGATACATTTCCCTTAAAATGATTTTGGCTGATAAATACCTTTAATACATATGACTTCCTGCATACATAGGTTTTATTTTTACTTTCAACATATTCTACTGATAATAATTAGAAAAATCTAATAAATACATCATATAAATAATCCATATGTCACTTTTATTTCTACTGATTACACAGTAACCCATCTCCTTATAGATTAAACTAGCAATAACACCATTTGTATGCCTTATTGCTCCCTTATATTACTTTTAATGGCTCGTTCTACTGACAGCACTGATTAACAAGCTGACTTCTTACCAAAGCCTCTGTCAATACATCTGCTCTGTGATCAGTGGAAAACTTCATGGTGTCCGTTTTCTTGGGCCCTTTTTTCATGGTGATCAAGAATTCATTGAGGGTGGGGGCTTTGATATTGGGTGTAATACTAATAAATTCACTGTATGGCCACTGGAATAAATAAGTAAATAATCATTTATAATAATGTCTGCAAACAGATTTTGTAGTAACTTAACTGATGAATCTTTCTTTTAATTATGAGAAACTATTTCATGAAAATTTAGTCACAATAATAAAGAATTTTCCTCTGTTTACTCTATTACTGAACTATAAAGTTCATTTTAAAAATTACTTTGGCATTAAAGATGGTTTTTACATGTCTTTTCATATTTTTTATATACCCAACCCCTCCCTTCAATCTGTTTTCCAAGCCTCAGAATCTGCCTGTCTTACCTGGTTGGTGACCTCCAGTGTGGCAGGGTTGTATGTTGTTATACCCAGGTTACCCACAGAGAAGACTCTCTTGTATCTGATTTTAAAAAAAGTGATAAATTTCTTAAGCAGGTATCGGTACACAAATGAAGTGAATTTTTGAAATCTTGTCTTACAATAACAAGAGTTCTCTACCTTGTAAATACTTTTCTTAAACAATATAAGAGGCAATGCTTTAGAAAGGGTACTACATATCCCATTTCATTAAACACCTTAAAACTAAAAAAAAACTGCAAAGAAGTTTGTTGTATTAACACTATTAAATTTAAAATGTGCTTACTTTCCTTTCCAGGAATGCTTTGTTACAAAGTAACAAGCAATATCCTCATTTTCTTTCATAGCTGCATTCGTTTTTGTAGCCATTTTTTAATACTGAAATAAAACAGACAAGCATGTAGATAATGAGTACAAAGTTTATCAGATGAAAATGGTACAGATAAGGTGATATTTAGGTTTCATGACACTAATAATCATATTCATTCACTCAATTCAACATCACTTAATAGATTATTGTTTGACTTAAATTAATAGAGTTAACCACATGCATTAATGTTTTTATCAAAATTATCATGGCAATCCAATCAGAAATTGATATTGAACATACTGGTAGATAAATATGACTGTAACAGTTTTTCCCTTTCGTTTTTCAGAAGGCTCAAACCCTCACTAAATTTTTGGATAGATTAGTGTGTGTATGTCCATGTGCGAGCAGATCAGATGTTTGGAATTAAAGCATCTAAATCTTTTTTAAAACTTGATCGATAGGTGAGCTAATATCTAAATCTTTTTTTTTTTTTTGCACACTTGCATATTCTGCTTCCAGTCTATTTTTCTATCATCAAATATGTCGTGGCCTCTTAAGGCCCTATCTGTGACAAAAACTTTCAGTTTTATTAAGTGTGGTCAGCTGAAGGTAAGCACAGCATTGGCAGGTCCTTACAACAGAATGTTCCTCTTCCCAACCTTACTGTACCATAAAAGCAAACTCAAATAATATAGAGGGGAATGCAACAGACTAACCATTCAGAGTAACATGAAAAGTCTGGTGCCTGTTGAAATATATTTTAAGAAGCAATGAGGTGAAACACTAAGAATTGTACAGCGTAGCCTTAGGTTTATCTGCATCAAAATATGGCAAGCGTTGTGTGTATAAGGTCTAATGTAGATTACTAAAAACAAGCTATGTACACCATTTCCTAAGGTTGAAACTTCGATGAAATTACATAAATATTGAGGAGTGTTTCACACAAACTTTCATTTAAATAACGGATGTGCATTCCACTTCATTCATCATTCTGCCTGACAAATCTTTATCATCACAGCAGTAACAAGGTAGAGAAGCAATGGGTTCTCCTGCCACTGACATAATTTTTTCTCTGTAAAGAGCCGCAGGGTCTGCAGGATATGTACACACACGGCCGGGGGGTCTTAAACCATATTTCCGGGTCACATGATAGATATCTACGTGCGTCGCTGCTTAAACCGGTGTGATCCGTTAACGCATTGACGTCCATTAAACAGGATCATTTCCCCAGCTGGTAATCACATACCTAGTTGCTAGCGCAAGAAGAATCCAACAACCTTTCTGTTTTCTATGTTAAAAGTCACAGTTTCTTCTTAACGACGAGTTTCGCCGCTACGGTCGCTTCCATCTTGGATGGACTACATACGCATGCGTTATCAACTTCCTCCCATATCTCGCCAAGTCTCGCGCACTTGTCACCAAGAGCAACAACACGCTTAAATGAAGAGAACACGAGAGACACTTCGCCTCGTAGGACAATATATTCAACAGGTAATATTTTAAGAAATTGTTGACAACGTGCAGTTTAACGAAAAATGGGTAACTCTTCACATCGAATGTGACATTATCAAATACTTTGGCAAGCATTTCTTCTAAGTTCATTTTTAATGCACCTCACTTGACGCCGTGTCTAATTTAATCGCACTGATTTATCTCACGCTCAGTTTCATGTTATTGTTTTTACTGAACAGTATCAGGCGAACTCAAGCGTTTGTCGAGGTTAGAAACGTTGATAATACTGTGTTATAATTGGGCTTTTCGTTTCCTTTTGGTCAGAAATTTGTATCATATAATATTTTAATGCCCGTAAATAGTTTGTGTAGCCACTCTTTATCAAAATGCGCTTATTGCCGATGTGTAAAGGACGCAAGATAATAGATAAATAGATATGCAAATACGTATGGCTTTCAGTGAATAATGTTATTAAGTGGTGTATTTCAATATACTGTACTCATAAACAAAATGTAGAGATTTTGAAATCTTGTTGATCTTCAGTGCTGGCATATCAACCTGAGTTAGCTACAAGTTGACTGTTAAAACATTTTCTTTACTTCAGTATGGGTAACATATGTGCTTGACATTTACAGACTTTTCATTTTGCATAATGCAAAACAAGCACCTTTTTGGTTCTAAGTGAAGTATTGTGGTTATTTCAACTTCAGACCCACTTTATATTTGCTCTAACTGAATGCCACACGATCAAATTCCGTTTAATTATTTGCTTAATAAACATTAATCTTAGGGTTCAGGTATTGAAGTAAATACCTGTGCTCAGACATTTTTACCTTATTAAAAGGAGCCAACTGTCGAAATGAAATTTATTTCAAATGGCACTTGTCTCGAGAATGGAAATTGTATTTCATTAAGTGGGATATTTTTATAACCACTTTAGATACAATAATTTAATAAATCAGATAAACTCATTTGTTTATGCAGTAATAAACCTCAAGGTCTCGTGCAGCTGAATACTTATCTGAGCTACTTAAACTCTCAAACTTAGTGTATTTTCTCTTTATATTTTTAGTACAGCTCTGTTGAAAGTTTGTTTTTCTTTTTGCATTTTTTTTCTTTTTTTTTTTTTTGCTTTTCTATTCCCCCATAGCTAATAAGATTTGTCATCTAATTCCAGGACCCCATTCTCAACGAAGTCCTGATGTAGAAACAAAATCAAGGAGCCAACAGCAGCACCAGTTATAGATATGCCTGCAGAGATTTTGTCCTCCATGGCGACCTCTAGTCCAACCCAGCTGATTACCTCTGATGATGGCAAACAGTGTATAGATGCACAGTCCAAGGGCTTGACAGCAATCCCTATAGATGTGTTCAATGCATCACATATCCAGTGCCTTTTCCTCAGTGACAATGCTCTTACACAGATCCCAGCTGCTATAGCTAGTCTGGTCAACTTGGAGATCCTGGCTCTGAACCAGAATGCACTGAGTTCCTTAAGCCCATACTTGTTTGGTTTGCCGAAATTGCAGGTTTTAGACGTGAGCGAAAATGAGCTAGTTGAGATACCTAGAGATATTGCTGGGTTGAAGTGTCTGAGGCAGTTTTATGCAAATCGAAATCAAATTTGTGATATTCCACCAGAAATTGGGGGCCTTGAAAAGCTAGAATTTTTAGGCTTAAATGAGAATGGAATCAGAGACATTCCTGATGAGATATCCAAACTTAGTAATTTAAAGATACTTGGATTAGAACAGAACAGAATAGAGTTCCTGAATCCCAAAGTTTGTGAAATTGAGGGTCTTCTGAAATTGGGTTTATGCGGAAATCACATGACAAATTTCCCAAGAGAAATTGAAAATTTGATTTGTTTACAGGGTTTGTATTTAGATGATAATGATTTTGAATTTATACCCATTCAGGTATACAGTTTTGAGAATTTGATCGAGTTAACCATGTCTGACAACAAAATTACTGAAGTTCAATCTGATATTGGAAAATTGTCTCGACTGAGGATTCTTTTGCTAAACAACAACCAAATCAAAACTCTCCCCCAGGAGATGTTTTTTCTTGAAAATTTAGACACCCTGTCCCTTGAAGGCAATCAGATCTCATGCCTCCCTGCAAGCATAGCAGAATTGTACAATTTAAAAGAGCTTCATCTGAGTCACAATGACATCTCAGTGATTCCTGATGAATTGTGCATGTGTTCAGAGCTGGATACCCTCACTGTTGATCACAACAAGATCTCGGAGCTCCCGCTAGAGATGGCCAACCTCAAAAAGCTCAATACTTTGTCTATGAATGACAACAAGTTTGAAAGAATCCCCAGGGCTATTGGTGCTGTCAGAGGGTTAGAAGTCCTAAGTCTTAGTGGAAACAAGCTGGTTGATCTCCCAGAAGAATTTAGCCAGTTGGAGAAGATTCGTCATTTGGACTTGAGTAGAAATGGAATGGCAGAGTTCCCATTGCCACTGACTAAGTTGTCACAGTTAGAATATCTAGACTTGCAGGAGAATGAGATCTCTTGCTTGCCAGATGAGTTTGGACAGCTTGTAAACTTAAAAGAGTTCAAAATCAATAAGAATAAACTAGACAATTTCCCAGAAGTGATGTGTGCCTTGGCCAACCTGGAGGTGCTCAACATGGCTGACAATGTGATCATTGATGCACCAGAAGAAGTAGCAAACATGACAGGGTTGCGATACCTAGATTTGTCCAACAACAAGTTTGATATGTTTCCTACACATGTTTGTGCCATCCCCAATTTGGATCTTTTGAATTTTGACCAGGAGAATGGCTCAAAAGTTGGATGGCTTCCAGAAGAGCTTGGCCAGTCCAGCATTTGCCATCTTTATGTGCAAAACAACGAAATTGGTGGCCTTCCTCAAAGCATTGCCAGCATGAAGAACCTCCAGACCTTGGTGGCCCATCACAACAATATCATGTCCATCCCAGACTCCATGTGTGAGATGAGACTACAAGTGCTACAACTGGACGACAATCAACTCTCGACACTGCCAGCAGACTTTGATCATATGACTGGCCTAAATGACCTACGCTTACAGAACAACCCCCTGAAGACTCCCCCCATGGACATCTGTGTTAGTGGGGTACTGCAGCCTATTGGAAGGTTCCTCAGAAAACACCTGGAAAGAGAGGGTAAGAGGTGACCTGTATGGTTAATGACAATTATGGTTTTTAATTTAGGGGGTCCTTTAGTATTAAGTACTCATTTTGCATGCATTTAAGTGTTTAGTGCAGTTTCAATTATTATACTATAAAAATTGTGAGTTCTCAGGATTTGTATTGTATTTCATTGATTTTTTTTTAAATAAAGAATGACAAAACCATACATTTTCAGAAACCAAATAAAGGAGCAAATATGTTTCTTTCTCCATTTCAAGTATTTTAAGACATAAATGAGCAAATACAAAGTTTAACCTGGAAAAAAAATAATTGTTAATTTTTTTTCCAGAACTGCTGCTGCAGAAGATGATTGACCACATTGTCAACACAATAGACAAGCAAGAGCTACGCCAACTATGGAGAAAGTTCCGCTTTGAAGCTGAAGTGATTCAAGAACTGGAGCAGCAATACAAGGGCAAGGATAAGTTGAAGGAACGCATTCTTGCATCGATGAAATATTGGAAAGAGCATAATGCCGAGGCGAGTTGCGACCTCCTGATACACATAGTGCGGGTGTTGGGGATGGAGACACTGCATAGTAAATTAAAGGCTATGAAGATCTACTCCCAGGCATTAAGATTATAAAATGAGAAATGTGATTTAGTAGAGAAGGAAAAAAGCAGCTGAATTGTTTATCCATACCATAATAAAGCAAAGTAAATGCTATGAAGATCTGTTTCCAAGCAATAAGGTTGTGAAATTTCAGAGTTGCCAACTCTTTTCACACATTTCAGACATTTTGTCAATTGATTAAGGTTGCCTGCAAGTGTTAACTATGTTGTTAATTACACAATGAATGATAGATTAACACAAGTTGATTTCTGTGATGGTATAGATCCTAAAAGTGAAAAGTGTGCTTCCACATGTTGAAGAAAGTTAAAGTGAATTGTAATGCACACTGAATTTAAAGCGATGACAATCTACTCATTTTATTTTTGAGGTTGTGAATTTTAATTCTTGACAGACTGAAATAAATATACTTCTGTTATTTAAAATCTGTGAAGTTCTACTTGGTTTCAAGGTTGTGAATTCTTGGCAAATTAAGTGTCTTGTTTTTCCATGAGCTACATTATAATGCACATAATGTATGTATTTATTTGTTATTTATTTAGATCATTTTTTATCGCAGGTGTATAACACCCATTATTTCATATATATTTCACTACATGTAGTTTTTTTAATAGTTGTATTGCTGTAATGATTTATACAGCAACAGTCTTCAACGAAGTCTTCAGAGGGCACTCTGTCATTATAGTATTGTGTATTTTTAGTCATATATCTATATGTTTATCTTAAGACATATAGGTGTCTAGTCTGTTTTAGAAGCTCACAGTAGTGTTGGGACATCTATTTTTATACCTGACATTTCATACTGAAAAGATCTGGAGTACTTGTTAAAAACGAGGGCATTTCCACTAAATATGGCAAAGTTCATGTGATCAGGCACATATGCTGCTTTACTCACAGGGTAAAGAAGATACTACCAATGAAATTGGTTCAACAAATATACAGAAATATGTCATAATTTATGGAAATAGGGGGTGATGTTCATGCATATCATGACTTTATGCACTGAGTTGTATTTGTTCATTGCATTCATAATTTATGTGCCATCAAATGTCCTGAAACATGTAAAAGTAAAAAGTTGCAATAGAAATTGTAATAATAGATATAACAGGAGAGGGAGTGTGCATGTATTTGTGCGTCCTAGAGCATCTGCATGCATGTATGCGCATTTGTGTGTGTGTGTATGCAAATGGATGTAAACTGGATTAGTCCTTAGCAGTTCTAACAAATTGTCTACGCATTTATTGGTATGAAGTTAAATATAAATGTATGGTATTTTTGTACTCTAAATTAATTGTTTTCACATAAATATACATTTATTGCACAAATAAATAATAAAAAGGTCAATTTTTTTTTTTCCTTAACAGTGAAGAATGAAATTTCCCCGGTGCCTATAAACTGCATGATTTTACAATCGAGAGTTATTTCATTTGGAAATTGGAAATTTTGTGTAAGACATTGAATTCTCGCATATATTTAGTCCTCTCCCAACATTTCAGAAACATTCACCTAAGTCCACTCACTAACAGGCAGACGGGACAGAGAAAGAAAAAAAAAGATATCCTTCTTTGCGATAAACAGGGAAAGGAGTGGTTCCATATTTTTTCAACGCTCACTATGACGCTGTTCGGGTCGGCCTGCGAACCCGGTTCTTTAAATACAGATTGACGTTTCGGTTCTTTGAATTCAGTGAATCAAAACATTGTTTTCAAATCAGAAAAATCGAAAAAACTGACTACAAAGACAGTGGTTTATCTAGGGTATAAATGGCACATGTACGTGTCCTTGACTCCGTTTGAAGATAACGCGATTGAGATGTTTCTCGCCTTCTAGCGCAATAAGTACACTGTATATACACTGTTCCAATAAGAAAAAACTACCTAAACCCGTTCAGTTCTTGCTATAGTAACCTTTTCTCACTTAGATTGCAGTTTTATTTTAATTTTTTTCTTTCATTTTCTTTCACTTGAGAGAGATCCAGACCCTTTTAATTACAAATATTTTACGTCAAAATTTTGATACATATATATACATATCAGAATTGAATACAGCCAATTATGAGAAACGAAACATACAGGCTCCAAGTTCATAACGGCACTAAATGTATTCTTAATGTGTAAATCTCTCACGCCAGAAATTTGCGAAGGTGTGTTGTCATGCTGTGCCACTGTGGCTACCTAAGACTACTGACAAAGAATTTGCTTAAAACGCTTCCCTCAGGCAAATACTGAAGCAGAGTTTGGCTGAAAGACAGGGTCTATTTAACAAACTTTCGAGGGTTTCAGTTAAAAACAAAGATTCTATCAACAAATCCAGTCAATGACCTTTGAAAATGTCACGTTATTCCTCAACTCTAGGTCAAGCACATTTGATTAATTGCACATTTGATTAATTTGAAATATTTTATTTACGCGTTGCTGCCAAGTAGCCTAAAGAGTGGCCATGGAAATACGCGCCGTAAAGCAGTATAGGCCTAGTGTACTGGTAAAAGTAAATAGTTTTTCTGGTGTAAAATGCAGTTCAATTATCTTTGCTATTCAAATATCTACGTACGTATTTTATCAAAAACATATTTTAAGGATCAGATAATAAAAAAGTAAACAATGAAAAACAATCTAAAAACAGAATCAGTGAAAATCTTATTTTTGGATGACTTTTCATTAAAACGCCTTTTTGCATGAAAAAGGACTCTCATTTGGCGGTTACCTGTAAGAGCCATGAGGGATTCAAGTTCATTTTACTGAATCCTCAGCGCAGAGCAGCAAGCAATATACATAAATGTGCTTTCAGGAAAGAGGGTAAATTTTCTCTGTGGATGTAGGAGGCATGTATTAGCATGTGGGTCCATGAACGTATCTGTCTATAGGCCTATGTAAGCCAGATAAAAGTATTGCAACGTCTTTGACTCTTTCCTGAATTGGTCAAAAGTTATGGGAAATTGCGCAATTTTTATAACATTTTATCATCGGTTCAAATTAATCCCCGGTAGGCCCTACTCCGAATTTTCTTCTAGATCTCTCCCTTAAAGTTCATAATCTGACATCAAAAGATTTATCAGCGAGGAATTTTGATAGTTAAAGTCCAATAGGCCCAATCTGAAAATTTTTAACATCAGCAGTTGGGTTTCGTTATTTCAAAAGTTTTTTTGGGAGCTGGCTTGGTTAATAGGTTTGGGAGCCCTCCCTTCCACCGTTTTTTGAGTACCGTGCTGCTAAATGGTAACCCCGGGCCCCTTTAAAACTGTTTCCTTTACGAACCCAGATAGATATGCGGTTAATAGTTATAGAAACATTGCGTCTTCTGAATGGTAGGCTTATCATTTAATTAGGCCTAGTATCCAGTTACAATATACCTGTATATTCTTCAGTTTCACCTAAATATCGTTATTTTTTCATTTTATTAAATTTAATTAATTAATTAATTAATTAATTATTATTATTATTATTATTATTAATGTTTTTTGAACGGTCGAGATAACAGTGTGGCGACGTGTAGGCTATTTTATTTTATTTTTCTAAATAGGGGGTTTTTAACATAATTACCTAAAATTTGCTGAATGTTCAGAGTCAATAAGTGCTACATTTGTCAAGATGGAATAGAAAGATCTTAGAGATCTAGATGTCGTATGTCAACGGTATGAAGTTTAACTAGGAAGGGGGCGCATCTAGCGATCGAGGCAGACGAAGCGCTAGAAAGAAACACGGAAGCATAATTCTGTGCGCATGCGCATATGGGCAATTCCTGTCCCAGTTCACTCTTTCATTTACCTCTGTGATAAGTTTACAGTTCAACAAGATGAGTTACCCTTACGGTGGAGGGTACGGAGGCGGTTACCCTGGGGCAGGGGGTTACCCTCAGCAACAACCAATGCCAGTAAGTGGATTTTGATATCACAGACAACCTGACAGGCTGGAAAGACCAAATAATACGAGCATTTTTTTATTTATCTTGAAGTTGAAATCAGTGTTAACTAGTTGTTCACCAGTTATTGAGCAATCCTGATCGGTCTATAAATAATACACTAAATCCCAAAGTGACTCAGTGTCAGGGGGTTATGAAGTTATGGAGGCATTTTAACGCCGCCCCACTCTGACTGATTGAGAGAGAGAGAGAGAGAGAGAGAGAGAGAGAAACGGCTACAGCTGGTACATGTACTACTGTAGCAACAGTGTGTAGTATGATGTATTTTACATTTAATAATTGATACATCTGTGGTGTGTAGCCCTCTGTTTATCTGTAGTATACTAAATAACTTGTTCTGCGCTATTTTTGGATGATTTACCTTATGACCTGATACTAATGGTGCCCAGATCTGCATAAACAATTGCTCATATTTATAAATGCCTACAGATACAGTACAGTAGCATATCCTGTAGATCTACCCATGTAAATCATCACCAAAATTTACATGTTTGATGAGAAGAAATCTGCAACCACCCATTAATCATCTCAGCCATATGGTCATGCTTTACATCACTGGCAGTAAGAAGATGAAAGTGTATTTAGTTTTTCACTTCACTAAAATAGTCCCAGGTATCTTGATTTACCTCCCACTCAAACAAACATGTTTTTTTCTGAGGTTGTTTTCTTGCTGCTTACCAAACTAAAATTCTGAATTTTTTTGTTACTTACACGGCTGGTAGCAATTTACCACACTAGTACTGTTGTGTAGTATAGAAAATACAAGTATAGTATACCAGTAGAGGCCCATATGTACTTATCATAGTACGGAGATATAGGTACTTATCATCCCAGACCTTAGTACCAATCATATTGATTGTTATCTTGGATTATTTGGAGAAAATAGTCTGAAATAGCATATTTTTATTTCAGTTGTGAGATGGATAGTACAAAAATTAAGGGTATCTTATGAAAAAAATATGATATATGAAAGCTGTGTCAGTCACCAAAATTATTGATTACATTATATATATATATATTTATATATATATATATATACTTCAATAATGTAATCAATAAATTTGGTGACTGACACAGCTTTCATATATCATATTTTTTGCTTACTATTAAACCAATACCATTCTAGGGTATGCCTACACCAGGAGGTCCCCCATACCCTGGGGGTGCCCCCTATCCAGGTGGGGGCGGGGCCCCTTACCCCTCTGGGGGGCCAAATCTCCCCTATGGAGTGCAGCCACCAGGGGGCATGCCAGGACAGCTGGGATTTGGTGTAAGTATTGCCATATAGAACCACTTCATGTGTGTACTGGGAAATGATACGCACTAGTTAAATTAGGCTTACCTTTACTAGTGAGTTTAAGTTGGACTTAAGTTTAAAATGAAAATTTTCTCTTCCTCCACTTTCTTATTCTTTAAATTCAGCTTCTTGGCCCTTTATTATTATTATTATTATTATTATTATTATTATTATTATTATTATTATCTCTAGGGAGTGGAGTCAGCTGTGAGAAGTGGACCTGGTGGACCAGGGATGCCACAGCCAGGGATGCCACAACCAGGGATGCCCCAGGTAACATCTAACGCAATCACATGTTGGTGCACCTAACACACTGTCACAACAAATGCAATTTCACATTCACTATACACTAGGTATAATTTCACACCCTTTTGTAATGTTGAAAACAACGGTATCCCGTAGCTTGAGTCCACTATAGATAAAAATGCAATGCCCATGCAAAAAATATTATTTTAACAGAGACACAAACTCGATGTCACCTGTTATATATGTAAAGTGTTATTTATGTTTTCTTACTTTTCAGTATGGGATGGGTACAGGCTATAACAGTGGTCCCCCGCCAGGACCAGCATCATACAACCCTCCTCCTGTGGCCTACCCTGCCCCTGCTGCCCCTGGGGGATACCCCACTGTTACAGCCCCTATGGGAGGGGCAGGAGGATATCCTACTGCAGCCTCAGGGGGAGGTTATGGTGCCCCAGGGGGATATGGGGCACCCCCTGCAGCACAGGGGTATCCCACAGCCTCAGCACCTGGGGGTTACGGGGCACCATCAGCCCCCTCGGCTCCAACCCAGTCCCCGGCCTATCACACACCCAAACCCCAGGCTGGCTATGGGGGGTATTCACAGCCCACTGGAGCCTATGCATATAGTGTCAAGGTAAAGTGATGCATGCTAGTTTCTCTTGAATTGACCCAAAGTATGTGTTGATATAGAATGGGATAAAGATAGGGAAAACTGTAATGCAGTTACACATATGGTTTCATTTATTGACAGCCTAGACATACTGGGGGTACTAGTAAGCTGATACATGGAAGATGCTGAGTGATGGATTAATTGATTACTTGATTGATATGATCAGTTAACTGATTGATTGAGTGATGTAGTACATGCAGCAACTGGCTAACAGGTACAGCACTTGTGATCTCCTATCTTTTATTGCAATGAAAATAAAGAAGCGAGATAATCTGTCAGTTTTAACCTACATTGCCTTCATATTGTAGATTATAGTGTTTAGATAAAAGCTGCATATTACATTCACCACGCATGCTGCACATCCTTATAAGTGCTGTTGGATTTCTAATTTACCTAAGTCATGTTTCCAGTCAAGTGGGACTGACCTGACTTAGCCCAGGCCATCAGGGACATGTTTCACTAAACAGCTTAGGTCCGAAAAATTGATCCAAGGGCTCATTCCTAATGAAACTATTGTTCTGCTTATCGATCCAACTCTGCAGGGACCTGCTGAGATACATAGCTCATTATGAACGAAGTAGACTTGAATGGAAACACCACACAGGAAAAATTGACATTGATAGTTTTTAATTGTGATGAATTGTGCTGGCGTGAATAAACTTATGATGATAGATAGAAGTGTCAGTAACAGAGGATTTTTTATGTTTTATGGAATCGAATACCATTTGGTTGTTACTTAGTTACTTGTTTCATTTCCCTCATGGGAGGTTTAGAGATAAAAAAGGCATTTAAAAAAGAAATGTGTTATTTGCTTACACACAAAAATAATATCTGCTGTTACATTAGGATCAGCTGCTGTAATTTGCTGTAATGTGAAATATTGATTTGGTATGTCTTGTGGGAAATTTGTCAAAAAGATTTAAAAAAAAGGACAATCAATGATCATTTTAAGTAATACCAATATCAGTTGACAACGTTTAATATTACAAGATAAATTCAAATTCAATGATATCATTTTTGATATGCAGATCCCCTATTATTATTATTATTATTATTATTATTATTATTATTATTATTATTATTATTATTATTATTATTATTATTATTATTATTATTTGCAAAAGGAAAGTGAAAAACAACAACATAATCAAGAAAATTGAAGCTTAACTAGTTTTATAAGTCTTATACATAGAAATCAATGATGTTGTTAATAAATGATATGTTATTACTTGCAAAAGATGTAGATACTAGTGCATACGTAAGTGCAACATATAAACACGAAGGATATTGAATATTATAATATGTGAATTTCAAAAATTTCAAGAATTAATTTTTTATGTGCAGCTGGGTTAATGCTAAGCTATTGTATTTTTGTTTCAAATAATAAATTGAAAATTCTTAAAATATGTTTGAAGCATAAAACAGAATAAATTTTATTTTTTCTTTGACATTATCTTGGAGATAACATCCTTTGTATTTTTTAAGCTAGGATAACTTTGGTCGCCCCTTGTGTATTCAGGTGTTATAACTTGAATATAATATAATATAATATAATATAATATAATATAATATAATATAATATAATATAATATAATATAATATAATATAATATGTACAGCTGTGGATCACTTCACTATATTTCACCTTACATAAAAGTATGTGCAAATCATTGCAATTTTAGTAAAATAAAATAATATTTCTTAAATGAAACAAAACTCATTTTTAATGATATATATGGTGAAAAAAGAGACACACTGAATGAATACAGAATCTTTTTCTTGCATCATAGAAACCTGGGACTGGACATTTCCCCTCATTTCATCCTATTAGCACTTGCATGCTGAGTTAGCTACACATCACAGTGGGCATTCAGTTAGTACGGGATATACCTGCATGCTGCGAGAGCTGCAGATGATGCACTGCACCACATAAATGCCCGGCTTGCACTATTAATATAATTAGGTCAGAGGAAGGGTGTGTATATATAGACTGCCTGGTAGCCTGTAAAAGATAAACACAACTGGCTCATAAAGTAGACCAAAAGAAGAGCAGACGTCTTCACAATGGCTAGTGCTACGGAGGTGAGTTTTCAAAAAAAAAAGATATTATGAACTAAAAGGGATGTTGTGTTGCTAATTGATGTATTGAGATGCACTGGATAGCATTCTGTTTCTGTTGTAGTTATGAACAGGTTTTATGAATGATTTATAACTTGGTAGTTGTTATGATGCAGAATATGTACTCTAAATACTTTTTTGACATGTTTTTTATCAGATGAGCTCATGATCATTTTGTGTTTGAACAGTGAGGGAAATAGTTGTCTGCATTGCAATCGTGCATGCAACAGATATTTTGATATTTATCAGAATAGTTCTTAGATCCCATGTTAATTGGGTAAAGACTGTGCCAGGCTTGGGGAAAAAACTCAATCCCCTATTAAATGTGTGATGAAATTGTTTTGTCCCATGTTCTTTCTTTCTCTCTTAAAAAACATTTTCTAAAAAGTTCAAGCATGACCTGCATACGTCTTCTATGGTACCGGTACATATAGCTATAGGAAAGGTCAAAGTAGGACAGCTGAGTATATATACTACATACTATAGACACTTGGTTGATTTTAGTACAATTGCAAGTGGCAGCGAAAAGCAATTTGGGGTTGAAATATTTTTTTTTTGTATTATGCAGGTTTGAACTCTGGTAATTTATTGGGTAAAAGTTAGTATATTTGGTGGTGGCAGTTTTGTTTAAAAATTATGTCTGCCCCTTCATTACATATTTCATTCATGATTAAGCAGGATTTCTGATAGTTTTAATTAAACATATGGCTAGTGATGCAGTTCGGAGCAGCTTGTAAACAGCTGTTCAGTGAATCTGAGAGATTGAAAACCATGTTTATGTACCACCAACACATGGCCATATCGGAACTTTCTTTATAGAATATATATTTATGGTTCAGCCATTTTATGAACTAAAAATTTTGTGTGACACTCTTCGTTTTTTATATCCTACTGCAAGTTGAGAGTTGAATTTTATTAGTCTGATGTGAATCATCTATTTTTATCATCACTTTAAACATGTAATGATGATTATTCAAAGACATGAGAGAGATATTAATAGATATCACACTAATTTGCTATGTCTCTTGGCAATGAAATATGCTCAAGTATGTCTATAGCCAGGCAGCAGCATGGTGTAAAATGATATAAAACTTGTTATACTTTCCTTAGAGTATAAAGATGCATTGTGTCATTTTGATTTATTGTTCATAAATTTAATGGATATTGAATATGGAAGGCTTTCAGCTGTATTGCTAGCTACATGTCACTGTCATCAAGTTGATATATTAGCCATGAGAGTGGATATGAGCAATTATGGTGCTTGTAGTTTTTGAGTACCCTGTTAGTTTTATGAAATGGTCCATATTTCATGAAATTACATGGTATTTGTAATAAAATTAAATTTTATCACTAATTCTTTACATCAGAGAAGTTACTTTACTTTTGTTCTGTTGTTCCTTTTCTCATTTTGGTAAAATACTGAAATGTGAAAATGTCTCTGCAGCTTGATAGATTTTGGAAAGCAGTCATACTTGCATTAAACCACAAAATTATTCATTATTGCTTGACAGCTATTGCACCAGTACCACATTATCCTGTTGTTGAGTAATTGCTTCCAGAAAAAATATTTTAGCTAAAGAAATTGTTCAAATTAAATTATTTTAAATCTTTTTTTTCTCCGACTCGGCGTGTGATTTAGCCATGCATAAAACATAACATTTAGCTTAAATCTTCAAGATAATTGGTTGAAAGCAAAATACTAGGAGACATGAGGGTGAGCTGAGATCCTGATATACAGTGTTTTTATACAGTTTGTTTTTTTTCTACAGGAACAGGGAACTGTAAGAGACCACACCCCTTTCAACCCTGAAGATGACAGTGCTAAGTTGAGGAAAGCCATGAAAGGATTAGGTAAGTCGAGTACAAGTCTCTCACCCTGAATTTTACACATTAAGAACTAGAACTAACCTAAATCATCATTACTAGTAGTTGTATTTCCAGCCATTTTTTGATAACCAGAAAGTGAGTCACTGAGGAAATAGGTTAAAATCATAGTATGTGAGTGCCTGGAATTATATTCATCATCATACTGACTGCTACAGCTATGACCTTATTACAACAAATGAATAAATAAATAAGTAAACACTGTTAATTTTACATGTTTAATTGGAAAGAGGAAATTGGGCTGGTGAAATGACTGACAGTACAGTGTAGAAGTTTTCATATGTAGATGTGCAACATTCATAGCACCTAGGTAATCCAAATGCAAATTAGGTGATTAGTATTTTTTTTTTACAGTATGCTGCATTTTTACGGTATGTAGCATTTATGCCCAGTATGTTTGAATCCAAAGTTTTTATTTACCTGACTTATGCCAGATATAATCTTCTATTTCAGTTATTATCGGTTCAAAAATGTTCATTATCAGTTCAAAAATGTTCATTCTGAATCAAATTTGTTAAAATTTACAGGTACTGATGAGAGAGCCATCATTGACATTCTTGGATTTAGGACAAACGCACAACGCCAAAAATTGTTTCTGCAGTACAAAACTATGTATGGAAGGGTAAGTATATTCCATTTAAAGACAAGTATTGTCTTGTTGGATTTTGCATGATGGAATTGTCATGAGAGTCTTTTTTTTTTTTTTTACGCACATGGAACCCATTACCACAAGTCACAGCATATTAACCTAGCTGTGCTTCATGTCTCAGCACTAAACTATGGAGCCCCAGATGTGCTTCTGAGGTGTACTGTATTTACTCAGTGAATTAAAACAAAATGAATGACTGAATGGATGATATTTTCTAAAGCAGTGTTCTGTGGATTATACCTGAAAAAGATGAATAAAAACAATTTAGAAAATGAGTTAAGTATAGGTAGCATGCTTTGTGAGAAACAAAAAGCGATGAAATTTGAATAATATCAATGAGAAAAAAATGAGAAGTTTGAAATTTATGGTTAATGACTGTTAGTACATTATTTCCCCTCTGGATAAAGATTGCATGATGTTTATAAAATTATGAATCAATGATGAATTTCCCCAAGGTCTGCTTGATCCTTGAATGGAAGATAGAAAGGTTCTTTTATAAAATTGTCTTACCACATTAGGCAGATTTCCATCCTTGAATATCATGCAACATCATATCTATTGCTTCTCTTATTTTAATTCATTGCAATGTGATACAAGTATTTTTCTTTATTTAATTACATGTACCACTAGGGAGACTTAAGGATGTTTCTTATTGAGACATTCAGTATCTTATTTAGCCATTAGATTTTTTAATTAGACTGTTAGGTTAAACAGTCTGGACAGTATGGGTATTTCTGTGTACATAATCTTCTTTTTATTGATGTCAAGGGAGCATACCTCTTAAACTATTTATATGTGTAGTTAAATTACATAGCTTATCCCATAGCTGACACTTTCAACAATAGGATAATTGCACATGTATTTTACTTACGCACTTGCCTGTATTTTAAATCGCTTCGTGCGTTCGACCTTTTGTTCAAAGTGCCAGTTGTGGGATAAGTCAGTTACAACTACTCTTCATCCACTGTATGCCATGCAAAAGAGCCTTGATGTAATTAAACTCTTGTATGTTGTGTACAGTGGATGGATTGTATAAGTGAATATGATGCTGCTAGCAGTATCTTCCACTTGTTGAAAACTGCTTGGTTATGTGGCATCTAAATCTATAATTAATTTATTGTATTAAGCAGTTTCCATGCAATTTGTCCAGTTATTAGTTGAATCATCTAGGCACCATATATGACCTTCAACTTACAACTTCCTTCAGCTCTTACATTATTATTATTTGATTTCTGATGAAAACGTACAGTGTATTTTATTTATATATTTAGAATTATTTTTGCATCATTTAAGGATTTAATACAAGACTTGAAGAGTGAACTGAGTGGTAAATTTGAAGATTGTGTCCTGGCCCTCATGTTGCCTCCTGAGAAATATGATGCCTCGGAACTCAGGCGTGCAATGGCGGTAAGTGGCTGGCTCATCAATATGAAGGAAGCTTAATTTATTTAAGGTCTAAAGTCTTAATATTTTATGTAACTAACTAAAATTGGTTATCTATTCCATTTGTCATTCACTTGCAAAATATTGTCTAACTGATAGGCCGAAAATTTGAAAAAGGATTTTGTCATTTTTTAAATTTTTTGGAGTTGTACCAATGAGTCTGCATTGAATTTGAGCAAAATTTATGTTGGTTTATTTGGAATTGCAGAAATATGGTAGAAATATTTGTATGGTCATTCATTCAGTTTTAGCAACAGTGCATTTTAGAGTAAAAACGGGAATGAAATCAATGAGTATGCCAGGTGAATTTTTTAATATGGCACTGTTTTACAATACATTTTTAGTGTAAGTCTCATATGCTTAATTTTTTATGGCTTTGGATGAAGTAAAGTTATCAGTCATTATACATTAATGTAGATGTATGTGTAGATTCATATTTTAGATTTCATATTGCAGGGTTTAGGAACTGATGAAGATGCACTGATTGAAATTTTGTGCACAAGGAACAATCGTGAAATCCAGGCAATTAATGCAGCTTATAAACAAAGTAAGTTTGAAAACAAATTTGATATTGTGCTTTCTATTGAAATGCGGACATGCATTTTTTGATACTTCACTTTTTCAAGTAATAAGATTTTTAAATCATTAAAATGATCATTATTTAAGCATAAATGCTGTACTTTTAGTGTACCGGACCTCACTAGAACAAGACATCGCAGGAGACACATCTGGTCATTTTAAGAGGCTCATGGTTTCTATGGCAAATGTAAGTACAAATGTGATTGTGTCAGCTGTACCAGTGTGTTGGATGTGACAGTGTGTCAGCTGTACCAGTGTGTTGGATGTGACAGTGTGTCAGCTGTACCAGTGTGTTGGATGTGACAGTGTGTCAGCTGTGATAGTGTGTTGGATGTGACAGTGTGGCAGCTGTACCAGTGTGTTGGATGTGACAGTGTGTCAGCTGTGATAGTGTGTTGGATGTGACAGTGTGGCAGCTGTACCAGTGTGTTGGATGTGACAGTGTGTCAGCTGTGATAGTGTGTTGGATGTGACAGTGTGGCAGCTGTACCAGTGTGTTGGATGTGACAGTGTGTCAGCTGTGATAGTGTGTTGGATGTGACAGTGTGGCAGCTGTACCAGTGTGTTGGATGTGACAGTGTGTCAGCTGTGATAGTGTGTTGGATGTGACAGTGTGGCAGCTGTACCAGTGTGTTGGATGTGACAGTGTGTCAGCTGTGATAGTGTGTTGGATGTGACAGTGTGGCAGCTGTACCAGTGTGTTGGATGTGACAGTGTGTCAGCTGTGATAGTGTGTTGGATGTGACAGTGTGGCAGCTGTACCAGTGTGTTGGATGTGACAGTGTGTCAGCTGTGATAGTGTGTTGGATGTGACAGTGTGGCAGCTGTACCAGTGTGTTGGATGTGACAGTGTGTCAGCTGTGATAGTGTGTTGGATGTGACAGTGTGGCAGCTGTACCAGTGTGTTGGATGTGACAGTGTGTCAGCTGTGATAGTGTGTTGGATGTGACAGTGTGGCAGCTGTACCAGTGTGTTGGATGTGACAGTGTGTCAGCTGTGATAGTGTGTTGGATGTGACAGTGTGGCAGCTGTACCAGTGTGTTGGATGTGACAGTGTGTCAGCTGTGATAGTGTGTTGGATGTGACAGTGTGGCAGCTGTACCAGTGTGTTGGATGTGACAGTGTGTCAGCTGTGATAGTGTGTTGGATGTGACAGTGTGGCAGCTGTACCAGTATGTTGGATGTGACAGTGTGTCAGCTGTGACAGTGTGTTGGATGTGACAGTGTGGCAGCTGTACCAGTGTGTTGGATGTGACTGTGTGTCAGCTGTGCCAGTGTGTTGGATATGACAGTGTGTCAGCTGTGACAGAGTTTTAGCTGTAGCAGCTAGTGTTTTGTGATTGTCGATTTAATATTTTGTGACAGTGTTAAGAAAAGATTGCGCATAACAGCTAGAAACTTTTTGTTTTAGGGGATTTCACTGCCCCCTTTTAATGCTGTATGAAACCATACTGTGTGTTTACCTGGACAAGTGTTTATGTTTATTTTTCAGGGCCACCGAGATGAAAACCAAGCTCCTAATATGCAAAAAGCACAGCAAGATGCCAGGGTAGATCACAATATGATTTATATACTATTTGTTTTGTTTAACTTTTTAATGCACCAGTATGCAAATTAGCAAATCCTTGTTATTGTTTTTATGTGGGAAGTCCAATAACGCTAAGATGGGGCACGTGTAGATATTTAAAAATGTATGCAAACACACGTCCACGCACGCACACCTCTTTTTTGATTATACACATAATATTTCATCATGCTTCTCCACCAGAGAGCAAAAGGTCAGACAAAACGGTTGATTATACTGTAATAAGATTAAATCTAAAACATTTGTCTTATGTATAGACACTTTACAAATAAATGCTGTTTTCAGAAACTGTATGATGCTGGAGAGAAGCGCTGGGGCACAGATGAGTCCATGTTTAATGCCATCTTGGCATCACAGAGCTTCCCACAGCTCAGGGCAGTGTTTGACGAGTACCAGAAGTTATCTAAGAACACTATTGAGAGAGCCATACAGAGTGAGATGTCTGGGGATCTGGCCAAGGGAATGCTGACAATAGGTAAAGAGAATGCTGTTGTTTTAATCTTGATTTAATGTATTTGATGACCACTTCATTAAATCCATTTAACTCTCAGTTTGAGCAATACATATTTGTTTTTACAGTGAAAGTGGTGAAGAACAAGGCCTCATATTTTGCTGAAAAAATGTATACTTCAATGAAGGTATGTACAAACTGTCTTTGTTTGGAAGAATGTATCTGAATGAAGTTTAATGTGCAGACACTGAAGGTTTCAGTATATATTCTGATAACCTGCATCCGGTCATTTTTGGGACTTTTTCACCATGACTGCCAAACCATAAATTTTGTTTGAATTTCAATTAAATTCAGAGATTGCGTTAAGCGAAAAGGCAGATAGAGTTTTAAAATTGGCATAGTCAGATTATTTTAGTGAGCGATATTGGATTTTTTTTTTTTTGCATGTATTTTGGCAAAATGAATGAAGAAACCACTGTATTAATTCAAATGTCAGACAAATAATTTTTGAGTAGGATGCCAAAATATTGACAAGGTCCTCAAGAGCACCTGTTTTCTGTCATTATGTTTATTATTTATATTATCTACTTGTTGTCTACTCCTAGGGCCTGGGTACAGATGACAAGACACTGATCCGTGTGGTAGTCACCAGGTGTGAAGTGGATATGGTCCAGATCAAAGAAGAATTTCAGAAGAAATATCAGCAGAGTTTGGGAGCTTTTATTAGGGTTAGTGCATGTGTTGTATTGCTACAGTTTTGTTTATACAAGATATATGCACATCTGTGAAAACACACACACACACACACACACACAGAAAAAATTTTAAAAGGTGGAAATCTAACTTTCTTCAATGTTACTTAAAGAAAAACAACCAAAATCAACATTTATGACCCTTATGCATGACCTAAACCTATTTGTACTTGCACAGTTGTTTGAAAAGGTTTAAAGAAGTAAACATAATGATAACTGCGATGTTATGATTGAATTTTTTTACATCACAGTGTTGATTTTTATTTCAGGATGATACATCAGGAGACTACAAGCGAGTTCTGCTGGCATTGTGTGGAGAGAGATACTGATTGCCTTACCCTCTGGGAATATTACACCCCCTGGGAATGTGACACCCCCTAGGAATATGACACTTCTAGGAATATGACACTCTTATTCTAGTATCAGTAATATGTCAGGTCTGTGGATTGGAATAGTTTGTTTGTTATATATCTCTTTATATTATATAAAAGTAGTTGCCTTCAAAGATGGTGCGATTCTTGACTAGCATGCAACTGACTGCTGAAATGTGATAATAGCATGTACATACTGAGCACATGCACACTTAATTGGATTCAGATCCAGAGAGGATCTTACCCAAAGCCCTGCTCCCCTCCTCATTTCAATCCAGCCCAACCCTGTAGCTTGTCTTATATATATGATCCAAATAATTTGATTGGATCTTATATGTAGTAATAGTGGAAGAGAGTTTTTAAAGACTTTCATTCCAACTTTGCCTCAGATATGAGCAATGCATCAGTTTATTGGGACAAAACAGTTATCATGCAAAGTAAAAGGTATGTTATGGATCTACATTTATGACAGATGCAAAGCAGAATCCTTATCACCCCTTTATAGTTATATTGATATTTTTGCTAATATACATGTAGCGGAATCTTCCATTGGTATATTGCAATATGCGTTTATGATATCTGTCATTTTTTCAAATTCTCTGTTAATGGATCTGTTGAATAGTTTAATATATATTGCATGTAAATTTCATGTTTTCTGTGAATTTTTGTGAAATGCTATTGTCTAGAAATTTAATTGTCATGTGTCTGTGAAATTTATTATGGATTAAGTTTGAGAAAGAATGGTTCAAATTCTTGTTGTAGATTAATTTTTTAATTGATATAAGTATCATTTACCTTTTAACCTTTTTGAATTTCTGGGTGGGTTTAGGGGCAGACAGTGTTATCATTTAACAAAACATTTGATTTGCAAAGAAACTGACAGTGTATTTTAAAACATTACTATTTTCTTTTTTACATGAATTCTTATTAATCTGCATGATGTGAGGATGAAATTAGATAGTCCAGCAGTGGTATTGAAACAATATGATCAGGCAGATGACTTCACCTATTCTTTTCTGTGTCTTTTCTTAGTCTTTAGTGAACAAGTGGATGGTTGAATACAGACATAATCACACTTTGATGTCATTATGATTAGAAAAAAATTCAGATGATTTAAACCAGACTGTTATCATGTATAGTTATAGACCCATACATGCCTTCCATAGCAGAGGCTGAGCTTGGAACCCAGTGCTAGTTTCTTTAATTGAGACGTCCTCTGATGCCCATGAAAAGTGTGTACCTATGGAGATTTCGTAGTGAAGAAAGTGGCTACATTGGTGGCAATGGTTGGATCTGGAATATTTTAGAGACTCTGTCTAGCATGTACATTGGCTTTTATATATTTTTGAATTAAATGATAGCAGCAGTGATGTGATATACCCATAATAATGGGATGTAGACCCTGTTATTGTTATAAGCAACCAACCTAAGGTCTTTGCCTGTTATCTACGGTATATGCAGCTTATGCTGGGAAAATGCCAGCATATTAGTGAATGCCATCAATACCACTAACATTGTGATCATGACATTGCTATGCAGTGATAAAAAATAAACAACTTTAGAGTGCAATTTTATTCTAACATATTTATATTTTTCATAACTTCAGCTCACACTATTAATATGCTGCACTTTGTACAGTAGAATATGGATGATTCTTTCATCTTTCTGCTTGTTATTTTTGTACCCCCTAAATAACTTTTTGTGTATAGATTAGTTTTCAGGTTTTTGCTAATTTTTCATGTAATGTGTTGAATTATATTTGACATGATGATGTCTTGATTATTGTACCCAAGATGATGTTGGATGTGGTTAGTTTGATGTTTTGTTGATTTGTCTTTTTTTTGAAATGTGTGTAAAAAATTTCTTAAGAATTACATCTCTTGTAAAAATGGCTAGTCAATTTTGGAGGTTGGAAGTCTGTTCCATATGAGAATTAATAAATTTAGTAATATTTATTTTAGATCTTTTGTCTTTATAATCACTTTAATTCATAACAAGAAAAGCTTTTTTTAGACAATTTCTGCCAAACATAATACTAGTATGTTGGGTTGAACAGCAATTTGCTATCATTTAGCATTGTGATTGGGCTTTGTTTGGCAAAGGGGAAAATTAATTGGCAGAAAATGCTTCAAGAAAGTGATTTTGATCATGTTTTAGCTATTTTTCCCTTGATGCCCAGTGTACTTCACTTCATATCACATATTCAATACACTATGGATATAGATTTCTGCATGTTGAAATATTGTGTTTGTCAGAGTATCTGGATTAAAAGTTCAGTATAATCTCCTGTCATTATGAGTCTATAGGCTAAACAACCTAAAATTACAGTGTTTTTTCTACAAATAATTACTGGTTTAGATGTGGCCCAATTAGTCGCGAAATTGCTTTATTTTTAATACTACATACCCCTCCATGACTTACAATCGTTTTGTGCTGTACTAGTAGTACCTTCTCTCTTTAATCCCACTCTAAAATTCAAGTATTAAGACAAAAATGATAAATATATTCAGTTTTATTACAGCAATATCAGAGAATATATGATAACACAGATTTTCAAACCAAAGAGATATACTGCAGTTAAATATAAAAAAGTATTGAGCAAAACAAAGCTACCAGTATATATCATGAGACAAATGGTCAAGGAATTGCTGAAAGTTCTATTTCTTTTCTTAAGCTACATTTTGTGTTATTCTGACCCTCTAAGTACTACATTCTCAATCTACAGTATTCATGTGCTGGAGCCATTTCCATATTGAAAACATGCTACTTTGTCTTAAATCTTTGTGTAAAACACTTTATGGAAGACTTTAAATCATGTGAGATTTAACAAGTGACATTTAAATAAGTGAAATGACCAGAATTCTTCATTTGACTTGTGTAATATAAGATTCAAACATAAATTCCACATGATAAAGCTATGACATATAATTATTCCCATTGCTAAAAGATGCTGCTGTTAAAAAATGAGATCTTTGAAAAACTGTTTAGTTTTGATAATTTCTTTTTTGGTCGTTTCTCAAAAGACCATATATTCTTGAGCAAAAAAGTTTTTTAGACAAAATGAAACTGACTCACTTCTTTGTAAATTTTTGAGCTTCAGATTTATGTTGACTCTTAAATTTTTGGTGTAAAATTTTAATAGTGAGCATGTTAACATGTTAGGCATGCATTGTACATCCAAACTAGAACTTTCTTCACATGGTTTCCCCTAATAGGCCTACTCTTTCACACACACGTTCATGCAGACAAACACACATACACACACATTCATGTAAATAAACCTACACGTCCGTGCACACACACACACACACACACAATGCCAAGTCGTTTCTTTCAATAAAAAGACCCAATTGTTATCCACTACACTGGCAGTTATATAAAAAATATTTAAAATCACAGTGTGCAATCTGAAATCGGGAATGTGCTATTAATTACAATCATTTGTATCTCAAACTAATTTTGATTAGGCTCAACAATGCAAAAGACTGTGCTTTGAGCAATTTTTAAAGAAATGCCTTAGCTGGCATGAAGCGGTGGGATTGAGCAAGTCAATTTCTTTCCTGTTTCAACATCTGTTATTCTCTCAGGATCCCTGCATAATCGTTTTGTGCTCTTCTTTTGTAGCAATTCTTCTTACATTACTTTTTTTGAAGACAGAGTTCCTAATAGTCTGGTAGTGAAGACCTGGAATAAGAAATCATCGATACAAAAAAACAAGAACGCACATATACAATGTTATATACGTCCTTCATGTGTATTGAACCAATACCCTGTACGGTCACTTTCAAGAACGATGCCAAAAGCACATCAAAAATTGAACGTAATTGTGGTAGTTTTGCTGGTATTGTCCCACAAAACAAATGCCTAGAACAAGCAGACGTTGAAAATGAAACCCAGACAATGAGATTGCCTTCTGTTTTTGTCGCACCTAGCGCATTCCTGTACAACTTACCTCGCGCCTTTTCTGCCTGCAGAACTTGTGCGACTATGGCTGCCTCGCTGGCTGCTAGAGGGTCTGGAATATGACGAGTCTTCCTGCTCTAATTCACCTGAAAATGAATTGATTAATTAACCAAAAAATGACAAAACGAAAAAGGATAAAAAGTATCACATAAAATAATCTTATTAGTGTTTTAACTTTTTTTAATCTTAAAAAACACCAAAAGCACTTAGCAAGGAATACGAATACATTGTGAGACGGAGACTTCACAAAATCGTCGGTCTCAAGTGTCATCAATATTTGACGTTGCTTTTTTAGAGCGACTTCACTGTAAATTTCATATCTGAAACTGCGGTGCTATCAGACCGATTTGAAATGCATAACAGGTCGGTAAAGATTCAGAAAAACTTTTCAAGTTGGGTAGTTATATCACGAAGTACAAAATTCAGACCTGTTGCTAACAGATATTATAGCATTGGTCTACCTCTAATATTATATTATGTTATATTGTTACCCAGGCCCGTAGCCAGGGGGGGTTCGGGGGGTTCGAAAGAACCACCCCTTTTGCTGGGAAAAGGTCCACTCTGGGTAAAATTTGATCTAGATACATGAAGTTTTTATGGGAAAAGGTCCACTTTTTCAGAAAAAGAACCCCCCTTTTGAAATTGCTGGCTACGGGCCTGTTACCTCTACTGTGAGATCTGCCCAAAGGCCTGTCTGCGCTAGTGTCTGGTCTGCCCGAGTCCACCCGACCATAGTTGCTCTCCGACTGTTCAGAATAACCGTCCTTTTCAGTGGACCGTTCCGACGACTGAGACAGTCTAAGAGGCCGAGAGCGACCCGAATGCATCTGGAGAAGAAACACGCACGAATAGATAACTAAATAATTATAAATCGATACCTGGAATCTCGTAACCTGAGTGAGTACATATGTCCTTTGTCGACAGTTATTTCTTTCAGTTGTAGAATATATTATATATACATGTATCAGAGACACGCTCGGATAGGCAAATAAATAAAAAAATAAAACAGATAAAAATGAAAAAATAAAAACAAACTAATAATAATAATAATAATAATAATAAAGATAAACAAATCAATAAGAAATAAGTTTCAGGGGCTTAATCCATCCAACCATAATTAAACGATAAATAAACAAAATCTTGTCGTATTAAGACTTACCTGACTACCATATCCACTAGAATATAAAGGCGTGGCTGCTGGCACCATGGGTCTCCGCGTCCTCCGTATCGAGGCTGATGACCGCGTTCTGGTAGGTGATCTGTACACGTTCATAACCATCACATCATCCGGGTCCTGATCTATGGGATCGTTTGGACCAGGGTACCTGTGGAATAAAAATAAATTAACCAATAAACCATTAAATCAATAGATAATGAATAAATACTTTTGAAACTTGTCGCATTGTTGTCTTTATAATAATTGGTGAAAATGATTTTACTTGAAGGAGTCATTTTGCAGAATATGCGTTATTTACACATCACATTAACCTTGCTGGCATTTGTCACAGTTTGTTATCTTTTCCATGATTATTGTATTCAGTTTAACAGAAGTTACTTATAGCTCTGTCCAAGGCCAACTTGATGGCATTTTAATAAGCAATAGTCAGTGATTAGAAGGTATTTATTTGATGACTACAAGAAGATATGGACCTGTATGTAAATTATCTTTTTTATAATTCGACAGTGCGGGTACTCTACATTAATTATCTTCCTTCGGGGTAACCCGCTGAGTGATAAACTCTTCTGGGCCCCAAATCAATCTCGTTTATTTAGTGACATGAAATATTAATCTAACAAGTCAGATTGATTGAGCGACAGTGATCAATCAAGTATTTCTCTCACCATGGGTTTTGGAATAAGTGTGTATGCCTGTCTTCGCACCACTGACGGAATTCACCCAACTGAAAGAAAGAAAAATAATCTATGCAATTAATTTTTACTTTCAGCTGAGAGTATTTCACAGAATCGATGCACCTGCGACCTACTGCGCACCTACGATCGAATCAAGACTGGGAACCATTTACCAAACGCTGTAGGATAACTTTATAACCATTTTCATTCTTAGGCCCGTTCTTGAAAAAACATTTTGTCTTTTTTTACTTAATTTGATAGAAAAGGCCTACATCAGAAAAAAAATCGCCTTTTTTTCTTTACAACGATTTAACTAGAAATGTAATCATCGCCATTCAAATGTGCACAGTAAAACGTTGGAGTGTTTGGCAACCGTGGGAACCCTATAGAATGTTTGATCTGTATATTGAACTGTGCGGTCTTACAAGGAATCGTATCGGTAGAAAAAGGTATGTACTTGATATCATAGTCACCGCAAATTAAGAGATGTCAACAGTTTCGACGATAAAGTAAATAGATATAAAACGCTGTGATTAATCTAAAAATCGATCGTTTAGGCTTCATTTTCTTTTTTACTAATATCAAAACTGATGTTTCCCAATATTTATACATTTTTATCCGTAAACAGTGTAACACGATATCAGATTGATGAAGTTTTTCAGTATCAAAGGCATTTAGGTGAATCGATAACAAATGTATTTGACTTGTCTCCCTAAAATAAATAAATAAATAAATAAATAAATAAATAAATAAATAATAAAAATAAATAAATAAAATTTACCTGTATTTGCCTGCCTGACTGGGGCACCCCCCAGTCCGTAAACATGGGCACACCCCAACCAACTTCTCCCACACGGGCAGACTTAGGCTTGGGGTGGGGGGAGTCCCTGGGGGCCCGCCACAGGTACGCTGCCTCGCTGGTTCCTAGGGGGGACATGGTGCCCTCCCCCACGTAGCGGTACTCGTCCTGCACGCGGACCCTGTGATCCCAAAGGCCGTCTGGACCTGAGAAGGGGAGATACGACATACTAGACATAATAGTAATTTATTGTGTAATTCTTCTCTAATGTGAAGCAAACAGTTTTCTTATATTCCTGTGATGCGGGTGATCCGTTAGTAAATCAGTCAGTATCTTTTCACATTTGCTTGTTAATGAGCTCAATTAGTCCGGAATATATCCTATACAGATATCCGCTGAACTGGATACTAGACGGGATTCAACTGTCTTGGTGTATTATCCTTCGTTTGTTTGCCGTTTATAATTATTAGGCAGGCGCTGTGATTTCTTGTCACTTAACATGAAAATCGCAATGAAATTAGCCCGTAGGTAGAAAACGTTGAAGTATTCCTCATTAGATATCTAATTTGTTTCAGGTTGGTCGACGTTGAAAAAGTAACACTGAATTCAACAGTGCGATGAATTGGTTTCTGTTTGCCCGAATCCGTCGTGAGGCAATAAAACACTATAACTGTTCGATGGAGGAACCACTTCTAATCTGCCAATCGGATCTTATCTAATATTTATTGTGCTTAGCATTGATTGTACATTTCTACTTGTAAGGGCGAGAAATGTCAACTTTTATTTGGAGAATCGATTAGCTTTCTTTCACATCGGAGTTCATTTCCTTATTTTAAAGAGCTGACTGCAATAAAAGGAATAAGTAGGATCGGTTGATTCAATATTTTGTTAGCCCAGCCTAATGGTGCGCTGTGGTTTGCACATGGATATAGTTACGCTGAAATGTAAAATGACCAGCTCTCTGGGCGTGCTGGTGAGAAAGGGGTCACTCTTAATGCTGTGTAGTTCAGCCGTAATGAGACTAGGTAATTGAGATTTAAATAAAATGCGAATAACCTTTATACTCTGCAATCAAAGGGTTCGTGCTGGCAAGGTAAAATAATACCAGGAAATGTATATCGAATAAAAATGTCAAGTAGGTGCGATTTAGATTGATATTCAGTCACCAGAAAAAATTTTACGCCTAAAAACTCTCATGAAATATCTACAGATTAAAGATCTACAGGATTTTCAAGTCAAATCTAGTTTTCCGCGAAAATAATATCTACTCATGAATCATTTGTAGACCGCCCAAGCTCCTGTATTTGATGTTTTATAATATTTCTGATTGAATATCTTTGTTTTAAATGAATCGAGATTTATTCTTTATGACATATCAGAAATCAATATTGACACCTGGCACTTTTATTTGAGGGTTTCATGGTTCGTAACTCAAGGTTGGACATGATCAGTAGCTTTGCAGGACATTTAGACATGAAAAATAATTCGGAACACATGCAGTACACCTTTAAGTATCATCATAAAATATTCGATGGCGGCACAAGGTACACTACTGATATCCATTGGTAGATAAGATTTTCAAATCTATTTTAGGTATGATAGATCTACTATGGGAAAAATTTAAAAACCTGCACGCAATGTTTTAATTTTTTAGTTTTTTTATTTTTGGTAAAGAAAACATTGTTAAAATAAAACAGAAAACCCTTAAATTGTCTTAATTTAGATGCTTAAATGTTAAATTAAAACATAACTCTGTGGATAAAGGTGACGCATTTAGTGGCACGATTTACTTCATTGAAATATATTTCAAAGGGATTTTCGTCACATTTCCCTTTCAATTATAAAGCGCTAAGTACGTCTTTTCTCTTCATTCAAGAACAGTTAAACCCCCCGTTCTTTCAGTCAAGCTTTGGTCACTTAAGAGTCTTTTCAATATATGATTATAATTGTTATCTTTCAAGAGTAGTCCATTATAAAATTTTATATTATAACCATTGTCCCTCTCTTTTTTTGCCCGGCCGATTGCTTTATGGTTGAAAAGAACTGATTCAGTGACATTCATCTTTTGATGTCTAAACGATTTAATTTTCCATCGTAATTTCTTTACATATATGAAATATTCTAAGTTATATATATTAATGTACATATAATGTCTGTCTGGACAATTAAGCTTGTCAAACACATGTGGCATTAGTCAGTTGCATGACAACCTGAGCACAACCCCATTTATTGCGCCATACTCAAAAATAAAAATTCTAATCTACTACTCTCAACACATATAATTTAAAATAGCGTAATTTGCATTTCGTACAAAATATAAGACCATGTACCTGTCATTTGGTTATAAAAGTCTTTAAAAAATAACCTGCGACAAAGTTTTATTCAATATTGAACGGGCTTTGTTTGTAGATCATGTCTCATGTTTCGGGAAATGCTTGTGGTGTCACGTTGCACCTGGGCACCTCACCTGTAAACAGCATGGGACCGCCTGGCCCCAGCCTTCCGTGTCCATAGATAGAATATTTCCAATAATTCTCTCCATAGTCGTGAAGGTCGTTGGAACTGTAACTTCGCTGGGGTAATTGCGGTAGATAATCCGGGCAGGCCATTATTGATTTACTCCAGAAACTCTACACGCACATGGTTGTTGTTCCAACTCACACCAGCATGGTAACGTGACGCGCCGCGTCGTAACCAAGGGGATTCCGACCTACTTTTTGATTCGTTTGTACGATAGAGAAGCATGACGGCAAGATAAGCCTACAATATGCATGTGGTGAAAGAAATCTATGCAAATAAGAAAATGGATCTACATATTAATTTCAAAATGTTTGAATATATTTAACACAACGACTTTGGGTTTTCATATTCATTGATATTTTCATCTACAAGATGTTCGCGTAAGGCCAAAGTTTGCTAAGAAATATTGTTTAGCGCGCCATCTATAACAAATTATTTGATTTCACAACGAGATTCAATATTGACCCACTTAGCAACATAACACCGACTGGAGATTCGCTGAGGCAAAGGTAAGATAATCTAACAAGTTTAAGAATTATTTACGTTAATTCCTATCTTTTATCACAAACTAGGTATCTAAGGACTGATGGAATTAAGCTAACTTGTTTCCACGAACCTATGCCAAAGGATTAGATATGTACAACTTCCAATGATTTAAAATGTATTTTCTTAATTTTCAGTGATTAATTCTCAATGAAAATGTTTTCTAGCGTATTTTCTGTGATAATTATCCAATTTATTTTGCTATTTGATAACATTTGATATCTTAAAGCGCTCGCAAGGTAGGTTGTTTTGATTTATTTTATTATTATTACTGTATTATTATTATAATTTTTTTTTTTTTGTATTTTGCACAGGTTATTTATACCTTGAATATTCTTTTAAGATTAATTAAATAATTAAAATTAATTAAAATTACTAGTATTATTATTTTGTAATAATGGTTATCACCTTTTCCAGAAGTCTTAAAATGGACACAGAATATCTAAAACAGCAGCTTGGCCCCTGCCTGTCTGATTGCTTGGCAGAGGTGTGTGAGAAGAGGCCACATGATCCCATAGAATTCATCGCACAAAGATTATATAAACATGTAGATAACTTAAAATATTATCAGCAGGTAAGGTTTGATTTACAAATATTTATAAAGTGATGTAAAATAATTTTACTGTTACCAAAAATATATAATTTTCATAATCTGACTTAAAATTAAAATGTGAGAACCCGTCAGTTTATTTAATTCCAACCTCATAAATATCACAACAGTGGATCGGTATGTTTTTTAAGATCACTTTTTTCCCAATTGCATACATGTTCTTATATTTTACTTTTCATTAAGATGCAGATTTTGACGTGTAATTTTGATTTACATTATTTTCTTATGGTGAAACATTTTTTTGGATATAAGTGCAGAGAAAATGAGAAACAAAAATGGACATTGACTCCTAATCGAGTTTTTTTTTCATTTTATTTTATTATATTTTTAAGAAGCATTACTTTGTGTACATAATGTTATGTGAAAGAAAAGTACTACAAATTACTCTGGAGAATTTACAATTCATTTATGTTTTTAACAGAAAGATCTAGAGGCAAAACAAATAAAAAAGGAAGAAATTGAATATCAGCTAGAGTTAGAAAGACAAGCAATCAGAGAAGAAGAAGCAGAGAAATTTGCACAGGAACGAGCTCAAAAGGTAAGGGCATAATAATAATAATAATAATAATAATAATAATAATAATAATAATTGTTCATCTTTCAATACTTGTTTGGTATTATGGTCACCCAGAGATTTTGAGCTCTAACTGTATGTATCTTCAGGTAAATCATGAAGGTGATAAGATAGTTGATAAAGAGTATTGATTACTACTAGTAACTATACTATATGTGTGTTCAATATCAATGTTTTTAAATTGTGTCCCCTTCACTCTTCAGGCAGCAGCAGCTAGTGATACATCAGAAGAAAAATCTAAGAGTGCAACAGCTGTCCCTGGGGCCCCCAATCTCCCCACTGTGATGGAGGGAGACGAGCCCACGGAGGAACAGAAGGCAGCAGCTGCAGAAGCAGAGGGTGCAGCCACAGCAGAACCAGTGGCAGAAGAAAAGAAAGTAAGTAATCAGACATTACATTGATTTAACAATTAGGGAGTCCAGGGTCTTGTTTTATAATGGATTTCACTGTAATTACTCGGTCTTTTCAATGGGGAAAATTGTGAATTTTACAGATACTGTAATCTTTTCTTAAAATTAGTTATTGAGTGGTAGCAACAAAATTTAAAAAAAGGACGCTCTATAGTTCATGTGCAGTAAAAATACATCAAATGGTATTTAGAAATATAATCTTTGTGATTATAAAATTATGAATCTGAAAGTTTGATAAATTTTGCCCATTGATGAGATTTAGTAATTATCATATGTTTAATGTTGGGATAACTTTAACACATTACAGCTTACCTTAACCCAATATAAATCTCAAATAAAGAAGCCACAGGTCTATACTATAGGTATTTTTTACTTATTGTAAAACAAGTCCCATAAGCTCATCTCAGTGGTTTATCATGGATCAAAGTGCACTAAATTATTTAGAGAGGGCCAGTTTACAACCAGATTTCTTGTGTGACACTGACTGCAGTCTTATCACACTACCACACTTTCTACTGTTCAAACATAAGACAGTCAGGCTTTTCTAGATACATCCCTACCTGGATACAGAGATATTTAAGCTTATGCATAAAAATATTTTTACAACCCACCGTTGTATATCTGTATAGATCTGTACAGTGTCTGTCATTAGACATTAGGCAACTATGACCATGACAGTGTTGTGTCCCTGATCATATCATAATGGCTCAGGTGAACCACCAGTGACCTGCAAAGGCTCTTGTGAGGAGGACGCAAATGCATCATAGACATAATAATCAGCTACTGATAGACACTGTTATTCCAGACAAAAATATATTTTAAAGATATTATTCAAGATACTGTCATTCTACATTAGATATATTATTGTGATATTTTAGGAGGAAGAAGCAGAGATGGCAGCAGAGGAAGGTGAGGGAGAGGGGACAGAGGAGCAGGCTGAGGAAGAAGGAACAGGTGCTGCAGAAGAGGGGGAACAGCAGGCAGAGTAAAACAAAGACTGATAAGATAATTTTATTTTAAAGACTTCTTGCTACGTCAAAACCACACTGCTACACTTGCCGGCATCTTTTATTGTGAAATAAAAGGAGGTTTTATCAAGAGGAACAATGAAGTATTGTGAGATAAGAATTTTCCAATTCTGGAAGATAGAATGGGTAATTTTTCTGTTTGGGGCTATATTTTATATGATCATCATACTTATCACTCGTCAACATTTTATCAATCAGCGCATATGATTTTCACTTTATATGTTACTTGTAACAAGGGACCACTGGATTAGCACTTTTTTTATCTACCATGTCTGTGCTGATGTTTATACTTGTAAGTTATTTGTTGAAGAATCTCTGATTATATTTTAGTTCCTTCCACAGACTTTTTTGTAAGTTTAATAATTTCAAATAATGTTACACGCAGACACATGCACACATACAAATACTGTGATTGTGATTTAAACATGGGTATTTTAAACTTGGGTTTTAATTTGGAGTTTAAATGTTGAAAATCAACCATTTACTTTTGAGAAGTGTCACAAACCATGACAGCTGAATTTCTCGAAACAGAAATTCTGCCACTAAGCAATACCTCATTATCTGATTTATGATACATTGTAATTTATTGAATGCAACATGTTATAGCAGGTCTTTTAGAAAATTACAGTCACATTTCTGCATTCATGACTCATCAGTGGACCAACATGTACCTGTAACAGTATGTAAATATTTTAAATAAAGATATATCCAATTCATTTTTTTTTTGTACTTTTGCATCTTAATCCACTTCCATATATTTCATTTTGTTTGGTGAAGATGGTGGTTGGGACCGCATTGATAGCTGCAGTGTGCTGTGCATGATAGGCCATCAATGGTGACAGCCAGCTGCATTTTGAAAAAAAAAAAGAACTACACTATGCTCACGTAACCTGCAAGATTTTCACAAGTACCAGCACAGATATATGGATGGATAAAAATATTAAGACTTATACAAAAAGCACTGGCATATACAGAATTTAAAATTGTTACGACATACTCTGTTTAGAATTGAGTACATTCTTATTAGTTGTGTCGCTGAAGTCACCTTGAATTCTTATTGATTTGAGTTTGTAATAGTGCAGTAACATTGCAATTTACAACTCCCGGGTCAATTATCCAAATATCGGAATTGCGCCCTGCCAAAATAGGTACCAGTACCGATATGTCACAGAGATGTATAAGTGAAAAAAGAATTTTATTTTAAAAATTAATTTATTTTCAAAAGAGGCACAAAAATAATAATCTTAAGTTTGAAACACAAATTTGAGAGAAATAGTGACTTAGAAAGGACAATTTTTATGATAACTTTTTTTCTGCATGGAACCGATATGACAGGAATGGAGGTTGGCTAACAACCGAAGTCTTTACTTTATACTGTTGACATTCTTCCCACATAATAACCCCAACTAACCCTTACCTTTACTAATCATAATATGGAACCCTGGACTACCATTCCTAGAAGAAACTGCCATTCCTGTCAAACCAGCGATTTACAAGACCTCACTTTTTAATGCCCAATTAAGGTTACTTCTATTATCAATTGTGTTATTTTAAAGTAAAAACTTTCCTTAACAAACTCAAAATGGACTTCTTATTGTATAAAAAGTCCAAAAAAAAAGAGGCATTCCAGGCATCTAAACAAAAAATCCAATATTTGAACTCCCATTTTTTATAATGGGGTTGTTCAATTTGCACAGAAGTTGGCTAGCTGTAGCAGAAATGTAAAAATATAATTTTCATAGAAGGAAAACTGGGTGACCAAATTAAAAATTATTGATGCACTCATAAAAAGTTACTAGGCCCCTATTGCTGGACAGTGCACATAAATTCTAATGTTAAACTAATAAAAATACGTGTTGGAGTAGACCTCTCACAAAAACAAGCTGGATATGGTGTATATTCTTTTTATAAATTTCCAAGAACTATAACATATGTACATTCGATTTAAGGTGATTAGACAGATATGCTGTTTATAATTTTTTTTCAATAATCTTTTTATTTTACAAATGGTAATTGTACATGAACTCAATAATGGCGACGATACATACTAAATATGCCTCTTAGACCCCATTCCCATAGATTTTAGATCGATCTATCCCTGTGGGGAGTCTCACTAGATTACTGTCAGCTTAGCCGGCTTAAGCGTCTGTCCCGCCTACTAAAAGCTGTAAGGGGGTAATTAACTATGGTGCGCGCTCGGCTGACTGCAATTTAGCGTGAACCCCCAGGGAGTTAGGTCGATCTTAATCTAAATCTCTGGATCGATCTAAATCTCTGGGAATGCACCCTTAGGGGCCGTTCATAACGTAGAGTTATGTCGACCTAGCCAATGCGGGGACTTTCGCTGAATGCAATACTGTGAGCGGTCCCTCAATCACACTTTGTCCAAATATGGTATGGCGGACATCTGTTTGAAAACCAATAAACACTTGAAACAGAGTTTTGTTTTTGACGGGTTAAGTTTTGAAGTTGATACTTGGGTTCCAATATTGGCTTTTCTCTCTGTTGTTTTTCATCTCCGGTCTTAATGATAGTGTTAGCCGTCTACGCAGTCCACGGGACCACGAAAACCTACAAAAAGTTTTAAAACTTAGAAAAGATAAAATGATTATTATTGTTCAAGATAAAGTGTCTCCTAATATTGCACTAATTTTATTTTCAACTGTTTATAAATGACGATCATAATTTATTGCATTACACTCTGCCTGTAATAATGCCTGTAATAATGTAACGATACATTTATATCTAGTAAATCTAGTGGTTGCTTTTCAATTTCTAATTGCAATAGACCAAACGTAAATTTGTTAAAACCTTATTTTGCCTTCATCACTTCCCAGCCTGTCCCCGTCCGTCCTTTCCTCATATATACCAGAGTTGATATCCGGGGTTTGAAGAAAAATGCCTTTTCGGTCTATTTTTATACTCATATTTACTCCCTCACGAAAAAGTACCGCATTTGATTTTCTGACTCCATACACAGACGCGTCAGGTGCACCCTCTAATCCAGGGGATATTGTACAAAATATAAACTAATTTGTGACTTTGATTTTGTATCGAAAGCTTATTGGATTATGACTTGATTTTTAAATCAATTTTCGCATTACCTTAGGGTGGCACTTTTTTGATAGGGGAGTAAATATTAAACATATGCATATGATTTACCATGTTTGGCAGCCGCTGCGTCGCATAATTTCTTAAACTTCCCGCTGGAGACCAGTTTGCTGAATCCTACGTTCCAATGGGAGGTGAAGTCGTTGTCTTTCCGTGTCATCATACCATTCCCAGCCTCCGTGCAATAAAAACCACCCCAAGGGACTTGTTCAAACTCGGGGTTGGCTCCTGATGCATGGCCCGCCATGGCGAGGAAAGGCAAAAATGCTGCATCCATCTATTAGTAGTGAAAGGGTTAAAATATACCATTTGTAGCATACTTAATAAAACAATACAACATAATTATTAATGTAATATGGAACTTTTCACTGCTGCTTATGATGCTACGGTAAAATACTGTATTAATGGATTTATATCTTACTTCACCACTTTTCAACTTGGCAAAGATATCTCCAGGAGTCGGAGCGTGAACGACGGTCATATTGTCCTGACCTGTTACGTCAGTCCATCTGGCCAGACACCTCTCGTCACAAGCCCAGCCATCAACGAAACCTTGAATAATCCAGATACTTTTTAAATGATATATTTATTTAATTATGAATATCTTCAAATTAATTTATTTATCAAACTTTATGAGGGCTAAAAGTCGGTTAATGCATATTTTATCTTCCCCGTGGTCCTCATTAATATATCATTTTATTTGTATCTTCGTATTATTAGTCAAATTTCCCTGAATGCTGTAACACATAAATATACACTGAAATTATTAAATCTAGAAATCTAGATGGTACAGAACTGATACACGGACCAACCAAACAAGACGAACAAGACAACATCATCAGGGAATATACAGTTTCTGCAGCAGCTTCTCCCTGAATTTACTGAATAAATCTGTTAATTGATTGAAGTAACAATTATTGTAACTTTGAGTGCCTTACAGTGTATACTGATAATGTTTTTTTTGTTGAAAAAGCATTTCTCAATTAATAAACTAACCAAGATTAAATAATGGTTTTTAAAGCAGCCACTCTAAAATTCTAGTTTCTAACAAGACCCTTAAACGTGCTTTAACACCTTTACCTTAATTTACTTAGTCTGCAATTTGAAGTAATCATTATTGTAACTAACGTTGTCCCCTTGTTTTTTTATTTTTTGATACACAAATGCTTATCAAATTTATAATTATTTCACCAGTAATTGCACTTTACCTATTGTCTTGTTAGCTAGATTTTTGGAAGGAAACATAACAGCGTTCCCTTTTTTGACAAATAAATGCACGCTCGGGGGCTTCAGGAAAGGGGAAGAAAAACTGAACACCTGAATCCTCTCTAAGGTACGAAACCAGCCGGTGCAGGCATCATACCAACGGCCCATCAAACCTGAAATGCAGTAGGCTATAATTCCAACGCTATAGGCATGTTTGTATATAGCGTTTCATATTTACAACGCAGTACAGCAATTGCAAAACTCGCATGAACAGGCGAGTCCAGCTCGAATAAAAACATAGCTTTCAGTTTAGATCAACCTTGGATGAAGGTCCTTAAGTCATTTTAAACCTTAAGCCTGAGGGAGGGGTATTAATTCTGAAATGGTGTAGTCTATGAGGCAACACTGAAACAAACCACGTACCCTGGCCACCGTGTGAGGGTTGTCCTGGGGTGGAATCCCAGCAGTTGGTATGCTTGTCCCATATAGTACGACAATCCATTCCGGCCTCGGTGCAAACTGTAGAGAAATTGTTATTTGAAATTGAAACACGTGTCTACTTTTTTTGTCAATATATACGTGTGTGTGTGTGTGTGTGTGTGTGTGTGTGTGTGTTCTTTTAGATTTTCTAGTTTCCCTTTCAGAATTTCATCCAAAATCAAATTCATGAGAAATATATTAATAATATATATTACATTTATTATTCATCTTGGAAAATTACATGTATTGATATGCTAACCACATATTTCAGTGATATGAACTGGGGAAAAATCAGCGATGAAATTTCATAATAATAACGTACAGGTGAAATGAAATATCTATTTACCCGCTTCGATTAAATCATGATGGAAGCCTGTCAAGTAGCCAGAGGTGTCTCTGAAAGTGAAAACACCACAGGTATAACATGATAGAATTTATCTTCACAAATATGAACGTCAGCAGAAGTGACAGTATTCGATATAGTTTTACCACCCTGTAGCCCCATTTTGCTGATTTTAGAGAAACCACACCATATTTATTAAAATTTCTCCCAAGATGAAACGACAAAGTAGACTATGAAACATTTAGATATGACAATGACTACATGTAGAGGCAGAGTAGCCTATAGATTCTAAAGTACAAGTCTGAAACATCTTATAAAAATGTAATTGTTGCACAAATTAAAGTACTTATGCAGTAAGTCCCAACTCTTGATTCTCAATGCTTATCTAAATTCATTTATGTCGTGACTATGGCCGTTTCTTCTGGTTTCTAATAAAATAGTTTGTGTGTTTTTGGGCATGCCGCAAAAGTTGTAGGTTCACATAATATCTTTTCGCCAACTTATTTTCATATGCAGAGATGTAAGAACTATAATACAAAAAAAAATCTACTTACACATATTCAAATGGGCCTAAATCATGCCCTACAGCAATCGTGAAGATCCGTCCTCCAGATGATGATGAGACTGCAGAGCCTGAGATCCCAGCAGAACTCCCAGCAGACGATCCTTGTCCAGAGGTGCTGCCACCTATTGTCGTTTGGTCGCCTCGGATGGTGATGTTTGGTGTGGTCGAGGATCTCGACACTGCCACTACAGCTACAACTATGGCTACTACGGTGACGATTGCACACACTGCTGCCAGTGCTATCAAAATGCGGTTACCTGAAGGACCTTCTAACAAACCAACATTTGTTGTCATTAATAATGATTATATTACATGGCTCGAAGATGATAAGTTAGTAGGCCTAAGTAAGACCAAACTACATAGTTAAAAATAAGCACATAGGCATATATCTCTAAAAGTTCCTTAAAAAAGGGTTTTAAGTGATACAGAAATGTTTAGTCTTGATTCTTCCCACATTGAAGTTGCATACATGTATGTCATACATTTTCTTATGATACAGTGGTAGTGTAGAGCAATTGGTAACGGAACATTTGTGAAGAAAATTAGCAAGGTAATGTAATGCAAACAGAAAAAAACTGCACAGCTGTCCACAGTGGATAGAACATACTAAGATGTTAGACATCCTGAGAGCTAGTAAAGATACTGGACAGCTCTCCACAGTGGATGGGACATACTAAGATGATAGACATCCTGAGAGCTAGTAAAGATACTGGACAGCTGCCCACAGTGGATGGAACATACTAAGACGTTATACATCATGAGAGCTAGTAAAGATACTGGACAGCTGCCCACAGTGGATGGGACATACTAAGATGATAGACATCATGAGAGCTAGTAAAGATAGGCTACTAGACAGATGTCCACAGTGGATGGGACATAGCCTACTAAGATGATAGACATCCTGAGAGCTAGTAAAGATACTGGACAGCTGCCCACAGTGGATGGGACATACTAAGATGATAGACATCATGAGAGCTAGTAAAGATACTAGACAGATGTCCACAGTGGATGGGACATACTAAGATGATAGACATCATGAGAGCTGGTAAAGCCAAGGGTGTGGAAGGGACTGATCAACAACGTTATAGAGCAGGGCACATGCTAATGATAATGATGATTAAATGTATGAATATAAAAATCTATCCGGATTTATGAAATAATGTTGTTTTTTAAATGCCTTGATATATTAAGTTACCTGCAGGGGCAGTGCCACCTTCCGTTATTTCAAATTTCTGCATCATTCTGAAGAAGAAAATGAGATAAATTTATCAAATTAGGTTACCAAATTAGGTTGTATGTAAACCGCCAACGAAAGATAAATGGTGAAGCAATGTAAGACAACAACCAGTAGGCCTACTTCTATCTTTATTTTATGTAGAAACTGCATGTGTCTAGTTAGTCGAATTTGACACACTCTGTAGTTAAAGAAAACCTCTAGATAAAAGATACTGATGGGTTATTCGATCACACTTTTTCAACAAATTGATCACTAATAATAATAATAATAATAATAATAATAATAAAGCTAATTGCCAGAGGACATCGGTTCATTTGAAGTCAGAAAATGTTTTACAGTGAAGGAGGCGGCATGCATTCTAAATAATTCAAACCCATGTTAAATGAAAATGTGCACGAGGGAGGGTGCACGTTGACCTTAACTATGGCAATGCCTCCAGGCCACGTAGAAAGAGTTTCACTTAATCTTTATATGTACATATACATGTTCTGAAACATTATGAGAACCAGTGAACGCTAAAAAGACAAGAGATTAAAGAAACCAGAGAGGGTAAAACAAATCGAAGGGTTATATAAAATGTGTTGTACAAAATGTAATTTACCGTAGGGGTGATGGAAAGGTCGGGATGAGACAAGGAAAAGAACGTTTTGCTTAATTGTCACCTTAGGTAACCATTAAAGTACCATGAAAGCATGCACACAAGAAGCATGCATACTTCTGCTAACGCTGGTCTATCACTAAGCATCTTTACTGCTACAAAAATATTGGCGTTACTTTTTAGTATCTCAGGCACCTTTTACACCGGGTATGCAAACGCATGAAGAAAGACTAATTTAGCACACATTAACAGTGCCGATATACATGGGTCCCTGTCGGTATCTAAAAGCGCCTCAAAGCAAAGATGGCGAAGAGGATGGAGAAGCGAGGCAAAATATCGATACAAGTGCCCTAAGCAGGCGATAGACCATACAAGAAAGGATGACACGCACAGATTCACCCGGATGAATAGAAATAGGAATGTGCTTCGCGATGTAAATGTTACTTGTTTTCTTTCGCTTATTTACTGCCCGTGTCTCACCCACTGACGGATTTACTTTAAGAGGACCCCCCCTTCGCTTTCTAAAAATATATCACACCAATATTTCCCTCTTGAAATTAGAATTTTGACAAGCTGAATCATACATGTAGTTCTAAACCGTACCAGAGGCACCCTTTGCCCTCCAAAACACCAAAATATTTTGGAGCCCTTCACTGCGCTTGAGCAGGCCCCAAACCCCACGCCAAGGGGGCAATGGTCGGCTTCGCGTCCGAGGACTGGCGTTCCGGATCCCCCTTCAAAAAATGCTGGATCCGCCCCTGGTCTCACAATTTTTTCTGCTTTGCAAAAGTAACACATACATTGTAGATATTATTTTAAATATAATTCCCTATTCATTAAAGCAGTATGACCTACCCTTCTCTGCTGGGTATCGCACGCCCGGCTGCTTTTGACATAAAAATAGACTATACTTTACGAGACAACCCGTATCAAGGCTTTTTAACATTCTGATGGCGTGTTGTATTATGTCAGCTTGATGTGAGGATCATGTACGTAAACAAACCATATACCTCACAGAGGCAGATCCAGGATTATTTGAAGGGGGCGGGGGCGCGGATACAAAGCCGAGCCTCACGTGGGGTTTGGGATCTTAAAATTTTTGGTATTTTAGAGGGCGAACGGTTCCATTTTCTATGGGTTAAAACTATGATTCAGCTAGTCAAAATTAGACTTTCAGGAGGGGACCATTGGTGTGATTTTCTTCAGAAATCGAAGGGGGTCCGGATCCCCCTGCCCCCTCCTTAAATCCGCCACTTCCTCATGTGATCTGCAGAGAATAAATTCACTTTAGGGTGCATTTTTCTGATTTTTGGCGTTTTGGTTGAATATTCTTGGTAATACATTCTTGATATTATAGGTACGTTATCAGTTTCCGTAAAATGTTGTCAGTTTTAACTTTTCGGCTCCGTTGCTTGCATAGTCACTCTTTCTCAGTTTTTAATTCCATTTATTATTATTATTATGTTTATCTTAAGTTTGAAACACAAATTTGAGAAATATGGTGATTTAGAAAGTAAAAATTTTTGATAATTTTGATAATTGCGACAGGAATGGAGGTCCGCTAGGAACTGCAGTCTATTCGTCCCATATACTAACTTCAGTTAAACCTAACCTGTACTAATCATATTGGACCCTGGATTCCCATTCCTAGGACTACCATTCTTGTCAAACCAGTAATTTACACGACCTCGCCTTTAATACCCTTTGTGGTTACTTCTGTTATCAATTGTGTTATTCAGATACTTTTTCAAGTCAAAACTTTCCCTAACATACTCAAAAATGACTTCTTATTGTATAAAAAGTCCAAGATACAGGCATTCGAGGCATCAAAACAAAAAATCCAAATTTTTTATAAAAGGGTTGTTCAAATTGCATAGAATTTGGCAAACTGCCGCTGAATAATATAAATATTATTTTCATAAAAGTAAAAAATGGGTGGCCAAATTAAAAAATTTTATGCACTAATTTAAATTTACTTGTGCTAGACAGTGCGCATAAATTATAATGTTTAACCAATAAAAATATCTGTTGGAGTAGACCTCCCATAAAAATAAGCTGGATGTGGTGTGCATTCTTTTTTAAATTATATAGATTTCCAAAAACTATAATATCTCTTCATTCGACTTAAGGCGTTTAGACAGATATGCTGAGAACAACCTAAACGGATGTAAAACATCTACTACTGGAATACAGCAGAGGAATCCACGGTACAAAACAGTGAAACATCGAGGGAAGTCAAAATAATGCAAATAGACCTATAACACAATATACATGTATGTGTCACTGATGTAACTGAATTGTTCACTTTGAGGAAGAGTCCATTTTCATGTTTGAACAGAAATGTTCACGGGTCGATCATCCTAAGCCTTCAGAGAGGGTTGATATTGCGTCAGATGTGAACAAGGTATTCCTCTTGTTTGGAAACCAATTAACACTTGAAACTGAGTTTTGTTTTCGACGGGGAGTTGATACTTGGGTTCCAATATAGGCTTCTTTCTCTGTTGTTTCTCATCTCCGGTCTTAATGATATTGTTAGCCGTCTACGCAGTCCACAGGACCACGAAAACCTACAAAAAGTTTTGAATCTTAGAATAGATGAAGTGAATATTGTTGTTCAAGATAAAGTGTCTCCTGATGTAGCACTAAAATTTATTTTGAATTTTTTATAATTGATGCTAATAATTTATTGCATTACACTCTGTCTGTATTTAACGAAAACTTTCTCTCTAGTGAATCTAGTAGTAGCTTTTCAATTTCTAATCAGAGAAGACCAAACTTAATTTTGTTGAAACCTTATTTTGCCGCCATCACTTTCTGTCACCGTCCGTCCTTTCCTCTTATTTAACATACCCAAAGTTTGAAAAAAATTCCCTCTTCGGTCTATTTTTATATTAATAAATACTCCCTCACGAAAATAGTGCCACCCCTATTGCATTTGACTTTTTGACTCCATACGCGTCACGTGCATCATCTAATCCATGTGACACTGTACAAAATTAAATTGTGACTTTGTTTTTTATTATCGAAAGCTTATTCATTGGTTGAACAATCTGTAAATTTGTGTGAAAAAAAATCCGCTTAGAAGCAGAATAAAACATTGGTTTATTACTTGATTTTTATATCGATTTTTGCATTACCTTAGGGTGGCACTTTTGTGATAGGGGAGTAAATATTAAATATATGCGCATGATTCACCGTGTTTAGTAGCCGCTGCGTCGCATAATTTCTTAAACTTCCCACTGGAGACCAGTTTGTTGAACCCTACGTTCCAATGGGAGTTGAAGTCGTTATCTTTCCGTGTCATCATCCCGTGTCCAGCCTCCGAGCAATAAAAACCACCGACAGGGACTTGTTCAAACTCGGGGTTGGCTCCTGATGTATGGCCTGCCATAGCCAGGACAGGTAAAAATGCTACATCTATCTGTTTGTGAAAATGGGTTATATATTATTTGCAGTATACTTACTAAAACTTACTAGATCTTACTTATTAACGTAATATGGAACGTCTCAAAGTAAATGACTACTACTTATGATGCAACGGTAAAATACTGTATTAATGGATTAATATCTTACCTCGCCACTTTTCAACTTGGCAAAGATATCTCCAGCATTCGGAGCGTGGACGACGGTCATATTGTCCTGACCCGTGACGTCGGTCCATCTGGCCAGACAGTTCTCGTCACAAACCCAGCCATCAACGAAGCCTTGAATAATTCAGATATTTTTCAAATTATTTTTAATTAATTATTTTTATTATTATCAAATATATATCTACATATCAAACTTTATGACGGTCAAAGGACGGTTAATGTAAATTTTATCTTCTCCACGATCCTCATTAATTTATCATTTTATATGTATCTTCGTATTATTAGTCAAATCTCCCAATACAGACGAACAAGACATCATCAGGGAATATACACGTACAGGTGCTGCAGCAGCTTCTACCTGAATTTACTGATTAAATCTCATAATTGATTGAAGAAACGATTCTTGTAACTTTGAGTGCATTATAGTGTATACTGATAATGTTCATTGTTAAAAAGAATTTCTCAAATAATAAACCAACCAAGATTTAATAATAATTTTTTTTCAAACCACCACTCTAAAATTCTATTAACTTGTAAGACACCAAGATGTGCTACACCACCTTCACCTTAATTTACCTAGTCTGCAGTTTGAAGTAACCATTATTGTAACTTAAGTACCTACATGTAACAGTGTACTGATAATTTTCTATAGTTGAAAAACGAGTACCATCATCAACCTAAGATCCTAAAATTGTTTTCCCCTACTTTTTTCTTTTTGATACACGAACGCTTATCAAATTTATATACTTTCACCAGTAACTGCACTTTACCTGTTTTCTTGTTAGCTAAATTTCTGGACGTTAACAAAACAGCGTGCCCTGCTTTGACAAATAAAGAAATGGTCAGGGGCTTAACGTATGACGAAGAAAAACTGAAGACCTGAAGCCTCTGTACGGTACCAGACCAGCCGGTGCAGGCATCGTACCAACGGCCTATCAAACCTGAAATGCAGTACAATTCCAACGCTTTAGGCATGTTTGTATACAGCGTTTAAATGAACAATGCTGTTTAAAAATAACTTGCTCCAAATGGTAATATACTGCTCTAAAATTTACGATGCTAAAGTTTGAACCTTGTGTACTGTTATTTAACGTAATCAATTCTAAGACAAAACCATCAATCTGGATGACATTTTTGCATTAACTGTGTTTATACAATGAAAAAAAAAAAAAAACACTTTGCGCTCATTAACACTATCAATTATGATCATTTCAGGGAGTGAAATACTTGGTAAATGTAAAATTAGAAAAAGGTATGTTGCCTCCAAAATTCCTGGGGCACTGACTGAGAAGAACTTGGGGTTCTGATGAATAGATAGCATGTTTGCGATCACCATGTGAATAGCCATTGGGATAAGCTTTAACCGACACATTTTTATACCCAACTAAACACCGTGTTTTGTTACTGGAGGAAAGAGGGGGGTGGGGGTATATGCAATCGTTTTTAAATTTGATTAAATTGGTGCACATTTATTCATTAACACTGTACCGAAGAAAAACATAGCCTCCAGTTTAGTTCAACCTTTGATGAAGTCCCTCGGGTCATTTCCTTAGGCTTATACTCGAGGGAGGGGATTAAGATGTTTATCACCTTAATAATAAAACAATTCTGAAATGGTGTAGTCTATGAGACAATACTAAAACAACCGACGTACCATGCCCGCCGTGTGAGGGTTGTCCTGGGGTGGTGTCCCAGCAATTGCTGTACTTGTCCCTTACGGTGCGACAGACCATGCCGGCCTCTTTACACACTAAAGAGAAATTGTTATTTGAAATTCAAACCTTTCTGTTTCTTTTTGTCGATATGTGTGTGTGTATTCTTTCAGATTTTATTTCCTTGTTTTCCTTTCAGACTTTGATCCAAAATCAAATTTAGCAGTAATATCATACATGTATATTACATTTGTTTTCCATCTTGGAAAATTAAATGTATTCATATGCTTATTTGTACATCTTTCAAACATATGGACTGGTAGAGAGGAAATGGGAATAAATCTGTGATAAAATTCTGCAATAAAAAAGTTAAAATGAAATGTCTATTTACCCGCGTCAATTAAATCCAAATTAAAGCCTGTCAAGTAGCCGGAGGAGTCCCTGAAAATGAAAACATCACGGGTATATTAAACACATTAGAATTTTTCTCAACACATATGAATGTCAGCAGAAGTGACAGTATTCGATATAGTTTTACAACCTCGTAGCCTCTTATTACTGATTTTAGAGAAACCACACTATGTTTATTACAATTTCCTCAGTGGCGGATTTTTTTTTTTTGGGGGGGGGGGGGGGGGGGGGGGGGGTCAGGGGGGTCCTGACCCTCCTTCGATTTCTTAGTAGGCCTAAATCACACCACTGGTCCCCTCTTGAAATTAGAATTTGAATACACGTAATATCTACAACACACAGAAATCTACCTACATATATTCAAAAGGGCCAATATCATGTCCTAGAGCAATCGTGAATATCCTTCTTCCTGATGATGATGAGACTGCTGAGCCTGAACTCCCAACAGAACTCCCAGCAGACGAACCTTGTCCAGAGGTGCTGCCACCTATTGTCGTTTGGTCGCCTTGGATGGTGATGTTTGGAGTGGTCGAGGATCTCGACACTGCCACTACAGCTATAACTATTGCTACTACAGTGACGATTGCACACATTGCTACCAGTGCTGTCAAAATGCGGTTTCCTGAAGGACCAACTTAAAAAACAACATTTTTGATTGACACTTTGTTGACATTAATAATTATTTCAAACTCAAAAATAAAATAAACAAACAAAAATATATTACGGTTAGATAAGGTAGATGGATAGATAATAATGTTATACTTCACTATATGGCTGGCAATTTTTACTACCCAAATGACGGTTCTTCTCTTCTTTCCCATGTGGTCAATAATAAAAAGAACATACTGGTGACACGGTGTCAATACATGTAGCAGATAATGATAACAACCTGTAACTCCTACTGCATATAGTTATATCAGAGAGCATAGAGAGAATGATCTGGGCCTGAATAGTATTAAGACAAAGATAATGCTCAGTAAAGAAACAGTTTAGCTCTGGTCTGTAGCATGTATACAAACATTATTAAATTAAAACTTGCTCACAGACAATTTGTACCAGAACAACACCCAAATTATCGGTGAACTGTGGGGAGCAATCACAGCAAAGATAAGGAAAATCTCGAAGGAGGAATGTGTTTGAGAAATTGACAATTTTTTGTGGCGTATGCAAGTGTGCATCCATTTGGAGCAAATTCTTAAAAAGAACTTTTATCCAAAGTGACCAAGATAATTGAAACTTTGGGCAATGATCATACTCATATTGAAGTAACAGTCCAGCAAATTTCTTGAATTTTGATGGACCTTTGTAGGATTTCATAAATTTTTTTATGGTTTCTTTCTTTTTTTGGTCACCCTGTACTGTCTATCACAGACATCCTGAGAGCTATTACAGATACTGGACATTCGCCCACAGTGCATGGGACGTACTTATAGAGCAGCGTTATAGAGCAGGGAACATGATGATTATAATGATAATGATAATGTGGTTAAAAATGTACCGGATTAACGTAGTGTTCTTTTTTACACTTTGGTATATTTAAGTTACCTGCAGGAGCAGTGCTACTTTCCATGATTTCAAATTTCTGCATCACTCTGTAAAAAAATGATAAATTTGTTAAAATTTGAGTAACTAGAAATGTGCAGTTTCTATACAAAACAGTTGAAAGTAGAACTGGTTGTTGCCTTAAAATACTGTACCCTTTTTCTGGCGTTGGTGGTTAACATAGCAGCTAATTTGGTACACTCGTGGTCTCAGTTGAAGAATTACTCTAGTTTAGAGAAATGGAAGGGTTATACGATCATACTTTTTCAACAAATTGGTCAATAATAATAATTATTATAATAATAGAGCTGATCACTAAAAGACATCCATGGGTTCATTGGAAGTCACTGAACCAGGAAATGTTTACAGTGAAGGAGGCGGCATGCATTCTAAATAATTCGAATCCATGGTAAATAAAAGTGTGCACGAGGGAGGGTGCACGTTGACCTTAAGTATAGCAGTGCCTCCAGGCACTGAACTTCACTTAATTATTTTAAGCACATGTACATGTTATTAAATATTATGAGAACCACTGCATGTTAAGAAGACTAGAAATTAAGTTAACCAGGCAGGGAAAGACAAGCACATAACAAAACGAAGGGTTAAAAAACAAAAACATGCAGATACTCACGCACACTCCCTATCTTTCTCTCTTACCTACTGCGGTATTGTCATTTAAACATTTCACAAACAAGGTTTTAAAAAATCGCGACCTTGGCTGATAATAGTTCACAAGGAGAATATAAATATTTTTAGTATGTGGTATTAGTCGTGTTGAAGTGTAGGGGTGATGGGAGAGGTCGGGATACGACAAGGAAAACGCCATCATAGCAAGGTTTTGCTTACTTATCACATTAGGTAACCATTTAACTAAACATTGCATCATACCATAATAAATGAGAATAATGCGTACTTTTGTTAACGTTGGTGTTTAACGAAGCCTAGCATATTCACCAGTTCTTAAAATACATACATTGGCGCTACGTTTTAGTATCTTAAGCACCTCTTACACAGGTATTTGAACGCTTGACGAAAAGACTATTCACAAATGTGTATGACTGAAAATAAGTGGGAGACGATGTACAAATACGAAAAACAATACACTGTGTATCCGCACATAATTTGGAATAAATTTATGCAGGCTGATTCTCGCGAATTAGAGTCGAAAACATTTGGACGAGTAGACATTCACTCGGTTATTCTTTGGTTGTCATAGCTGTTAATGATATTTAATGTAGGTCCTGGAAAAAACATTTTTGATAATTTCATTACCTCCCTGTCCAATGTAGTAACATGTACTGGAGATAAAAATAGGGAAAGCTACAGCCAAGTTGGCGGTTTAAAACATTCACAAAAAAAGATGTTTTAATATTGACTTGCGAGTAGTGAAAACAAATAACGCCATTCGAGACAGAGGTAAATGCGTTAGAAAATGACTATGTATATGTAACCACGAATTAAATGTTTGGAATAACAATTAAGCACACGAAAATAGTGTCAATTTATATGCGTCCCTGTAGGTAGCAAAGCGCCTGAAAATAATAATAAAATAAACAAATAAATAAAAATAAAAAAGGAAAGGGAAAAGCGAGGTAAAAATACCTATGCAGGCGATAAGTACAAAAGGACAATAAGCACCGATTCAACCAGCTCGACCAGACTGAATCCAAAGAATAAATGCACAGGCTTTACAATGTAATCGTTAAAGGGATAACGACTGTTCATTTTGGCAAAAAAAAAAAAAATTTTTACTGGGGCGAAGGACAATTTTCCCCATACTTACCAATGGTAAATGAATCCATTCCTACATTCAAAGTTACGGGCCGATGACCATAGTTATTAATTCTGTGAGTTACTTCCATCCACAGATTTTCAATTGGGTTCATATCTCGGGAGTTTGCAGGCCAGGGCAGTTGCTGAACGAATTGGTTTGGAAGAAAAAACAATGATTCTGCGCGCTCGATGTGGGGGTGCGTAGTCGTCTTGGTACGCTTAGTTGTTCCTGAAGATGACTTTTACAAAGGGAAGCATAGTTTGCTCTAAAATGTCTCTGTAGGAATCCTGTCTCAGGTTGCCTTCTAGAAAAACCAATTGGTTCTGGGCACCGGCATGAAATGCTCCTTAAACAGAGACGTTACCACCCCCTGCTTGCTCCCCAGGCGTTATACAATCATAGTTTTATGGGTCTCGTACACGTCAGCGGATAGGGATTCGGTCGTCAATCCTAAATACTACATATCTGGCCTCATCAATGAAAATGATGTGATTACAGTGGTATGGCTGCAAACGCACGTGGTCCCCAGCCCAATGCAAACGTTGCTGTATTTAATCTCCTATTAACAGTGGTTTCCGTACTGGCCTTCGCGCAAAATAACCGGTACCTGAAACGGGCGTTTGAATGACATTCTGCCACTCTTTTCTGAGGACACTGGTTGTCTTTGTACGACCAGCACAGCACACTCTAAGTAGAAGGCGATCCTGTCTTCCTGATGTGATTACGCGGGCACCCAGGTCGAGGTATTTGGTAGGTGTCCCTGTTGTAGCATGGTTCGTGTAGCCTGGCAATGGTTGTTTCTGGCAATTTTCTGGCATTTTCTCTGAGAGCAAGAATCCTATAGTAAGCTGCGTTGCTGAGATTCTGTCAAGTTTCAGAGCGATGCCTTTGTTGCTTCTCGAAATAAAACTCCAAAGATTGGCCAAACCTATGCGTTTTTATACAAAGGCAGAAATTGCCGAAAAGACCACCCTTCACATTTCTGACCACAGAACATGGACGAAAGAAAACGTGAAATTCTTTAAACTTACAGGTATTTCTTCTTGATCAAAATACGGAAGTAGACGTAAAGATTTAAAGATGGGTCAATTTCGCTATCATATTAGCATATCATCACAGCATATATACAACCTGCAATTAACCTTCCTACGATTTAAACGCATTTTGCAATATCATTTTCAGTCTGCCAAATGAAGCATTTCAATCTGCCAAGTGGATTTACCTTTAATGTATACAATCAACAGAAAAATTCCAATATACTTTCTCAAAACGACACCAGAAAGCAAATTAAATCAAATTTTAATCAACCAGAAGGTCAGTTTCAACATTTGCTTATTTAACCATTCCTGTCAAACCAGCTATTTACTCAACCTTGCCTTTCAATAAAGGTTATTTCTATTATCATTTATGTTATTCAGATACTTAAAAGTAAAACTTTTGCATAATAGACTCAAAACTGACTTCTGTTCTAATTGTATAAAAAGTTCAAGATGGAGGCATTCCAGGCATCAAAACAAAAATCCAATTTTTGAACTACTGTTGTTTATAAAAGGGTTGTTCAAATCGCATGTAATTTGGCTATCTATCACAGAAAAGTATAAATATTATTTTCATAAAAGGAAAAATTGGTGACCAAATAAAAAATTATCAATGCACTCATTTAAATTTTCTTTTGCTAGACAGTGCACATAAATTCTAATGTTAAACCAATAAAAATACGTGTTGGAGTATACCTCTTACAAACACAAGATGGATATGGTGTATATTCTTTTTTATAAATATCCAAGAACTATAACATATCTACATTTGATTTAAGGCGTTTAGACTGAGAGCAACATAAACGGATGTATAACAACTACTACTGGGATATAGCAGAGGAATATATGGTACACACGGTGAAACTATCGAAGCAAATAAAAAATATGCAAATAGGCCTATAACACAATATACATGTATATGTCAACGACGTAACTGAATTGTTCACTTTGAGGAAGAGTCCATTCTCATATTTGAAACAACAGAAATGTTCACGGGTCGATAATCCCAAGGCTTCAGAGAGGGTAGATATTGCGTCAGATGTGAACAAGGTATTCCTCTCGTTTGGAAACCAATTAACACTTGAAACTGAGTTTTGTTTTTGACAGGAAGTTTGTTCCAATATTGGCTTCTTTCTCTTTTAATTTTCAATCTCCGGACTTAATGATATTGTTAGCCGTCGACGCAGTCCACGGGACCACGAAAACCTACAAAAAGTTTTAAAACTTAGATAAGACAATTATAATTGCTCAAGATAAAGTGTCTCCTAATGTTGCACTAAAATTTGCAACTGTTAATAAATTATCTTCATTATTTATTGCATTACACTTTGTCTGCATTTAACGAAACGTTTATATCTAGTAAATCTAGTGGTTGCTTTTCAATTTCTATTTAGAATAGACCAAACGTAATTTTGATTAAATCTTATTTGCCTTTATCACTTATTTCCCAGCCTGTCATCGTCCGTCCTTTCCTCACATTCAACATACCCAAGTTGATATCCGAAGTTTGAAGAAAAATGGCTCTTCGGTCTATTTTCATATTGATATAGTATATTCATACATGTACAGTATATACTCCCTCATGAAAAAAGTGCCACCCCTACCACATTTGACTTTTTAACTCCGTGCACGTCACGTGCATCCTCTAATCCAGCGGATACTGTAAATAAAATATAAACTAAATTGTGACTTTCATTTTTTATTATTGGAAGCTTATTCATTGGTTGTACAATCAGTTAATTTGTATAAAAAAATCCGTTTAGAAGCTGAATAAAACATTGTTTTCTGAATTGATTTTTTACATCAATTTTCCCATTACCCTAGGGTGGCACTTTTGTGATAGAGGAGTAAATATTAAATATATGCATATGATTCACCGTGTTTAGTAGCTGCTGCGTCACATAATTTCTTAAACTTCCCACTGGAGACCAGTTTGCTGAATCCTACGTTCCAATGGGAGTTGAAGTCGTTATCTTTCCGTGTCATCATTCCATTCCCAGCCAGCGTGCAATAAAAACCGTCCCCAGGGACTTTTTCAACCCCGGGATTGGCTCCAGATGCATAGCCCGCCATTGTGATGGCAGGTAAAAATGCTACATCCATCTGTTTGTGAAAATGGGTTATATATAATTTGCAGCATACTTAACAGAACAATAGATCATACTTATTAATGTAATATGGAAATTTTCAAGGTAAATGACTACTACGTATGACGCAACGGTAAAATACTGTATTAATGGAATAACATCTTACTTCACCACTTTTCAAGTTGGCAACGATATCTCCAGCAGATGGAGCGTGGACGACGGTCATATTGTCCTGATTCGTGACGTCGGTCCATCTGGCCAGACATTTTTCATCAGTAATCCATCCATCAACGAGACCTTCAATAATCCAGGTTTTTTTCATTAATTTTTATTATTATCAAATTAATTAATTAATTTGTTTATTTATTCATTTATTTACATAAAACTTTATCAGGGTCAAAACACGGTTAATGTAAATTTTATCTTCCACGTAGCCCTCATTAATTTACAATTTTATTTGTATTTTCGTATTATTGGTCGAACCTCCCTACGTCGTAACACATTATAATACACTAAAGTTAACCTACTGTAGATGGTACAGAACTGATAAACGGACTAAACCAATAAAGACCAACAAGACAACAGCATCAGGGAATATACAGGCGCTATAGCGACTTCTACTTGAATTGATTCAGTAAATCTGTTAATTGTTTGGGCAATCAATTATTGTAACTTTAAGTGCATTGCAGTGTATACTGATAATGTTGTTTGTTGAACAATATTTCTCAAATAATAAACTAACCAAGATTTAATTCTTCACACCACTACTCTAATGTTCTAGTACCTAACAAGTGTGCTATAACACCTTTACCTTAATATACTTAGTTGTAATTTTGAGTGCGTAACATTGTGTATTGATAATTTTCTATATTTGAAAAATGAATATTATCATCAATTAAAGATCTTAACATAGCCCGTTTTTCGATACGCAAATTAATATACTTTCACCAGTAATTGCAATTTACCTATTTTCTTGTTAGCTAAATTTCTAGGAGGAAACAAAACAGCGTTCCCTGTTTTGACATATAAGTAACAGATCAGGGGCTTTAGGAATGACGAAGAAAAACTGAACACCTGGATTCTCTCTAAGGTACGAAACCAGCCGGTGCAGGCATCATACCAACGGCCCATCAAACCTGAAATGTAGTATAATCCCAGCGCAATAGGTATGTTCTTATACAGCGTTTACATGAACATGCCGCTCCAAAACAACTTGCTCCAAATGGAATTATATACTGCTCAAAAGAAGTTTTTACTTTAAAAAGAGCACCCCCTATTTAGGATGCTTAAGTTTGAACCTTGCGTGCTGTTATTTAAAATTAGCAATTCTAAGGCAAAGTCATCAATCTGTATTGTATCAATTATAAAGTATCAATTATGATCAATTCTTGGGTGAAATACGTTAAAATGTTGCCTCCCTAATTCCGGGGGGGGGGGGGGGGGGGGGGGGGGGGGTAGCCCGGGGAAAAATTGGGTTTTGATGAAAAAAGTTTTCGAAATATTTACAA